CTTTATCCGAGCGTATCCTTTACCACTTTGTTTGTAAATGGAAAGAGCCAGCACTTCTTTTTTCTGATTTCGGGACTGGCTGCTAAAGAAATTTCTAGTTTCTTTATTCAAATATTTGAGGTTCACCAATACCTGAGGATTTTTCCTCAATTGTATTAGCTTTTGCCTTATTATTCTGGCATTTTTCTTAGCGCGACACAACGCTTTTTTTACTCCAGTTAGGTTGCAATTGCTGCAGTTCTTTGTAAAAGGTAATTTCCTCCGTTTCTTATCTACAAAAATAAAGATAATTTTAAATAAGAATGATTATTCAGTTTTTATGGTATTTACCAATTATTTCTTTTTCATCACTTAGGTGGAACCGTTTCCAATTCATTTCTAATGAAATGACAGAATTTTCCTCACAAAATGAGGTTGAAGCAATTTCGCAACCTTGTTGTTTACTACATCCAGGATAGACTTGCATAACAGTTGAACTAGTTACACCAGGAAGTTTGTCGGGGCATACATATGTGGGGGTATAAATATATATATATGGCATGTCGGGGTATAAACATATATAATATGGTATATAATGAATTATATAATTATGAATTATGAAACTAAATAATTAATTTCATACCATGCAGCATACCTGAAGTATCTTCTGTTGGTTGATCTTGTGGAGACAAAAAGCAATTATTTATAGTTTCTTCTTACAAATCTAAATGATTTAAAAAACATATATAGATTAAAAAACAAACTTTTTATGCAAAATTTCATTTACCTAGTAAGCATAATATAGGTAGCTTTTTCAATTTTTTCTCAACATATTTGCACATTGTTGCAAAATAGTTGGGGCAAACCAAGGACAGTAGAATCTAACAGGACTGCTACATTCATTGTATTTTTGTAGTCCACTGCGGGTTGGTTGCCCGCACTCTACGTCACACTTTTTGCCACGCCTGGTAACTCTCTGTGTTTTTAGAGGTTATATGATAGACATTAATACGTCTAAAAACGTAAAACTTCAAAAATAATATGAATACGTCTACGATATAACCTTTAAAATTACACAGCAAACGCATAGACCATAACAACAGCTGGGCGTGGAAAATGGTGTGACGTAGTTTGCGGGCAGGTTGTCACAACAATGGATGTAGCAGTCCTGTTAGATTCTACTGTCCTTGGGGGCAAACACAATAGTTACTTAGACGATTATCATTAATTAATTCAAATAATTTTGAATTGTGTATTCCAGAGAGCCAAGCCATTCAAATAATAGGGTCGGTCGGAAAATAATATCTAGAAATACAGAATGAAAGTAATTATGCTCTATTAATTAATAATTTTTATAATTTACCTTTTAATGTCTATCATCGCAAGATGGTACACAGCAAGGAATAATAACCGACATTTTTATGATTTAAAAAATTTTAAATGTTTTTTACACTTTTTTACACTTAATTACAAAATTACACTCATAAATTACACTTATTAAAAAAATTTACTGATTTATCAATATCATTTATATTTGATATCACTTAATTTGACTTAGGCCCACTTTTACCACCTCTTGATAAATTTAACCGATAGATAATTACCATGGTTACAGCGGTTTTAAGCGGTCTCATTGGCTAAGAGCGTCAATTTATCTATCGGTTAAATTTATCAAGAGGTGGTAAAAGTGGGCCTTAATTAATCAAAGATGAATACAAACAAAGAAATGAAATATAAGCCACCTTAAAGGTTGTTTAAATTTGAATTTGTGTAGAATTAGTTATCGACGGTAACATCGGATGGCGTTGACGACGGTTATAATTTTCATTCATTTGAGATTCCCCCCCATGATTTTAAATTTGTCACCAGATTGACCTTGCACGTGATTGGTTGAATGCGAGGAAGGTTCACACACTGGCAATTTTGAATTTGAAGGTTAGGTAATTGATTTTGTGTTCTTAAACCCTTTTTTATTATATTTTGAAATAAATACACTCATAACTTCAATGTTAATTTGTATGTTTAGTGTTGACGATAACAAACGAAAATAAATACAATAATAAGTAAATAAATAAATAATAATAATTATTAATTTAAATTTACCGCCAAAATATCTAGTGATATTTTCTGGTGATTTTTCCTAGTGTAAATCTGACTTTCGCGTTTACTCCTCCTGGTTTAAAAACAGAGTATAGCGCTACGTGTTTAGCCGTGCGTTTGAAGACTTTTTAGTTCTAGGTCTAGTGTTATTTCTAGTTTTACACTATCACTACAACTAACACAAAACCTAGAACTAGAATCATTCGGGTTTAGGCGTTTTAAGAGACGTGCGACTAAATCCAATGGTTCTAGTTTTCGGTCTAGTGTTAGTTCTAGTATTAACATAGTCTATTGACACACAGTCTATCTAACGAGAGGTTAGGTACATCAAAAGCCTAAGAAAAACAAGGCTGTTTAGTCGGTAAATATACGTTGAAATCTTACCTAGTTTAGTGAAAATAACTTTACTTTTAAGTTTATCATATTGATAAACTTAAAACACGCACAAAGTAGCTATAACAGGAAAATGCATGATTAACATTGCTTGTGACGTCACAATAAAACTTGACATTTAAAACCGTTTGCTTGACATTTAACTGTCAAACTAAGCCGATAAAGTAGATTTCCATTAATTTTTATAATTATGTTTAAAAAAGTAAATTTTTATTCCTAATTATTTTATTTTTAAAAACACACAATGAAAAACATATCATTTACGTCTCTTACGTTTGATATTACCACATGCAGCGATTATAATAGGTACGATAGGAGCCCCAACTTTCCTTCCAAGATCTTGAATGTGATAAATCGTTTTCATTCCTTGAACAACTTTTCCGAAAACCACTCTTTTCCGATCTAAATGATCCTGGGCTTCGAATGTTATCGAAAATCTCGAATCGTTGAAAGTTCTTTCAATGGGAACCATCGAAACAACACCTGGTTTTGTATGACTTAAAAGGTGTGTCTCCTCGGGAAAACGAAACCCGTAAATACTACAACCTCCTCTGCCGTTATTTAGTGTAACATCTCCGGTTTCGAAGTATTGTCCCTTTACGACGTTGTAAACTTTGCAACATTTGTAGTGAAGCCCTTTGTTTCCATTGCAAATACTTATAAAGTTTTCACAAGTTCTCGGACAAACATCGTTATAAAGTTCTATGATTATTCTACCCATTGGAATACCGTCTTTGATTCTAAAATCGATGAAACAATGAGGTCGCTTTTTCTTCTTTGGTTTTATCCCGAATAATTGTAAATTACTTATAGAAGGCATTGCATTTATAGTTTGATCTAAAGTCTTTGTAATAAACATTTGTAAAGTGTATCGGGCCATATGTTTTAATTTATTAAGGTTATTTTGCCATTCTTTTTCGAGATCTGAATTTGGATAATTGGATTCAACGGATGATAATCTTTTGTAAATTTTTTTGTTTTCTGTTGCAATGTAATGCATGTTTGTTACATGAGCACCCCATCTCGAGCATTGTGCATAAGCTAACGGATTGAATGTATCAAGTTTTCCGCCCATTCGATTTATAATATTAATTTTTCGAACCAACGCTTTATTCTCTACATTGATTTGTTCCAGTCTTGCAGCATCAGCCCTAATTCTGCTCACTCTTATATATTTATTTGGGTTCATTGGCGGTGGTTTATTATCGACGACAGATTCACAAAAAAAGCACTAAAAAAATTATTGTTATTAATATTAGATACAATAATGTAAACTAACTCGATGTCTGTGTTGGTTAAAGGTTTTAAGATCACGTATCATTTCATTATCGGGAACTTCGCCAGGTAAAAATCTCGGCATTTTTGCGAGTTTAAAAACCTTTGGTTTTTTTAGTGGTGGAAGATCCATTTCTGCTTGTTGAGGAAAATTAAAATAAAATGTAATTAAAGTATTATTATTGACATTGTAAAAGAATAACGGTAAACGCAAATTAAATGATTAATAAAATGATTAATTCGAAATGTCTATAATGTCAATAATTATTTTATTTCCATTATTTTTTTATACAACAAAATTAATTAATATGCCTCTTTTTGATTTGGCCACATTTCTCGATAAAATGATCCATAAAAAGATTGAACCCAATTATTACCATTTTTTATTTATAAGCTCTAAATCGATAAAACATCAAAATTGTTGATTTTCGAAAATTAACTCAATCATAACTCAAAAACTAAAAGCGATGGGGAAATACTTTTTGTACATAAAACCTTAGTAATGGACCATAAAGACTAGGTCCATAAAAAGATTGAACCCAATTATTACCATTTTTTATTTATAAGCTCTAAACCGATTAAACATCAAAATTGTTGATTTTCGAAAATTAACTCAATCATAACTCAAAAACTAAAAGCGATGGGGAAATACTTTTTATACATAAAACCTTAGTAATGGACCATAAAGACTAGATCCATAAAAAGATTGAACCCAATTATTACCATTTTTTATTTATAAGCTCTAAATCGATTAAACATCAAAATTGTTGATTTTAGAAAATTAACTCAATCATAACTCAAAAACTAAAAGCGATGGGGAAATATTTTTTATACATAAAACCTTAGTAAAAAAAATTGTGTTAGTTCTAGTTTTAGTGCAATAAAAATATACAACATAGTGATATATAGCAATGTCTACAATGTCAATAATTATTTTATTTCCATTATTTTTTAATACAAAAAAAATTACTTAATATTCCTCTTTTTGATTTGGCCACATTTTTCGATAAAAATTGGTACGATCGGTGACCCAACCTTTTTTCCGAGATCCTGAATATGATAAATCGTTTTCATTCCTTTAATGACTCGTCCAAAAGCGACTCTCTTCGAATCTAATCGTTCTTGGGCTTCGAAGGTTATAGAAAACTTGGAATTGTTGTACATTGTGTCAATGGGAACCATCGAAACAACACCCGGTTTCGAGTGTTTTAAACGGTGCTCCTCTTCAAGAAAACGGTCTCCGTAAATGCTACAACCCCCTCTGCCGTTATTTAAAGTAATATCTCCCATTTCTAAATATTGACCTTTCACAACGTTGTAAACTTTACAAGATTTGTAATGAAGACCTTTGTTTCCTTTACAAATACTTAAAAAGTTTTCGCAAGTTTTTGGACAAACATCGTTGTAAAGTTCAATAATTATCCTTCCCATTGATATTCCGTCTTTAATTTTAAAGTCGAAATAACAACGGGGTCGTTTCCTTTTCGAATCTAGATCGACCTGTTCTAAGTTGCTTATAGAGGGCATTTCGTTAACCGTTTGATCCACACTTTTCGTTAGAAACATTTGTAATGTATACTTAGCCATGTGTTTTAATTTGTTGAGATTATATTTCCATTCTTCATCTAACACAGATTTTGGGTACTTTGACTCAACATTTTGTAATCTTTTGTAAATGAAGAGATTTTGTTTTGTCATATAACTCATCTTAGTTAGATAAGCGTCCCATTTTGAACATGACGCATAAGCCAACGGATTATACGAATCAACTTTACCCTGTTTATAAAGAAAATGCGTTTTAGGAAAGTATTCATGTAATTAAAAAAAGGATTTTACTTACACCATTTCGATTTACCCAATTAATTCTTTTAATCAACGCTTTATTTTGCTCATCGATTTGTTGCAACCGGTCAACATCCCCTCTAAGTCTACTTACTTTTATGTATTTATTTGGGTTCATAAGTGGTGGTTTATTATCAACAACGGCGTCGATGTAAAAACACTACGGAAAGGAGACAAATTTCGTTACTAATATAAATATTTTTAACGAAACCACCAACTCGAGCTTTGTGTTGATTGTAAATTGTGAGATCGCGCTTTAAGTCGTTATCGGGGACTTCCCCGGGCAAATATCTCGGTATTTTTGTTGGTATGAAAACTTTTCGTCTTCTGATAGCCCGAGCCCGTTTTTCCATTTTTTCAAATCTTCCCAACACCATTTTCTTTTAGTGAAAAAAAAATCACACAAAAATAGCGACGAAAATTAAAATGTGATTGAAAAACGAATGGATTACAATATTTAAAAAGAATAATAACACAAAACGTCTAAAAAAAATCTATGAAAATTAATAATGACAAATAAACTAATAATTTAGATACAACCTAACCTTAAAAAAGCTTTTATAACCTCAACCATGTCAATTTTAACCTATTTCGGTGAGTTTTTTTTTTCTTCAAACTTATTTTTGATAAATATCAAAATGAATTTAAAATGTTTTAATGCAAAAACATTGTTTATTGTAGAAACTTAAAATTTGTTATAATTCTTGTAAATCCTTTTATAACCTCAATTTCAACCAGATGTCTATCAAATAACCTCAATAAGTTAGCTGTCAAATCTTCCCAACACCATTTTTTTTTAGTGAAAAAAAAAATCACAAAAAATAGCGGCGAAAATAAAATGTGATTGAAAAAAGAATGGGGTATAATATTTAAAAAGAGTAATAACACAAAACGTCTAAAAAAAATCTATAAAAATTAATAATAACAAATAAACTAATAATTTAGATACAACCTGCTACGTCTTTACTCAATAAAAGTACGAAGATGTGTTCAACTAAAAATTTATTTAGAACTGAAACTGGTTTCCCAAATTTACATCTTTTATATAAACAGTATACACAACACGCAAACTCAGAACGCTAAGATGCAAAACAAATCAAATTAAATTCTATAAATCTATAACACCCCTATCCTTATTTCTTTTTTATTTATTTATTTTTTTTTTTTACAAAAANGTTATTTTGACTCATTATCATTGATTTTTATGGGAAACGTTTTTCTCTATCACCTTTAATTTTCTACTTATAACAGAATTTAACGCAGATGATTGTCAATTTTGATGTTGTGGGATTTACTGGACACAAGTCAACCCAAACCAAAAGAAAAAAATCCATTTTGCGTGAAGTTCATCAATCAACAATCCCGATAATGAAGCTCACCAATCAATAGGCCTGAAACTCAAGTGTCAAACCAATCAGTAACTCATACTACCAGATTTACCATCACCAGATTTTCCGCCAAATATCCCAGAAAAACCCATCACTGCACCTTTTTGCAGGTTCTTTATAAACAAAAGGCCAGAGTGCTATTTTACCGTTGAAATACTGTTTTTACCACTGTCATAGCGTGGTCTGGCTACTGCCGCCATAAACATAACTTTAGTTATGAACCGTTTGCTTTTACAGCACCTTTCTGGTTCTGCTTCGTCCAGCGTTAGTATGACCTTTTAACTTGCGTTGAGTCGTACATATCCTCAAAACATCGATTTGATTTAACCTTCGACAAACAGAACTCTACTTTCTTTCATTAATTAAATTAAGATTACATTATATTATATTAAATAGAAACTCGTTAATTCTCCAAACTTTCCTTAATCCATAAATTTTAGAGAAACGTATACCATAATTTGGGACATAGGGAATATTTGTTTTTTTTTTGTAACTATCTTTTTGTTTTAATTGTAATTATATTATCTTTTTTTTATATTTGTATTTGTATGGGCAATAAAGTCATTATTATTACTATTATTGCTACGTCTTTACTCAATAGAAGTACGAAGATGTGTTCAACTAAATAATTTATTTGGAACTGAAACTGGTTTCCCAAATTTACATCTTTTATATAAACAGTATACACAACACGCAAACTCAGAACGCTAAGATGCAAAACAAGCCAAATTAAATTCTATAAATCTATAACACCCCTATCCTTATTTTTTTTATTTTGTTTTATTTTTTTTTTAGAAAAACAAATAAAATTAAATAATACTCTAATTAAATTCATAATTTGTGAACTTAAATCATTTAAAGAAAACTAACTACTAACTCTAATTTCTCGGTCGCAAATTATACCGAGACGACGACGGAAGTTATATCTACTGTATTACCAATTTCAATTTGTTCGCTTGTTACGTTTTTCGGTTCTACAGTATCACTCGAACTAGGCTCACTCAGGAACGAATCGGGAGTGCACAAAGGAAGGGATTTCCGGATATTTAATGGTCTAATTTGATTGGAATGTCGCCTAACAATATTCCCTGAATTTGTCTTAACCTCAAAAATGTTTTGTCTTGGGTTTTCCTTAATTATTCCTTTTTCCCAAGTTGGCATGTTAGGTTTTGTATAAGATTTGACCAATACTTCCTCGTTCATATCCAGAACCTTATTTCTTTCTTCCGCATAACTACGTTCTTCTACTTTTGTCATGTTTCTTTCCACAATGTTTTGTCTATTCGGTATTAACAAATCTAATCTAGATTTTAAGTTTCTTCCAAACATGGCCACAGCTGGACTAACTTCTGTAGTACTTTGAGAGACATTGCGGTAATCAAATAAATATCTACACAAAGCTATATTTATATCTTCTTTCTGTAATGCTGCTTTCTTTATTGCATTTTTAATTATTTTCACGGCATTTTCTGCAGCTCCGTTGCTCTGTGGATGATATGGAGGCGAGAACATTTGCCGAATACCATTCAATTTTAAATAATTACTAAATTCTGCAGAGGAAAAAGGAGGTCCATTGTCGGATACGATCATGTCCGGCAAACCAAAATGGCAAAATATTTTCTCAAATAGGTCAAATAAGAGATTCTGCATTTGTGCAACTCATTTGCTCAACCTCAATCCATTTGGTGTATGTATCAATTAAAATTAAATAACGTTTACCAAAAATAGGTCCTAATAAAGTCTAAATAAAGTCTACTCCATGGTCTATTTGTTAAGGGCCAGGGTCTAGGTGCAATTTTAGGTGGATTATTCATTACCGCAGTACAGATTTTACAACTTTTACACATTCTTTCAATATCTGCATCCAAACTCGGCCACCAAAAATAACTGCGAGCTATAAAGCCTTTGATTTATTTATTGCTAAATGGCTCAAATGAATTTCGGCTAATAATGCGCTACGTAATTTCGTGGGAATTACCATTCTATAACCCCATACTATACAGTCGTATTCCAAATGTAATTGATCTTTCTTATTTACAAAAGGTAAAAATTCATCCCCTATATCTTTCCGATCCGGCCAGCCGTGTAAGCAATAACTGTAAACTTTACTCAGAACTGGATCTATTCTAGTTTGCATTTTAATTTGTTTATGATTTATTGGTGGAAATTCTTGTAAATAGAATAAATAACCCATATCGACGCTCTCTTCATGTTTATGTTTTAACGGCAACCGCGACAATGCGTCCGCGATTATGTTCTCTTTGGAATTTATAAATTTAATTGAATATTGATAGGTCGATACGATAAGAATGTTTTCGACAATAAGAATGTTTTCCTCTGCTTCTTGTACAGCGCGACGAAATTTATAACGTTCTGCTATTTCCGACGGTTTCGGATTAAAATGTTTTTTCATTTTTACTACTAAATCTTCAAATTTCTCATCTTCCGGTTTCTTAGGACTGCATAAATCCCTAATATATACAGGTTGTCCCGTTAAGCGTACGGAGCGGCTGTATCTCTAGAACGTTAAGGCCTAGAGGTTTGGGAAAAAAATCCTTATAAGCAAAGTGACCAAGAGAAATAGCTGGAAATTATTTTGAAGTTTGTAAGTCGACCGCTAGGGGGCGTAACTGCCATTGAGAAACATAAAGTTCCCGCTATCTCAGAAACTTAGACGATGAGCTATAACTTTGACAACATCATTTAATAGCTTGTATAATACCGCATCGCTTTTGTTTAGCGATATTTCTCATATTTGTAATAATAAGGGAGGGGGAGACCAATGCGTTTTCATATGTTTCAATTTTAATATCTCCTAGACCATTCAACCGATTTGAATATTTTCGGTGTTGTTTGAAAGAGCATTTTATCCTCTTTTTAAAAATATTTTCAGTAAGACCGTTTGCTTTAAAACAAATGAGCTAGAGGGCGTTATCTGCAGCGATTACATATTTTTGTGATTTTTGAAGAAAAGTTAAATGGAACGATACTATTTACTTCACAGACCCTTAGTCACCTTAAAATTTGCTAAATTTTAGTGAAAACCGCATCTCGATATCGCCACCCGTTCTCGAGTTATAGAAGAAAATGTTAAAAACTCGAGTGCCATCAATCGGATCCAGTTACCTCATCGAGAAAAACAAATCACATAACCATGGTAACTGTAAACATGTCATTTACTAACGCAGAAGCGTATGATAGAGCGTATGATGATTTATTTTCAATGTTTCGAATACGATGCAACTGCATGGCAAAAATGTGCAATGCAATTACGACAAAGAAAGACATTTTTCTCTAGAAGTGTTTTTAAGATTGACTTAGCGATTACGGAAAACTGGCAACGTGTAGCCCATTCAGACATCTCTATGAATTCGTAAATCACATTGGTGCGCAATGTGATCCCACATAATCTGGGAACTCCGAAAACAATTGTCCACAAGAGTTCTCAAGAGAATAATATCTCCACCACGTTGTTTTACATCAGGCCTTAACAGATACCGATTATGATAACAGACTGAACTATTACCATTGACTTTTAAATATGATTTGGGCAAATCCAAACCTTTTATCACAAATGCTATGGATGCATGAAGCATCTGTCCACAAGCTGATGTAAACTTGCATAATATGCATTCTTGGTTCGAGCAAAACCCACATTGCTTTCACCCCTTTATCTATTGGGTAGACTAAACGACCTGACTTTTCAAGAAAAACCAATAACCAGGGAAAATATGACAAAACACTAAATACCAGTAGAAACGTGTCCAGGGCCGAGACTTAAGCAGCGCTTTTTTTTCGTCGAAACTAGATTAAATAAATGCATCGAGGTTTATGGAAGGCATTTCGCACATTAGTGAGTTATTTTTGCCAAAAATTTAAGTTATTCTAAGTGTTTTGGTTTATTTTGTTTTATTATCATTGTTGATGTTTCATTGATCCGTTGGCTTTTCAACACGCCTCAAAAGTAGTTTTGAAGCAGTTCTAAGCTTGGATAAAGTGTGAAGGAAGGTTCTAGATAATAAAATTTTTGTTCTCTCTTATTTGTTTCCTAAGGTAACTTGATCCGATTAAGATATACGAATTTTTAACATTTTCTTTTATAATTCGAGAATGGATGGAGATATCGAGATGCGGTTTTCACTAATATTTAGCAAATTTTATGGTGATTAACGGTCTGTGAAGTAAATAGTACCGTTCCATTTAACTTTTTTTCAAAAATCACAAAAATATGTAACCGCTGCAGATAACGCCCTCTAGCTTATTTGTTTTAAACCAAGCGGTCTTACTGAAAATATCTTTTAAAAGAGCATGAAATGCTCTTTCAAACAAGACCAAAAATATTCAAATCGGTTGAATGGTCCAGGAGATATTAAAATGTAAACATTTGAAAACGCATTGGCCTCCCCCTCCCTTATTATGACAGATATGAAAAATATTGCAAAACAAAAGCGATGCGGTATTATCCAAGCTACTAAATGATGTTGTCAAAGTTATAGCTCATCGTCTAACTTTCTGAGATAGCGGGAATTTTATGTTTCTCTATGGCAGTTACGCCCCCTAGCGGTCAAATTACGAACTTCAAAATAATTTCCAGGTATTTCTCTTGCCCACTTTGCTTATAAGGATTTTTTTCCCAAACCTCTAGGCCTTACCGTTGTTGAGCTACAGCCGCTCCGTACGCTTAACGGGACACCTGTATGAAGATTCTGCCCCCATTACCGTAATTAACATGGCCGTTTGAGTTCCGGTTTTATTTCATTTGCTTTAAAAAATTGACGCACACGTGCGATATAAGATGTCCAGTTCCCATTTCTTACATCGAATTCTTCAATTCTTCCTGTTGTCATTCTTGATGTTAACTTTATTTTCACTTTTTATAATTTTTATCCTCGTCGCCACTTGCTACGTCTTTACTCAATAAAAGTACGAAGATGTGTTCAACTAAATAATTTATTTGGAAATAAAACTGGTTTCCCAAATTTACATCTTTTAAATGTATAAACAGTATACACAACACGCAAACTCAACGCTAAGATGCAAAACAAGTCAAATTAAATTCTATAAATCTATAACAATTATGTTTCTACTATTGTTTATTGATGTCCAATTCACAATTTTACCTAATTTTTCAGGTCTAGCAATTCCATCAAGGGAAGAAGCTGCCGCGAGGGTAGAACGGAAAACACAATGCAAGTTTTGTATAGGTAGTGAGAGGCCTTCAAAGATACTTATGAACTGTTTTATTGCATCTGTGGCGACCACAGGATGCAGCACTGCTGTGTGCGAATCTACATTTTCAACTTTGACTGCAATCAATAGGCCTCAGAGGCTCTCAATGGGTCATGAAAGAATGGCAGGCATGGCATGGTAAGTCAGTTGATCTCAATGAAGTCCCCTCCCGGAAATTAAGTACTACCTCACTCACTCAGTCATATTCAACAAGTACAGTGAAAATCGATTTACCAGATCAGATCAAGTAAAATTTTTACTTACGCCCTACCTGTAACCACCGTTGTCCTACTTTAAATTCAACTCTAGATACGGCCCTGTCCATAATGGCAGGAAATGTAAGTAACACTCAACGTACAACATCTTGAGTCATCTTCATTCGATCATTAAGACATTTTTTTAATTGAATAACATTTAATTAACCTTCAAATCAAAAGCGAAACATAACCTAAATTTTAAACGTCAAAAGAAAATTGTCACCAACACGAACTTAGTGATTTTTTCCTTAACCAACCTAATGTCATTTTGACGTTTCGGTCGATTTATAAAGAATTATATTTTTAAATTATTAAATTTGTATTGATTAAGGAAAAAAGTGGAAAAATCGAATCTTAATGATATCTCTAAAAGATTAAATTAGGTTTATAAACTAGATTTTTTTGAATCAAACTGATTNCTAAATTAAGTTTTACTGTAATAATATTATCATTTAATATTTTCTCTGTATTTATATTTTAATAGTTATCATCATAAAATTGATTTAAATTAGGAACAATTTTTATTTGTTTTCCAAAAATCATTTTTTAATAAAACATAATACATTAAATAATTTATTATGCTATTTTCGATAATTTAATTGAATATTTAGCTGGTTTCTATTACAATAAACCTATTTAAAAATCCCGTAGTGACAAATTCTAAATTACTCCTTCTCTACCTGCTTTGGCCGTCGTGATTACTCCGGCCCTTTAGCCTTGCGCAGGGTTTCAAAGTAAACCAACCCGACCTTCCCCGACTTCGAGCTAGCCATCCTTCTTTAATTTTCATTTAAAAAGATCACGAGTGTACACGCCGTATCGTACGTTAAAGTTGCTTCCGAAAACAAACGTTGACGAATTATTTCGCTTTTTAAACCAAACACTATTTGATCTCGAAGGTTTTCTTCCAATTGTGCCCCAAAATTCCAATTTTTTGCTAATTTCTTCAATTTTACCATAAAATTTGTAATGTTTTCCTCTGGTTCTTGTACAGCGCGACGAAATTTATAACGTTCTGCTATTTCCGACGGTTTCGGATTAAAATGTTTTTCCATTTTTGCTACTAAATCTTCAAATTTCTCATCTTCCGGTTTCTTAGGACTGCATAAATCCGTTAATATATCAAAAGATTCTGCCCCCATAACCGTAATTAACATGGCCGTTTCGAGATCCAGTTTTATTTCATTTGCTTTAAAAAATTGACGCACACGTGCGATATAAGATGTCCAGTTCCCATTTCTTACATCGAATTCTTCAATTCTTCCTGTTGTCATTCTTGTTGTTAACTTTATTTTCACTTTTTATAATTTTTATCCTCGTCGCCACTTGCTACGTCTTTACTCAATAAAAGTACGAAGATGTGTTCAACTCAAAATTTATTTAGAACTGAAACTGGTTTCCCAAATTTACATCTTTTATATAAACAGTATACACAACACGCAAACTCAGAACGCTAAGATGCAAAACAAATCAAATTAAATTCTATAAATCTATAACACAACCTAACCTTAAAAAAGCTTTTATAACCTCAACAATGTCAATTTTAACCTATTTCGGTGAGTTTTTTTTTCTTCAAACTTATTTTCGATAAATATCAAAATGAATTTAAAATATTTTAATGCAAAAACATTGTTTATTATAGAAACTTAAAATTTGTTACAAATCTTTTATAACCTCAATTTCAACCAGATGTCAATCAATCAAATAACCTCAAATAGTTAGTTGTCATTTTGACAAGTACTCTCAAACGTAATTAAAAACAGCTTATGATATGATACGAATTAAAAGATAAACAAAATTATTATTAAATAATGAATCTTACGTTATATCGCATTCTATTGTACATCAATAAATCCGGTTTTGAAACCCAATTCGTAACTGAATTAGGAAGAAATCGAATTTTTTCGTGCGGACGAAATATTTTGCCATCTTTCCTTTTTCTTTTAAAAAACATGTACGCTTCAGCAGTTTTTATAACCATCTTAATAAAGATTTTCACTGCCAATTTCTATACAACCCCTAAACCCCCAAAAAAATCATTAATAAATTAATTAAACATTAAATAATGATTGATTTGTCATAATTACTTTCATCATCAGTCAACCTCAATAAAAATTAAAAGTAATCTTCCCCATATTTATGTTTTAAATCGAAAATGAATCCAGGTGAAAAGATCGATTCGGATTTGGAAGATTTAAAGATTTCTAAAACGAAAAAAGCGTCCAATTCGGGGGATCAAATGATATTGGACGAGAAGCAAATGAGGATGGTTAAAATGAAAGAAACATCTTCGAGTCGAGACATTCTTATTGGGATGCTTCAAGGTCAGTTGAAAAAAATGGAGGATTTGTATAAAAAGAGTTTGGATGAGCAGCAAGAAATTCGGCATAAATATGGAAGAGTTGTGCAAGAATTGGGGACATTAAAGATTATTACCAACAAATTGGAGGCTGATAATAAAAAATTGAATCGAAATTCAGATCAAAAAGACGAGTTTAATGAACCAGAAATTTGCAAAGAAAAATATGAGGTGATGATGAAGAAAGTTTTAGATTTAGAAAACTCACACCTTGAAAGACACGAAAATCAATTGTTGAATTTAATGGTGCATTTTCGGAGAATTGAGGGATTGTTGAAAGAGCAAAATAAAAAAATTGATGGGTTTATGATTGTGTTGGACACATCAAAAAGAAAATTTAAAAATGATAACGATGGAAGTGTTCCTTTAATTGAATTCAAAAATCCGGAATTTTCTGAAACCGTGTTTTACTCCACAACTTCAATTAAAGGCGAATCAATTCCAAAATCAACGTTTGAATCCCCGAAATTGATGCAATCTTCACTTCTTGGTGTTAACATTGAGCCGATTAGAAATAAATCTGTGCCAATTAAACGAAAATCAAGCAATAAGTTAAGTTTTGATGCCCCGAAGAAGCTCCGCTCTAATTGCGAAGTAGATGAATTAATCTTTTTGAATGACAACGTCGAATTAAAGGATGAACTTAAAAAGACATCTTTAATAATTAAGGATGGGGGACGAAATGAAGGTTTAAGAGAAAAATCTTCTCCGGATGGATTTTTTAGTTGGTACGAAGATTTTGATTGTTCCCAAATAGAAGAAAGATCTTTAACTGGGATAAATAACAACGATGGGAAAGGAGAAATCTGCTCGGAGTCTACGATACCTCTAAATAAGATGGTTTCGTTATCTACAAAGGATTGTGTAGATGAAGAATCTGATGTTTTAAGAGGTTCAACTCAAAAAAGAAAAATTGAATCTTTTATGGAACAAAAAGTCACTCAAACAGACATTAAAATGATTCAATTAAATGATTTGGTTTCTTCAGTTAAGAAAAGAGTTGGGTTTTTGCAAACTGAAACATTTTTAAATGAAGAAATTAAAACGTTCAGTGCTTATGTACCTGAAAAAAAGATTTCTGGGAAAGATATTGTTTCAAACATAATAAATCCCATTACAGTTCATGATTTATTAACTCAATTATTAAAATATAATGAAAATTACGCAACCAACACAACATTAAACTTACAACGTCTTTTAGAAGAATTTGGCGATTTTAACGTTTCAGAAATTGAATCGAACAAAAAAGATCAACAACATCAAATTAATTTAGAAAATAATGATTTAAATAGAATTATCGATGTACAAAAGGTTGAAATTGATTGTTTAAAAAAAGATATTGAAGAAAAAAGTCGCACTTTTCACGAATCTGTCATAAACGACCGTGAAAATTTAGCAAAGAATGCAATGTTGCTTCAACAATATGAGAATGAAATCGATGCAATCAATAAAAAGTATACAAAAGCTATGGAAGACTTAGATGTTGTAATGGATGGCAATAAAAGTTTGCAAAATAAAGTTAAAAACCTTCAAAACTGTTTGATTCATCACCAGGAACAATCAACGATTTTAGGGATTGAATCGAGAAAGTCGTCGGAGAAAATCCAAGAAATAACTTCTTTATTAGAAAATGCTGATATGAAATTAATCGAAAAAGAGGAAGAAATTGAAAAATTAAAAGCTTTAAATCATGAAATTGTCGATTTAAAACAAAAAAATGATGAATTATCAAAAAATTTGGACGAAAAAGACGGATTCATTTCAAACCAAACGAAAGAAATGAAAGATCTTGAAGAAAAACTTTTAGAAATAATGAGTCACTTAGACGAAGAGCTACAAGAAAATAACTTAGATAAAACAACCAAAAATAACAACCAGAATCTACAAAAAATAATCAACTCTAACAAACAAATTCAACAACAATTCAACAATATTAATTCGATTCTTTCATCATTTCAAGTTGAGAAGAAAAAGTTAATAACCAACAATTTCTTTCTTCAACAACAACTAAAAACAGAAAGATCTTCCTTTAAAAATGAACAAGAAACAATTTTAAACAACCTAAAACACCTCCACGTTGAAAAGCAATCGCTTGAAGATCAATTAATCGAATTGAAAGAGAAATTAATTAAAATTACAAACGAAGAAAACCAAGAAGTATTACGATGGAAAAGTGATTACGAGGATTTACAGGATAAATTAAAAATGTGTATGGCCGAATTGAAATGTTTAAAAGAGAATCGAAAAAATAACGCGAATTTAAAAGTGGAAAATGGGAAGTTAAAAAATAAATTGACCGTGTTGAATCGACGATTAATCGAATTAATTGATGCGAGAAAAAGTTGTGTTGAGTTAAAGTATTCTAACGAGAGATTAAAAAGGAAAGTGGATGTTTTGGAGAAGGAATTGAAAAAGGAAAAAGCTACGATTTCGAATACTGGGGGGTTAAAACCTTTAGTGCCTATTAACGAGGAACGTTTAGATTTCGAGGTGAAACAAGAAGTGAAAAAAGAAGTGAGAAAATTGTTTGATAATTTCAAATTTAAAGAGAATTCGGATGTTTCTTCGAAAGGATCGAGGGAAAGGGATGAGTTTTTGGTTAAAAATAACAGGTTATAAAGAATTATTTAAATAATTTGATGAATTTTATATTTACGATTTCTATTTTATCGACATCAATGACATATTAATGTCATTTTAGATGTCAAAGTAAATTTTTTAAATTAAAATTCTTTTTAGAGTTATAGAAAGTAAAGGAAAAATTCAAGATTTAAAAAAATCTGTCCAAAAATCTTCTTCAAAACCTTGTAAAAGTAAACAATCAAAAAAAAAGTAAATCAAAAAATTCTTAATAAAATTTTATTTTAGTTCCAATAAATAAGAATCCAAAATTGAATAAAATGGGAAAAATTCCGGTTAGAGTTTGTTCAAAATGTCCACATGGTATTTGGTAACGTTTTAATAACATTAATAATATTAACCAATATTTATTTTCAGTTTAAAATGACCATAACAAAGTAAAATAAGAAAATAAAATGTAAAATTGTAACATTCTTTTAATTTGTTTTTATGCTTGATAAAAACGAAGATGATAAAATCCCATCTAAATTATTCTTGATTTTATTAGAATTTCCGGTAAGATTTTGCAAAGAACTCACAGCCGATTGCATCGTTAATTGACATTTCACCAAATCTTGTTCAACATTCGATAAAGTCTTGTGGCATTGCCCCAAAACACCATTCGCTAAATTATTTATGTTTCCACATAACTTTAAATTAGATTCTCTTAATTTTTTATGTAACAAAGAATCTGTATATTCATCTTTAATAACAATCATATTTGGTTTCGGAGTTGCAATTTCTACAATTTTTTTTTTAATTATATATTATCTAATTTTTTTGAATATACCTTGATCTGATTCTGAATCTTCACCTTGAATTACTGAAGCTTGAAATGTGTTTACATCGGAGTACTAAAACAAGAAAATTTATAATTTGTTTAAACAAAAATTGTAAACATAACCTCCAAAACACCACGGACGATATCATCATCACTATCGGTTTCTGAAGCTTCCCCGCTAACAATTACAGCTTTATTACTCATTATTAAACTAAATAATTAAAATTATCCCGAATAAAAAGTAAAAATAAGTGTTTTTATTAAAAGAATTAACCTCAAACTTTATCTGTCAAAAGTGACAACTTGACAACAATAATATACAGTATATTTTTTTTTGTGTAGCTGTTATACGAGATTTTTAATCGTGTTTTGTCCTAATTTTGATTATTAAGTACCGGTTTTTTTAAAAAAACTTCAAAGTCAATTGAATTATTAAAAAATTGCGGAAAATTCGAAGTCAACTGTACTTTCAAATGAACAAAGTAAAATAATAATAAAATTTCATATAAAACGAAATCGCGCCATATTTTGACGAGTATGCGGCAGAAACATGGACGATTACGAAAAATAACGAAAACTTGTTGGGCTGCTTTGAAAGAAAGATATATACCTGTGAAAGATACTCTGCCACATATACAGCATGTTCATGAAAACACAACATGGAAAAGGAGTTACAATTTTGAGTTGTACCGGCTCTATGAATAACCGAATATTGTAGGAACCATCAAAATCGATAGATGAAAGGGAACCAAAAGTAAATGTTCCGCTAAACAGTTTTTGGAACCTGCAAGAGAGGCAAATATAGGAACCAGGTGGAAGAAAGTCTAAAAATGCTGGGAGTTAGAAACTGGAAGCCTAAGGCACGAGATAGAAGAGAGTTCAAGCTGATTCTAAAATAGGCCAAGATCCACCAGGGATTGTGGTGCCAATGATAATGATGATAAATCGACTTAAAAGTAGCGTTGAATGAACTAAAATACTGTATTGAAAAACACTTATTTGTTTAAATTTGTTTTTTGAATTCTCTTATCTCAGGGTTCTTTATACAAAATAATAATTGAGCGAAAAGTTATTTAAAAAGAAAGTTGATATTACAGAATTCTATTTTAAATTCGTTAACTGAGAGAAAGTGTAATGTCAATAATGACAGATGTCACACTACTAATAATTACTTTCGAACTTTTCAAAATTCCGAAACTTATTCTATTCATATCTTCTTTAATTCTTCACTAATCTGGATGAAATTTCGTATATGATACATACATTTTTCTGTCTCAGTTTTCCATTGGTGTTCTATAACATGATATCATAATTGACCCCTTAGAAGTTTCAAGAACTGCCAATTCGATATCTCTTTCAATAGAGAAATTAACTATATGTGGTGCCAATGATAATGATGATAAATCGACTTAAAAATAGCGTTGAATAAACTAAAATACTGTATTGAAAAACACTTATTTGTTTAAATTTGTTTTTTGAGTTCTCTTATCTCAGGGTTCTTTATACAAAATAATAATTGAGCGAAAAGTTATTCAAAAAGAAAGTTGATATTACAGAATTCTATTTTAAATTCGTTAACTGAGAGAAAGTGTAATGTCAATAATGACAGATGTCACACTACTAATAATTACTTTCGAACTTTTCAAAATTCCGAAACTTATTCTATTCATATCTTCTTTAATTCTTCACTAATCTGGATGAAACTTCGTATATGATACATATATTTTTCTGTCTCAGTTTTCCATTGGTGATCTATAACATGATATCATAATTGACCCCTTAGAAGTTTCAAGAACTGCCAATTCGATATCTCTTTCAATAGAGAAATTAACTATATCTCTCTTTTCAGTAAAAATTTATCGCACCAAACCATTTCTAATGATCTGTTGCGTTGTCTGGACAATAATAATTTGAACATTTGCGAACATGATTCTTCAATTACATTTGTCTACTGAAGCTTGAAATGTGTTTACATCGGAGTACTAAAACAAGAAAATTTATAATTTGTTTAAACAAAAATTGTAAACATAACCTCCAAAGCACCACGGACGATATCATCATCACTATCGGTTTCTGAAGCTTCCCCGCTAACAATTACAGCTTTATTACTCATTATTAAACTAAATAATTAAATTTATCCCGAATAAAAAGTAAAAATAAGTGTTTTTATTAAAAAATTAACCTCAAACTTTATCTGTCAAAAGTGACAACTTGACAACAATAATATACAGTATGTTTTTTTTTTATGTAGCTGTTATACGAGATTTTTAATCGTGTTTTGTACCCATTTTGATTATTAAGTACCGGTTTTTTCCAAAAAACTTCAAAGTCAGTTGAATTATTAAAAAATTGCGGAAAATTCGAAGTGGGTGGAAAGTCAACTGTACTTTCAAATGAACAAAGTAAAATAATAATAAAATTTCATATAAAACGAAATCGCGCCATTTTCTGACGAGTATGCTGCAGAAACATGGAAGATTACGAAAAATAACGAAAACTTGTTGGGCTGCTTTGAAAGAAAGATACCTGTGAAAGATTCTCTGCCACATATACAGAATGTTCAGGAAAACACAACATGGAGAAGGAGTTACAATTTTGAATAGTACCGGCTATATGAATAATCGAATATTGTATGAACCATCAAAATCGAACCCCCAAAGTAAATGTTCCGCCAAACAGTTTATGGAACCTGCAAGAGAGGCAAATATAGGAACCAGGTGGAAGAAAGTCTAAAAATGCTGGGAGTTAGAAACTGGAAGCTTAAGGCACGAGATAGAAGAGAGTTTAACTTGATTCTAGAACAGGCGAAGACCCACCAGGGATTGTGGTGCCAATGATAATGATGATAAATCAACTTAAAAATAGCGTTGAATGAACTAAAATACTGTATTCAAAAACACTTATTTGTTTAAATTTGTTTTTTGAGTTCTCTTATCTCAGGGTTCTTTATACAATACAATAATTTAGCGAAAAGTTAATCAAAAAGTAAGTTGATATTACAGAATTCTATTTTAAATTCGTTAACTGAGAGAAAGTGTAACGTCAATAATGACAGATGTCACACTACTAATAATTACTTTCGAACTTTTCAAAATTCCGAAACTTATTCTATTCATATCTTCTTTAATTCTTCACTAATCTGGATGAAACTNTTGGTTTCGGAGTTGCAATTTCTACAATTTTTTTTTTAATTATATATTATCTAATTTTTTTGAATATACCTTGATCTGATTCTGAATCTTCACCTTGAATTACTGAAGCTTGAAATGTGTTTACATCGGAGTACTAAAACAAGAAAATTTATAATTTGTTTAAACAAAAATTGTAAACATAACCTCCAAAGCACCACGGACGATATCATCATCACTATCGGTTTCTGAAGCTTCCCCGCTAACAATTACAGCTTTATTACTCATTATTAAACTAAATAATTAAATTTATCCCGAATAAAAAGTAAAAATAAGTGTTTTTATTAAAAAATTAACCTCAAACTTTATCTGTCAAAAGTGACAACTTGACAACAATAATATACAGTGTGTTTTTTTTATTTAGCTGTTATACGAGATTTTTAATCGTGTTTTGTCCTAATTTTGATTATTAAGTACCGGTTTTTTTCAAAAAACTTCAAAGTCAGTTGAATTATTAAAAAATTGCGGAATATTCGAAGTGGGTGGAAAATCAACTGTACTTTCAAATGAACAAAGTAAAATAATAATAAAATTTCATATAAAACGAAATCGCGCCATTTTCTGACGAATATGCGGCAGAAACATGGACGATTACAAAAAATAACGAAAACTTGTTGGGATGCTTTGAAAGAAAGATATACCTGTGAAAGATACTCTGCCACATATACAGGGTGTTGAGGAAAACAGAACATGGAGAAGGAGTTACAATTTTGAGTTGTACCGGCTCTATGAATAACCGAATATTGTACAAACCATCAAAATCGAACTCCAAAAGTAAATGTTCCGCCAAACAGTTTTTGGAACCTGCAAGAGAGGCAAATATAGGAACCAGGTGGAAGAAAGTCTAAAAATGCTGGGAGTTACAAACTGGAAGCTTAAGGCACGAGATAGAAGAGAGTTCAAGCTGATTCTAGAATAGGCCAAGACCCACCAGGGATTGTGGTGCCAATGATAATGATGATAAATCGACTTAAAAATAGCGTTGTATGAACTAAAATACTGTATTGAAAAACACTTATTTGTTTAAATTTGTTTTTTGAGTTCTCTTATCTCAGAGTTATTTATACAAAATAATAATTTAGCGAAAAGTTGTTAAAAAAAAGTTAATATTACAGAATTCTATTTTAAATTCGTTAACTGAGAGAAAGTGTAACGTCAATAATGACAGATGTCACACTACTAATAATTACTTTCGAACTTTTCAAAATTCCGAAACTTATTCTATTCATATCTTCTTTAATTCTTCACTAATCTGGATGAAACTTCGTATATGATGCATATATTTTTCTGTCTCAGTTTTCCATTGGTGATCTATAACATGATATCATAATTGACCCCTTAGAAGTTTCAAGGGCTGCCAATTCGATATCTCTTTCAATAGAGAAATTAACTACATCTCTCTTTTCAGTCAAAATTTATCGCACCAAACCATTTCTAATGATCTGTTGCGTTGTCTGGACAATAATAATTTGAACATTTGCGAACATGATTCTTCAATTACATTTGTCTTCTGAAGCCATTCCATTTCACTCTATGTTCATAAATAATGTTTTTCTCATGATTTGAAGTGTGAATATTTTTTTGATACACCTGTATATAAATAATAAGCATTATAAAAAAAGGAATAAATTAAAAATGAGGTTATGTAAGATTTCTTGGCAAAATAAAAAATCCAATTAAAAAGGCAAAAAAACATTTATTACATAATTATTAGTGTGTATAGTACAATTCGTTGAGATTATTATTATTCATGGTGTGACAAAAAGATTATTATAAAAAGAGACATTAGGAAAGAACCGTATGTATAAAGAAATACTGAGATATACGATCGAATAAATGTGCATATCGAAAAGTTCCAATCGTTCTTTTTATTCTTTTAAGTGTGATGACTAGAAACAAACTTGTTATATCCCTATACTTTGGTTACATATCAATCTTATTATAAAAAAAACTACCTTATAAGTTGATCTCTAACTCTTTTTTTTTTAATTTTTCGTTATTAGTTTTAATTATATGTATATATTTAGGTTTACATATATTTTCTTCGTTTTTAACGTTTCTCTTTTTTCATTTTTTTTTTGATTATTAATAAAGAGTATACTTATTAATTAACATTACTAATAAGTGTTGTAAATTAATCGAATAAGCTGCTTTTTTTACTTTTTTAACATTATCGTTTCGTTGAAAATCTTTTTAGCCACTAAATTAAAAGTAGTATACAAAATAATCTCTTTGTTGTTTGATAAAAAGTGGATAAGTTCATTTTTATAGTGCAAAAATATCTTATAATATAAAAAGGGATTCTTTTTCTCCTTTTTTTTTTTGCTTTAAGGTTAATTGGCTGGATTTTCTTTTAAATATACAAGGTGAATTTAAAGCGATCATCCTGTATATAAAAATATAAAACATAAAAATGGCACAACACATAATTAATAATTATTTTTAAAGAAAATCATTCGTTTCTCATTTATAATTGACATATAAAAATATCGTCGTTTATTTTTAAGCAAACTTTTAAATGCACTTAAAATGAGTATTAAAATTAAAATCAATTCAGTTCAACAATCAGATTTTGAGTAAAAATGCCCCTGATGTAAACTTAAAACATTATTTTTTTCTTTTACATAATGAGACACTTGCGTTGACGACGTTTTTGGGGTTCCGGCCTCAAAACAGCCCTCACGGCTTCATCGAAAACCTGTTTAAGTCCACGTTGAGTCAAAGCCGAACATTCCATATATTTTACAGCGCGTATTTTATTTGCTAATTTTTGACCTTGCTCACGCTTTATAGGGCTTAAACCTTGATCGGCTAAAATGCTTAACGTTTCTCTATCATCACGAAGATCTATTTTTGTTCCTAAATATTAAATTAATTTGGTTAATTAAAAAAAGTTAGGTTAAAATTTTAAAATTTTTTGAGGTTATTACCAACTAAGATCATGGGAGCATCCGGACAATGATGCTTAATTTCTGGATACCATTTAGATGTGACATTTTCAAAACTAGATGGTGAAGCTACTGAAAAACAGATTAAAAAGACGTCGGTTTGGGGATACGATAATGGTCTAAGTCGATCATAATCTTCTTGACCTGCAGTATCCCAAAGACCCAAACTAACCGAGATTCCATCTACAACCATGGGTGCTGAATAATTATCGAATCTATAAATTAAAAAATTACGTGGGTAAACACAGCTATTTGTTTATTTATTTAGTTTCTTACACAGTTGGAACATATTCACCAGGAAAACTATCGGTTGTATATGAAATAAGCATACAAGTCTTTCCTACGGTGCCGTCGCCGACGACGACACACTTAATGGGGCGCCCAGAAGACATAATTAACTGATTTACTAATTATTTTCACTTTAATACACCTAACCTAAAAAAAGCTTGTGGGCTTGGCCTCGCGACCACAAAAGAAATAACACTTCCCCGCCTTAATAATACGCAAAACACCTCACGAATTAATCACTTTTAACCACCGATTACGATTTAACCGTTATTTTTGTAAATATTTAAGTAAAAGTGATTATTTTATAAAACTTGGAGGTTTTAGTTTAAGATGGTTTGGGATTTCAATCGGATTTCGACAAGGTTTATTTGGGATTAATTAGTTTCGAAGGGATGATTTTTAGTTATAGGGTTTGTTTGGATTGGTTTAGCATTAAAATTATGCGGTTATTTTGTGATTGTGATGTAAAAACTTTTAGTATCAAAACAAAGAGGTTATATTTCTCGTAGTTCCGGTTCTGTACGATAGATGGGGTTTTAATTGCGGGAAACTAAAAAATTTGAACTTTTCAACTAATTTATTAAATTTTAATCATTATAATAAATCAAAAATTATAATAAATAAAAGGAATCCACTATTGGTGGCTAATTTACGTAATTTTTGTCGAATTTCTTTGCATTCCACCTTAAAGATTGTAAAAATAAAATTTGAGAATTATTACAATAAAACGCCCAGACTTTATTTATAAAGATAAAGAAGTCCTATATAACTTAAATTAAACCTAGAAACATCACTTTAATAGTTTAAGTGTTATATGTCAATGTTCAAAGTAGAAATGTCATGTGTCAAGATAGAAATGTCTTTTTTTATTCTAAAAGTGTCATATATTATATTAGAAACATCATATTAAAACTATAAATAACAGTTTTATATTTTGAGTATCATATAACAAGTTGGAAATGTAATTTTTATACTTCAAATCTCATATGTCAATCTCAAATGTCATTTCTATGTTTTAAATGTCATCTGTCAAACTTGAAATGTCTTTTTTTAATATTAAAATGTAATTTTATTATAATAACTAAAATAATCATTTTTATAGTTTGGTTTAATTTTTGATTTGTAACCAAGAATGATGCCACAAAAACGATGTCTTAATTTGATGTTTGATGGAGGATTCGCGTACTGTAACAGTAAATAGACGAAATAGCCCAAATTGAGGTGATATTTAATGAATCTTTGCTTCTTTTCGCTTATTCTAACTCTACTTCACATGTCAGATAACTCATCCGGAAGAAAAAATAAAAACCTTGTTTATAGATATACAAGTGTCAAGCTAGAAATGTCTCTTTTGATTGTAAGAGTGTCATATATTATATTAAAAACATCAAATTGAAACTATAAGTACTACTTTTATATTTATAGTGTATATAACAAAGTTGGAAATGTAATTTTTATACTTTAAATCTCATGTGTCAATCTCAAATGTCATTTCTATGTTTTAAATGTCATCTGTCAAACTTGAAATGTCTTTTTTTAACATTAAAGTGTAATTTTATTATAATAACTAGAATAATCATTTTTATAGTTTGGTTTAATTTTTGATTTGTAACCAAGAATGATGCCACAAAAACGATGTCTTAATTTGATGTTTGATGGAGGATTCGCGTACTGTAACAGTGAATAGACCAAATTGAGGTGATATGTAATTCTATTTCCTTCTATTTCGCTTATTCTAACTCCACTTCACATATTAGATAACTTATCCAGAAGGAAAAGTATAAACTTTTAAGTATCAAAACGAAGAGGTTATATTTCTGGTAGTTCCGGTTCTGTACGATAGATGGGGTTTAAATAGCGGGAAATTAAAAAAATTTGAATTTTTCAACTAATTTATTAGATTTTAATCATTATATAAGTCGTTTTAATTAATTTTATTGTATGGTGGTAATCCGAATAACTCGGGCTTAAAATTATCAAAAGAATCCACTACAATGGTGGCTAATTTACGTAATTCTTGTGGAATTTCTTTACTTGCGATCATAACACTTTGCATTCCAGCTTTGGTGGCTGCTAAAACACCATTTGGGGCATCCTCAAACACTAAACACTACAAAATTAAAACTAATTTATAATATATACAGTTTTAATAGTTTTATAATTTTACCTTAGATGGTTTTGGGTTGTCTGGAAATCTTGAAGCACAAACTAAGAAAATATCAGGATTCGGTTTTCCTTGTTTAACTTCTAAATCAGTACTTCCCATAACTTCGTGATTAAACTTGTTGAAAAGATTGGGATAATTCCTCGTTTTAATTTCTTTTGTAAAATCCGAAGAAGATGTGGCCAAAGCAATCGGGACGTTATTTGAATAAAGATGATTTATTAATTTTTCAACGCCCGGTATTAACGGGGGGTTTCCCATTTCTTTTGCTACTTTTTCTCGATAGATTTTCACAAATTCCTCGATTGTAATTGGAAGTTTGAGTTCTTTTATAGCTATTTTAGCGGTATCTTTCTCCGGGGTACCCAAAATTTTCATTCTGGCTTCATGAGTGTACGTTTTATCAAACATTTCAGCTATATCACTTATTATTTTGTCTAAACCCACTTCAGAATCTAAAAAATAACACCAAAATTAAGTTAAAATAATTAAAAAGTGATGTTTTACCCAAAATTGTTCCATCTAAATCGAAAATAACGTGACTGACACTTTTGTAGAGCATTTTCCTTCGATTTTGGCAAAATTCCCTATTTGAAAAGTTAAATCACCGCCCGAAAAATACACACTCAGGTTAAATAAGAGTTTGAAAACTGCATGATTTTAGTGAGAGCGCGTTTTTGTTTATATACGTAATGGGTGTAATTTGGAATTTGAAAAGAGGGGGATTTTCATGCGTGCATCCCGTGGGATAAAAGCACGATGGAAATATTCCAAACGGGAATCGACGTGGAACAAAAAGAGATACTTAACTAATATTAATCAATATCGGAAAGTTTCCGATCGAATCAAAATCGAAAAACTTCCACTCTGGAATTATTACTTAACGAAGACGGCATTAATGGGAGTTAATTGCATTAAATGTGTTTAAATTGTGAGATTTTTGTAAATATTAAACGCTTTGTAACACGAAAAACGTGGTTTACTAATTTTAGTATGTAAATATATGCAATTTTATTGTAATAATTATGTTATAAATTATTTAGATTGTGAAAATAAAATTTGAGAATTATTACAAAAAATCGCCCCGACTTTATTTATAAAGATAAAGAAGTCCTATTAAAGCTAGAAACGGCATTTTAATAGTTTAATTGTTATAGGTCAATTTTCAAAGTAGAAATGTCATATTAAATGTCATGTGTCAAGTTAGAAATGTCTCTTTTTATTCTAGAAGTGTCATAATATGTTATATTAGAAACATAGAAGCACTTTTATATTTTGAGTGTCATATAACAAGTTGGAAATGTAATTTTTATACTTTAATCTTTAAATCTCATGTGTCAATGTAGAAATGTCATTTCTGTTTTAAATGTCATCTGTCAAGTTTGAAATGTATTTTTTTAATCTTAAAGTGTAATTATAATAACATTAATAACTAGAATAATTATTTTTATAGTTTGGTTTAATTTTTGATTTGTATCCAGGAATGGTACCACAGAAATGATGCTTTAATTTGATGTTTGATGGAGAATTCGCGTACTATAACAGTAAATAGACCAAATTAGGTGATATGTAATGAATCTTTGCTTCTATTTCGCTGATTCTGACTCTACTTCACATGTTAGATAACTCATGGGGAAGGAAGCTTCAAATTGTTGGGTATCATGGTCATAAAAATGACAGGATGAGCTATTTAAAGCAAAGAATAGATTATAAATGAATATTTTAAAAAGACAATAATAGAAAGACACGGATTGCTACGACAAAAATTTATCAACAGGATATTGAACAGACATTTATTTTATTGAATTATATGTGCTTATCTAGAAACAACGACAAAAATCCCGGACAGAAGACTACACTATTAGAAAAATTTAGTGACATATAATGAAAAATAATGCATTATGTATGTATATAAAAATGATAAATAGTTTGTGATAATGTCGTACGGCGTTCATAGCCGAATAAAGATATATTCTCTTTCTCTCTTATTATTAAATGGTAACAGTGTGGGACTTTTCTGTCACCAGACGTACCCACTAAAAACCCCCCCTCTCTTCCTACTCCGGAATCGCCATACAGGCATGACATCAGAGTAAAATAAAAACTAATATATTGTTACTTCTTCTCCTTTCTTACTCGGTTTTATCTCCGGTCTTCTTCCAATCTTCCCCTGGTTGAGAGGGGAGGTCCCCCTCTCCACCCATCACGATCGTCTTCTTCGTCGTTCCTTCGGGCCGCGTGAGGGGGGTGATCCCCTCTACCTCTCATTTAACTTCTTTCTCTTCTCATCTCCTCCATTTCTTTCACTCTCATGACATCTTCCAAATACCTCAGGACCTCTTCTGCGCTTTCTTTATTTTTCAGTAGAAGGCTAGCTGCGATACTTTCTTCAAATTTCATTTCGATTCTGATTTCTAATTCTTGTCGCTTCGTATCAAACCTGGCGCATTCAAAAATTGTGTGTCTTGGGGAGTCTATCTTTCCGCACTCAAACCAGCATAAATCTGATTCTTGTTTATTTATGGTTTTTAAATAGGACGCGAAGACGCCATGCCCGGTAACTGCTTGCGTGATATAATAATCAGTGGGGGTTCCGTTTTTATACCACTCCTTTACACTCTTAATGAAGATCTTAGCCCATCCACTATATTGATCCCATCTTTTCTGCCAAGCTGTAAACATTTCTTCTCTGTTCTTTTCTTTTTCTTGGCCTTTAGTTCTCCAGTTTTCACTTCTCTCTTTTGCCAAGAGATCCATAGGCGGGCATTTCGCCAGTACTTCTACTGCTTCTGTGGATACCGTTCTATATGCAGACGTCACATTTACCGATATTTTTCTGCCAATCGATCTTAGCATATTGGCATATTTTTTGTGTCGTAAGACACTTTCCCATACCGGTGCTGCATATAATGTTATAGATCTTATAACTGTTGCTAAAAGGTTTCGTCTTTCTTGGCTCGGGCCTCCTTTCTTGGGCATTATTCTGGACAAGTTTTTTTGGACCACACCAGCTTTCTCTTTGATTTTTTCTATATGCTTCGTCATTCTTAGATCTTTGTCCAAAACCACTCCCAAGTATTTAACGAAAGGTGAGCTTTTTAACCCAACCCAACCTAACCCAACCCAACCCAACCCGAATGTTTCTAGCTCTAGGTCTAGTGTTAGTTCTAGTTTCACACTAGCACTATTACTAGAACTAACACAAGACCTAGAACTAGAATCATTCGGATTTAGCCGTCTTGAGAGACGTGTGGCTAAATCCGAATGTTTCTAGTTCTAGGTCTAATGTTAGTTCTAGTGACAGTGGTAGGTAGCGTTAGTTAGCATAAGATATCATTACGTGGTATATTTTTATTGCACTAAAACTAGAACTATTACTAGAACTAACACAAGACCTAGAACTAGAATCATTCGGATTTAGCCGTCTTGAGAGAGTGCGGCTAAATCCGAATGTTTCTAGTTCTAGGTCTAATGTTAGTTCTAGTGACAGTGGTAGGTATCGTCGGTTAATTTCTTATTTTCTAATCTATCACAAGTTTGACATGTGTCACTTCTAGGGTGGCCAAAAGAATAGTTTTTAAAGAATAGTCTTTAGTTATCGTAAGAGAGCACAGGTTTAATACTCAAGATGCCTTGTTTGTTTTTCTGTTTAGTTTTCATGTTACTATATACTGCAGGTTCATATGTCGTCAAGTATAACTCATACAGGAGCTGCCTTGTTGTTGCTATAATTTAAAGGTGGAGGCAGCTCCGTTCAACATTGCACTACCAGGATTCCATTCGGTTGGTGCCTCGTTGTTGCACCAATAGCTACTATATTATTGGATGCAACAATGTATTTTATTTTTGATGATTGACTCATTTTTGACAAAAAGCGGAGTTGCCTCCATATATTGAATTATATGTGCTTATCTCGAAACAACGATGAAAATCTCAGACTTAAAGTCACACTATTAGAACAACTTGGTGACATAACATGAAAAGTACTTAATGTGTATCTATAAATTATAAATAATTTGTAACAATGTTCTACGGCAAAAAAACCTGCAAATGTAGGTCCATGGCCGAATAAAGATATATTCTTTCTCTCTGTAAAGTGACATTAGAATTGACATTTAGTTGTCAAATGACCAAAAGTGATTACAAGGAATCTCTTTCTCAATTACGTTGAACAACGCTGGAAGTAAGGCTTAAACAACGCTTAAAAACCTTCACAAATTATAGTTTTGGGATTGATGTTACTTTAAATTTCATTAATATTAATAAAATCAGTAAATGTAAAAGTGACATTAGAAATGACATTTAAATGACAGATAGCGGATGATTTGTAATTTTTTAACATTATTCATAACCTCAATTCATTGTTCTTCATAAAATGCTGTTTTTTAATAAGAATTTTGTAATCTTTTTTCGCGAAATAAGTAAAAATTTAAACTTATACTTGAATAATTTTAATATTTGTAACTAAAATTTCCGTAAAGGTAACAGTACCTTAAGTAGGTAAAGAAAGTACAAAGTAAAAATAAAAGACCTTTACACGCACAGAAGGTTTTTAGGTAAAGAGACGAAATTCGTTTCAATGGAAGTGTCCCCATTGTTTACGGGTTTCCGCGTAGTATGTGAACCCACAAAACCCCTCAGCCCTACATCTTTCTGCCGGTAGTTTCCCTCCGAAACCCCCCCTAATCCCTTCACCATCTTCTCCTTTTTTTTTTACCTGTATTCGGAGAAATCGTCCTCGTGTTCCCGACCCATCCCTTCCGAAAAATGAATAAGAGGGTTTTGCGAACCGTTCTTCCAACCCTCGTTTATACCCACCACTATAACTACGGTCGTTGTCGTTTCATTTCGTATTGCAACAGTTCGAACAGTCCGTTGTTGTTGTTCTTTGCGAACCAGCAGCGCAAAGTCGCACGCATGGCACGGAGAAACCACGTGGCTTGAGAACGGACAAGGATAGGATAGAAGGGAAATAATTCTGTGTTGTTCGTTTACGCGACCCGCTGTGCATTTCACAAGAGTCTTCATCTCTTTCGCACATGGGATTCGGTACGAAGGTGTTCTACAGAAAGTCTGGTGAGAAAGTGATGAATTTAGACAAAGTTAAGTTAGAAACGGGCGGTGTTAAAGAAGAATACGAGCCACCGATTATTAACGGTAAGTTTTCGTTATTCTCTTTTAACTTTAATTGAGAATGTTTTTACCTATTATTTTAATGTTACAATCGGTTTTTAGCGGAAATTGGAGATTACATCTTGAAGGTTTTAATTGTTTTTTATCATTTTTAACTCTTATTTAACTTCTTATCAAAGAAAAAAGTTGATTTTGAATTAAGTTTTGTTTAGTTTTGTAGTATTTTTTTGTCGATTCAAAAATTAAGTTGGTACATAACCTATACAAACGAAAACACAATTTCTAATCGGTTCCAAATCGAAGAATTTATACGTGAACATTCATCAATTATTCAAAAAAATCATTATTTAACAATTTCCTTTATAATTAAATTAAAATTATTTTATAAAAAACTGGTTTGTTTTGCGAAAAATTTTTGGTTCCTTGTCATATTGAAGGTTGGCATTACGTTTTGGTGTCTAATTTGTCGATAATTCAGACAACTGTCGACCGTTAGCGTGTTTCTTATGTACGAAAACCATTAAAATTAGAATAAAATTAACTTTTTTCAGTGTTTATTAAATTAAATCTTAACAACGTAGTTGTGTGTTGAATTCGTTTCATTCGTAACATGGCAAATGACCTGGAGTCATTGTCCCACAGGAACGATAAACGACCCTATGAAGGTACGACCAATAAACAATCCCTTTTCCAGAAACCGCAATTTCCTTATACATAATATTTTTTCACAAAATTTGTTTTCTGTTGGTTTCTTTTTATGGTTATCGTTTTTATTATTAGGTGAGTAAAAATCCCATAGTTTCTCTTTAATTAATCGTTCTCCTAATCTTTGTTTTTTTATTGTTTTCCTTTATTATCAAAATATTAATCACCATATCTCATTTCCAAATAGGAGATAATGCGAAACAAGTCAAGAAGAAAAAGCTTAAAACATCAGTGGCAATCACTGATAAGAACCCAGTGGCCACCTTGAACGAACTTCGCATGGGACTTAAATATGAAGTATTGGAGCAATCTGGCCCCCCTCACGCCCCTCTTTTCACCGTTTCCGTCGTCGTCGATGGACAACAATATTTGGGTACAGGTCGTTCCAAACGTGTGGCTCGTTGTAAAGCAGCCGAGGAGGCTTTGAAGTCGTTCATCCAATTTCCAAATAGCTGTAAAATCGTCGCTCCAGTTAGTGCTAATGCTAAAGTTGATTTTACAAGTGATGCTTTTGAAAATAACCACCAACAAGCGGTCAACAAAACGGAGACGATGAAACAAAGTGTCCCAAAAGGGGCTGTTATGCTCATTAATGAACTTTATCCGAATATCAAATACGAATGTACGGAGAATAATTCAGATTTATTTGCTAGGTTCAAGATTATTATTAATTTGGAAGGGGAAACTTTTGTTGGAACCGGTGAGATTTAATAATTTAATAGATTTTTTAAAATTAATTAATTTTTTTAGGTTCTAGTAAAAAAATGGCTAAAAGTGCAGCTGCAACGGCGGCGTTAACAAAGTTATTATGCACTAAAGAAGGAGACGTCCCAATTTTCGGTAACACACAATTTAGACCATCAAAAATAAGTAGCGAACAACAAGAATGGGCGGATCGTATTGGAAGGTACAATTCCTTTTACTCCCTTTGTCCAGAAATAAGTGTCAGATTTACTTAAAAATTGATTTAATGAAACTTAATTACAAATATCGTTTCTAAGAAACTTTTGACAGTCATTTAAGTAGTTAATTGATGTCTTTTGCATGTTGAGAAAGCCCAAAATCAAAATTTATAGAAACTGGAAACCTACCCATTCTCTGCAAATGATCTTTATTTATATGCCTCACTTTGTAATTATTACCTCCATCTACTTTTATGGTTTTTACTGTTGGTGTGAAAGGAAAACCTTATTCAAAGTATCCAAATTCAATTTGGAAATGGCTTTTTCAACAGCAAAAATTAATTCGTCTACAGCTTTGCAAACCAAGATTGTTGCTGCAATGACTGAACTGCATTAAAATATTAAATTAATATTAACGATTTTTCGCGCTTAACCTCTTCCAAATTTGACAATGTTTGACAATTTGACATATAACCTCCATTACTAACCTAACATACATTTAAATGTATTATGTGGTGAAATAATCTAAGTTGTAAGTCCATATCTTGATTCATACCATTTTTAAACGTCAAGTCACTGCCAGCTCTCGTGGTTTCTACTTTTATAAAATTTTATTCTGGTAGTGAGGGGGTTAAAATCATTGAAAATTCAGTAGTCGGCTGTGAAATTGTACGTCAAATTTGACAAATAGGTTATAAAGCCTTGTCATTTACATAAATAGTAAGCAACAACTAAAAAATCAAATAACTTTAGAACCTAATATATTATGGGAATATTAATACGTAAATTTTACTTGGGTTATTATTCTAGGGTTAAAAAAGCGTAAATCTAAGTTTGATCTAAGCATTGTATGAAACCAGTTCAAGTTGGTGACATTTTATTAATTTCTTTATTCACGATTACTTTATAATATATATCATGTACCTTATAAATGGCTTTGTCCACGACTACCTAATAATATACAGGGTGTCCCGTTAAGCGTACGGAGCGGCTGTATCTCTAGAACGGTAAAGCCTAGAGGTTTGGGAAAAAAATCCTTATAAGCAAAGTGACCAAGAGAAATAGCTGGAAATTATTTTGAAGTTCGTAATTCGACCGCCAGGGGGCGTAACTGCCATTGAAAAACATAAAATTCCCGCTATCTCAGAAAGTTAGACGATGAGCTATAACGTTGACAACATCATTTAGTAGCTTGGATAATACCGCATCGTTTTTGTTTTGCGATATTTCTCATATCTCTCATGATAAGGGAGGGGGAGGCCAATGCGTTTTCAAATGTTTACATTTTAATATCTCCTGGACTAATCAACCGATTTGAATATTTTTGGTCTTGTTTGAAAGAGCATTTTATGCTCTTTTAAAAGATATTTTCAGTAAGCCCGCTTGGTTTAAAACAAGCTAGAGGGCGTTATCTGCAACGGTTACATGTTTTTGTGATTTTTGAAAAAAAGTTAAATGGAACGGTACTATTTACTTCACAGACCGTTAATCACCATAAAATTTGCTAAATATTAGTGAAAACTGCATCTCGATATCTCCATCCATTTTCGAATTATAAAAGAAAATGTTAAAAATTCGTATATCTTAATCGGATCAAGTTACCTTAGGAAACAAATAAGAGAGAACAAAAATTTTATTATCTAGAACCTTCCTTCACACTTTATCCAAGCTTAGAACTGCTTCAAAACTACTTTTGAGGCGTGTTGAAAAGCCAACGGATCAATGAAACATCAACAATGATAATAAAACAAAATAAACCAAAACACTTAGAATAACTTAAATTTTTGGCAAAAATAACTCACTAATGAGCGAAATGCCTTCCATAAACCTCGATGCATTTATTTAATCTAGTTTCGACGAAAAAAAAGCGCTGCTTAAGTCTCGGCCCTGGACACGTTTTTACTGGTATTTAGTGTTTTGTCATATTTTCCCTGGTTATTGGTTTTTCTTGAAAAGTCAGGTCGTTTAGTCTACCCAATAGATAAAGGGGTGAAAGCAATGTGGGTTTTGCTCGAACCAAGAATGCATATTATGCAAGTTTACATCAGCTTGTGGACAGATGCTTCATGCATCCATAGCATTTGTGATAAAAGGTTTGGATTTGCCCAAATCATATTTAAAAGTCAATGGTAATAGTTCAGTCTGTTATCATAATCGGTATCTGTTAAGGCCTGATGTAAAACAACGTGGTGGAGATATTATTCTCTTGAGAACTCTTGTGGACAATTGTTTTCGGAGTTCCCAGATTATGTGGGATCACATTGCGCACCAATATGATTTACGAATTCATAGAGATGTCTGAATGGGCTACACGTTGCCAGTTTTCCGTAATCGCTAAGTCAATCTTAAAAACACTTCTAGAGAAAAATGTCTTTCTTTGTCGTAATTGCATTGCACATTTTTGCCATGCAGTTGCATCGTATTCGAAACATTGAAAATAAATCATCATACGCTCTATCATACGCTTCTGCGTTAGTAAATGACATGTTTACAGTTACCATGGTTATGTGATTTGTTTTTCTCGATGAGGTAACTGGATCCGATTGATGGCACTCGAGTTTTTAACATTTTCTTCTATAACTCGAGAACGGGTGGCGATATCGAGATGCGGTTTTCACTAAAATTTAGCAAATTTTAAGGTGACTAAGGGTCTGTGAAGTAAATAGTATCGTTCCATTTAACTTTTCTTCAAAAATCACAAAAATATGTAATCGCTGCAGATAACGTCCTCTAGCTCATTTGTTTTAAAGCAGACGGTCTTACTGAAAATATCTTTAAAAAGAGCATAAAATGCTCTTTCAAACAACACCGAAAACATTCAAATCGGTTGAATGGTCTAGGAGATATTAAAATGTAAACATATGAAAACGCATTGGCCTCCCCCTCCCTTATTATGACAGATATAAGAAATATCGCAAAACAAAAGTGATGCGGTATTATCCAAGCTATTAAATGATGTTGTCAAAGTTATAGCTCATCGTCTAAGTTTCTGAGATAGCGGGAACTTTATGTTTCTCAATGGCAGTTACGCCCCCTAGCGGTCGAATTACGAACTTCAAAATAATTTCCAGCTATTTCTCTTGGTCACTTTGCTTATAAGGATTTTTTTCCCAAACCTCTAGGCCTTACAGTTCTAGAGATACAGCCGCTCCGTACGCTTAACGGGACACCCTGTATACCTTATGAATGAGTTTTCTAGAACAAAATGGTAGTCATTTTTCACGGAGTGAATAATAGCGGTGAATAATAATCATTATCCAGGGGTAGCCATCTTGATCAGACTAATAATAATTATTTGAAACGTTAAAAGTTCAAAAAACGTCAATTTAATTCAATTTTTTAGGAGTTTCCAAATGTTTGACATTAAAAAACCTAAACAAATTCCTTTTTTCGTATGATTTAAGCATAAATTAATTAATTTTCGTAAAAAAACGACGTTTCATAAAATTGACATTTAATATTGAAAAATTGTTGTGAAGTTGGTTACAGTTGGTAACATTGAATTTGTGTCACAGTGACGTTTAACCTTTATTCAAAAATTTATTTAAAAATTTAATTTGTCCACAACTACCTTATAATATATACCTTATGAATGAGTTTTCTAAATCAAAAGGGTAGTCATTTTTCACAGAGTGAATAATAGCGGTGAATAATCATTATTCACGGGTAATCAACTTGACAGACTAATAATTATTTGAAACGTCAATTTAATTTAATTTTTTTAAGACTTTCTAAAGATTTGGCATTTAAAAAACGTAAACAAATTTCTATTTTCGTATGATTTAAGGATAATAGTATATTATTATAAATCTATTTTTTAAATAAATTTTTGAATAAAGTTTAAACGTCAAATGTGACAAATTCAATGTTAGTAACTGTAACCAACTTCACAACAATTTGTCAAAATTAAATGTCAATTTTATAAAACGTTTTTTTTTTTACTAAAGTTAATTTATGCTTAAATCATACGAAAAAAGAAATTTGTTTAGGGTTTTTTAATGTCAAACCTTTAGAAACTCCTAAAAAATGGAATTAAATTGACGTTTTTTGAAATTTTAAATAATTATTATTAGTCTGGTCAAGATGGCTACCCGTGATAATGATTATTATTCACTCCGTGAAAAATGACTACCATTTTGTTTTAGAAAACTAATTCATGAGGTATATATTATAAGAAGATAAGGTATATAGTTGTGGACAAATTAATTAATTTTCGTAAAAAAAAACGACGTTTCATAAAATTGACATTTAATATTGAAAAATTGTTGTGAAGTTGGTTACAGTCGGTAACATTGAATTTGTGTCACATTGACGTTTAACCTTTATTCAAAAATTTATTTAAAAAATTAATTTGTCCACAACTACCTTATAATATATACCTTATGAATGAGTTTTCTAAATCAAAAGGGTAGTCAGTTTTCACAGAGTGAATAATAGCGGTGAATAATCATTATTCACGGGTAATCAACTTGACAGACTAATAATTATTTGAAACGTCAATTTAATTTAATTTTTTTAAGACTTTCTAAAGGTTTGGCATTTAAAAAACGTAAACAAATTTCTATTTTCGTATGATTTAAGGATAATAGTATATTATTATAAATCTATTTTTTAAATAAATTTTTGAATAAAGTTTAAACGTCAAATGTGACAAATTCAATGTTAGTAACTGTAACCAACTTCACAACAATTTGTCAAAATTAAATGTCAGTTTTATAAAACGTCGTTTTCTTTACGAAAATTAATTAATTTAATTAATTAAATTAATTAATTATTATTTTTATTTTTCACTGAGAATATCAGTAGTTTCTTTAAGATTTAGATCGGCTTGTTGGTCCTTATACTCTTCTCTAGTGACATTAGAAACCACTTTCGTTTCAATGGTCCCAGCTGTTCGATTTTTACTGCTCTGTTTAGCAGGTTCCCAAAACGCTAAATGCCTTTTATTAGTACTGACTTATTTCTTTTTGTTTTGTTAAAAAAGATCACGTATCAAAGTCGAAATCAGATTATTAGTTACCAATTTACAAAATTAAAATTTAAAAAGTTGTAAAATGAAATTAAGAACGAAGTGTTACAAGTTTACAGGTTAAAATTTAAGAGCGCTCTTTTTTAACAAAAAAAATATTAAGAAAGTTGGGAAAAATTCAAGAATCATCATGTGACTTAAAAATCGATGATTTTTTTTTTAATCACTGACCCAAAAAACACGTTAAAAATAAAAAGAAACAGCGCAAAAGTGACTAACACTAGATTAACTGCAGTTATAAAACTTCTATTATATGATAACTAACTTCAGGTTTAAAATGTCAACCTCAATTTTGACATATTTGTAATCTTCATTAAAAATCTTTTAAAATGAGTACAAACACGACATATTTATCTTCAATATTAATGAAATTATGGTCAACTTCCGGTTAAGAATGTCAATGTCAATTTTGACATATTTGTAATCGTCGTGAAAAATCCTTTAAAATGAGTCCAAACATGATACGTTTAATTCCAATATTACTCGAGATATAAGCAACTTCCGAATTGAAATGTCAATGTCATTTTGACATATTCTTAATTGTTATAAAATGTCTTAATATTTGTCACAAAAATATAACAAAATAAAAATTAAGGTTGGTATTAATGTTTAAAAATTAAATTATTATCTTCATTGTTGCTAACTTCGGGTTTAATTAATTTTTATTCAAACTTTTTTGTTTTTTGAGATAAGTGCGTCTTGTTTGGACTCATTTTAAAGGTTTTTTTAATGCAGATGACAAATATGTTAAAATTGACGTTGACGTTTCAAACCGGAAGTGATTGTATTTCTATTAATATTAAAGTTGAAAGTTCGAACCAACCTTAATTTTTGATTTTTTTTCTTATATTTTTGTTTTTGTGACAAATATTAAGACATTTTATAAAAATTATGAATATGTCAAAATGACATTGACATTTCAAATCAGAAATTGCTTATATCTCCAGTAATATTGGAATTAAACGTATTATGTTTGGACTCAATTTAAAGGATTTTTCACGACGATTACAAATATGTCAAAATTGACGTTGACATTCTTAACCGGAAGTTGACAATAACTTTATTAATATTGAAGATAAATATGTCGTGTTTGTACTCATTTTAAAGGATTTTTAATGAAGATTACAAATATGTCAAAATTAACGTTCGAAAACCGGAAGTTGATCATAACTTCATTAATATTGAAGATAAATATGTCGTGTTTGTACTCATTTTAAAGGATTTTTAATGAAGATTACAAATATGTCAAAATTGAGGTTGACATTTTAAATCTGAACTGACAGATTTGATATTTCAAGTTACTTATATCTCGAGTAATATTGGAATTAAACGTATCATGTTTGGGCTCATTTCAAAGGATTTTTCACGACGATTACAAATATGTCAAAATTGACGTTGACATTCTTAACCGGAAGTTGACAATAACTTTGTTAATATTGAAGATAAATATGTCGTGTTTGTACTCATTTTAAAGGATTTTTAATGAAGATTATAAATGTGTCAAAATTGAGGTTGGCACTTTAAACTTGAAGTTAATTATCGTATAATAGAAGTTTTATAACTGAAGTTAATCTAGTGTTAGTCACTTTTCAGCACGTTCCTTTTATTTTAACGTGCTTTTCGAATAATTTTATATTGATTAAAAAAAATCTTCGATTTTTTAAGCCTCTTCTTTTGTTAAAAAAGAGCGTTCTTAAATTTTAACCTGTAAACTTGTAACACTTCGTCCTTAATTTCATTTTACAACTTTTTAAACTTTAATTTTGTAAATTAGTAACTAATAATCTCATTTTGACTTTGATGTGTTATCTTCTTTAACAAAAAAAAAAGAAAATAAGATAATTAAGATTATAAAAGAAATATTAAGAAACTTGTTTGTAAAATGGTATAATAAACCCTCTTTATTTATGAATTATATGTTTTATATGACACTTAAATAGCAATATTTTATTATATTTTATTAATTTGATTAAATGTTTACATGTTGACTTAACAATAATTAATGAGTACTTAATATCTAGTTTCACAATTTGTAATAATTGTCCAATAAGCACAATTCATCACCTTACCATATTTATTACTTTAATTGTTTTATAAAATAGGAATGTGCTTCCTTTGCAATGGATAGGATAAGTGATGTTAATCTATTTGTAGAGTCTCTGAAGATGGCCAAGGGTCAAAATTAGTTAGACTTAAGTTCTATATAAAATAAAGGACATAAACTTTTAATTCTAGAAAGCGACACCGGCCCGAAATTGTAGGTTGATATATTTTTTCTATTGTAGAATTTCTTAGTGTATCTAAGTCGGTTCTTAGATGCAAATCAGACTTGAAATCATCGTATAACGTGATTGCCGCTTAGCTTTATCCTTTAAATCAAATAGTATTTTAGGTCTTTCAGTATCTACATTTTTTCTAAGATACGTTACACCTCCACCTACCAGACAGCATGAAAATCTCTAGAAACGATAAAATCAAAACGACAACTGACGTTTACAACCGACTTTTGACTTTTCTTAACTTTTTGAAATAAAATCGATTTATTTCTGGGCAGAGGGAGTATTATTTAAATTTATTTTTAATAATTTTTGTTTATGTTTAGGTTAGTAACAGAAAAATTTACATCGTTAATGGTTTCCGATCCAATTCACATCAAAAGAAAAGTCCTGGCCGGTATCGTTTTGAGTCGTGATAAAGAATTAACCGTAATTTCGGTAGCAACGGGTACAAAATGCATCTCAGGTGCGCGAATGAGTCTCAGCGGAGCCGCTTTAAACGATATGCACGCCGAAATAATCTCCAGACGGTGTTTCAAGGTATACCTTTTCAATCAATTATTGCTTTTGGGGGATGAAAAACGCCGCGATGAATCGATTTTTGAACCAAATCCCGGCGAAGGTGGTGGCTACCGGTTAAAAGATGGTGTAGATTTTCATTTGTATATAAACACCGCTCCGTGTGGTGATGCGAGAATTTTTAGCCCCCACGAAGATGCTAACGCTGTTGATAGACATCCCAATAGAAATTCGAGAGGTCAATTGAGGACTAAAATTGAAAGTGGCGAGGGTACAATTCCCGTTAAATCCCATACTAGTTATCAAGCTTGGGATGCAATTATTCAAGGGGAACGATTGCTCACAATGTCCTGTTCGGACAAGATAGCTCGGTGGAACATTTTGGGTGTGCAGGTTAATAATTTTATTAATTTTAATAAAAAGGATAAAATTAAATTGTTTTTTTATTAATTTATTTATTTAGGGAGCTCTCCTTTCACATTTCATCGAACCGATCTACATCAAGACAGTGGTTTTGGGTAGCTTATTCCACGAGTCGCACTTGTACAGGGCGTTGTGCGGAAGAGTTGCAAACACCCTGCAGGGTTTACCTCCGCCGTTCCGGTTAAACAGGCCAACAATGTGCCTGGTGACGTCGTTCGAAACGCGACATCCAACTAAAGCACCTAGTTTCTCAACCAATTGGACGATCGGGCAAGACGCCGTCGAAGTGGTTAACACAACTTCGGGTAGAACAGATCACGGAACGTCACGAGTTTGTAAACAAATATTTGCGCAAAAATTTGTTGAATTGTGTCGTAGCGGCCTTACTTCTATTACGGGGGTGCATAACCAAAGGTTTAATTGTTACTGTGATGCTAAAGATTCTTCAGCAACTTACGTGGTACTAAAAAATGATTTATTTATTTGTTTTTGTTTAATTAAATTTAATTTATTTTTAGTCTGCCAAAGAACGTCTTTTGGAAGGATTTTTAAAAGCGGGTCTTGGTAAATGGATACAAAAACCGATGGAACAGGACCAATTTGAGTTACATTATGATGATGATGAACCATTCAGTGTTAATGTGGATTTTATGGATCAAACTTTGCTCAGTACATAAGTATTTTAAGTCCTCGTGACTTAAACAACCTCCAATTAGAAGCGTTTTCTTTACAACAACAAAATTATGTTAAAAAAAATTAAAATAAGTCGTACATCTCACACTTTCGCGTAAAAAATCTGAAGTAAAGTACAAAGATAGGTCATCTGTTATTATTATTGTGTGAAGGAAGGTATTAACTTGTCAGGATACTTTAAATTTTAATTTACTTTATTGTTTAGTATTAAAAAAAAACTGTGGTTAGTATTTAACGCATTGAGCGCCATGTGATTACCGGTTTAATCCAGCCCTATGTAATCCCATGAAGCTCGAGTGTTAATTAACAAATCGTTAGGTAATAATTTATTTATTACTGCGTCTTTCACGTTCGTTTTAAGAACGAAGCGATCTAATCGCATTTAGCTCCACCGGTAAGGTACCTATTTAATTTTTAAGATAAACATTTAGTTTAGTTACCCTCAAACGCCATAAAAATCTAAACAAAATTATAAACGAATCTATTGCATTTAACGAAAACACGAATAAAAACAATTTGATTTAATAGTGTAAATATTTCATTAATACTGGTAATAATAATTATAATAAGAAAAATGTAATTTGTTTTATTTTATTTAATTTAAAAATCGAATTAAAAGAGAAATCATAAATCCTAATCTCAGCTCTAGAAATCTGATGAAAAACGTAGATTTCTCATCTATAATAATGTTTAGTTATTCCTAAATATTCTTAATTTGGAAATCTTAAGTAATCTTTGACAATGACCTTGAAAATTAAAAATACAATTTAATTCAATTTTATTTAAATTTTTAAATAGGATGTCTCACGTAACTGGATCGTTAGAACTTTTTTAGATACCACTATAGTTTTGAAATTTTGGTAACATAGGTTGTTCATTGAACTCAAGATGGCTGCCACTTCCGATCTACCGGAAGTAGACCATAATTCCGTTATTTTAAATGGAATGCTATAGTTTTTGTTACACCTTTTAATTGTACTTAAAAAAATATGTTGACTTTCATAAAAATTATTGATGACTTGATGATCTTTCGTTTTCGAGTTATTTTGAGTTTAAGTTCTTTTTTTGAAAATTTCACCATGCTTTATAAAACCCTATATCCCAGCCAACGTTCACTTAAAAAAAAGCTCTAAATTGGCACGATTACTCTTCAGGTGCTGTGAAATAGATTGTCATTTAATGTATCAGAGTATCTTATACAGGTGGTCAAGAATTGAATTACCGTTTCTCCATGTTCAACCGCAAGAAAGTCGAAAATTTGAAATGAAATATTTTATTAGTCTTCCCGAAAGGGAATTTAATTGTCTACAAATTATCTATAAACATTCCTATACCTATTTATTATAGCTTCTCTCATATTGCGAAATTTATCAAAACATGCAGAAAATGCAGAAATCATTTGTATTTTTATTAGAAGGCCATGACATTTTGACAGTTTTTCGTTTAATTTATTTCTGTTATTATTTGTACTATTTAGGCCCACTTTTACCATCCTCCTGATAAACTATCTAGAGGATAGTTGCCATGGTTACGGCGGTTTTAAGCGCTCTCATTGGCTAAGAACTGGATTTATCTATCGGATAAATTTATCAGGAGGTGGTAAAAGTGGGCCTACGATTGATAATCTTTTAGTTTACTAACTTTTACTTACCAGAAATAACAAACAGAACATCAAATAAATGAAACAAAAAATTAATGACAAAAATTAGATTTGGATAAAAATAGAAATTTCTTATTAAATTGAATTTAGAAATACAATAAAATACGATAAAATATTTATTTGGTTGTCTTCATCACTGGTGACCGGAAATATGCGGTTTCTTTTGGTCTCTATACGTCCAGAACTAAGAAAATCTTTATCAGTTTTTGGAAAATTTCGTCTTGATGGGCGTTAGGTTTGTGAAGCATCTCTCATTAAGTGTTCGACACATCCTATCCAAAAGTTTATTACATTCGCCATCAATATAAAATAAATTTCAAATATCGCCGTTGGAATAATCTGCCAGGATGTAGGTCAATGTAGATCTTTTTTGAATGAACGTAAAAGTGTTAAGTGAATTATTAAACGGTGTAATAAAAACTATAGCATTTTACGAAGTTATGGTCTACTTCCGGTAAACCGGAAGTGGCGGCCATCTTGAAAATATTTTAAATCGAACCGAATGAACAACCCATGCTATACCAAAATTTCAAATCTCTACGAATAGTGGACCCTGAAAAAGTTCTAACGAACCAGTTACGTGAGACAGCCGGTATATTAATAAATATATTACCGCACTAGGTAATGACTTGAACAGTCTAAAGGCGGTAATAATTTCTCTCCAGCAGGATATTACCGCCGTCAAGTCGAATTTGAATTCTGTTCCGACTCACTCCATCTCGGATTTTGATACGGAGAAACTTATCCAGGAGATTTTGGAGCGTGATCACAGAAAGAACAACCTGATGATTTTCAACGTACCAGAATCTAATGATTTGTCTCGCAGGGGACAGGTTTAGGTTGATTGTGACCTCTTTGCGCGTTTAGAGATCAAGCAGCCATAGAACATCCCTTTTTATTGCGGATAGTTTGATCTTTCTAATAGTTCTAGATGCAGACCTATTCGTGCAAAGTTATTCAACCGGGGTTCCAATAAAATTACGTTTCGTAATATGCGTAACTTGAAATCCCATGATACATTGATACAAAAATCAATAAATCATTCCAGTTTGTGGCAGTAGTTATGATTTTCACAGAGCCAACTTTTATGGCTTGTATGGTGAAACAAATTGATCCTTTCTTGGTCAGTGCGTGGATGTTGATGATGCTGTGCGGCTATTTTACATGAAGATCAATGAACTTTGGATTGGTCTATTCCAAAAAGAGCGTATCATATTTCTAAATACCCTGTTTGGTACACTCCTGAAGTTAAAAGACTTCTATAGAAGAAAGAGCAAGAGAACTAAATGTGATTTTTATCATGCGGAGTTTGGAAGATTGAGACACTTGACTAAGCAAAAGATCTCTTATTCGTATATAGCGTTTGCAAGCAATGCTGAGCAGTCAATGCGCTCTGATACTCGTACCTTTTCGAATTATATAAGGCATAAAACTATGACTACACCATTCTCTGGTGAAATGGCTATGGATGAGTGCATCTACAATACTCCCTATAATATAGTTAATGCGATCTTCTCCTCCAGAAGCTTAGTTTGTTTGACTTTTCCCTTGGGCTTATGTGTCTTCTTTCATCGTATTTATCAAAGATGTATACGCATTTTTATAATGGTTTTGCTTCGGTGGAGTTTATTGCACGATCTGGTGTTCCAACCGACTTATTAAACAGATTTAAGTCTGGTGTATTGGCCTATGCTGATGATCTTAAGATATTTCGCCCTATGACCTCGGATGATGACGTCGCTTCGATTCAATTAGATCTTCTATAGATCCCTTCATCCTGCTGTATAGGTGGAATCTCCTTGCTTAAGTTGACTTCTGTCAGAGATCTGGGAATAACTTTTGATAGCAGACTATCGTTTATACCGCACAAAGAGGATGTCTATTAAAGATGATTACTACCTACTGCTCTGTGGTGTACCGAGCCACGTTACCCGATACAGCTGTATCTTCTATTTGAAGAATAGTAGATCCAATGTGCTACAGAGAATGTGCAGACTTGTAAGATTCTTGAGTTAATGTAAGTTTGTATTTCTGTATAGTATAATATTCTCCTGTAATTAGTACTTTGTTGATAAAATTTTATTATTACTATCAATATCTCAAAATTTCATAACAACTAAAAATTATTGCCGTTTAAAAAAGTTTAAATCTGGTAACTTTATTTTCTTAGCAATTTTTTTAAGTTGGCACTACCACCTGTACGACATTTTAGGTTAGTGTTGTTTGGTCTTTGCACGTGTATAATATCAAATAAAACTAAGAAAAAGTGAATAAAATCAATAAAAAATCGTCAAAATGAGTGTGATGAAACGGGTTGTGTGAGTAAACGATGAATTTCCCGGTGATTAGGTCCCCTAATTAATTATTTTCCATATAGAAAATCGGTCTCACGCAAAGGTAAGAAAGTTTTGTTATCGCGCGAGCCTCAACTGGTTGAAGGACCCAAACGGACCCTCTTCTTACAAGGAAGGAAGACTTCGGATATGGTTCGCGACCTATTAAAAGATATGTACAATATTAAAAAGCCGGATGCTTTAAAACTCAGTAAGAAAAATGACGTCACCGTATTTGAGAATATCAACCCTTTAGAACAATTATGTAAAAAACATGAAGCTTCTCTTTTCGTTTTTGGATCTCATAATAAAAAACGTCCCGATAACATAACATTTGGAAGGATGTTTGATTATAATTTATTAGATATGATTGAATTGGGTATTGAGCATTACATGGGTTTAAATGAATTTCCTGGCCCAAAAATTACACTTGGCACAAAACCTTGCTTAATATTTAATGGTGAAATTTGGGATAAACAAGAAGATTTAAAACATTTAAAATCGATTTTTGTTGACATGTTTCGAAGAGAAACCACAGATTCAGTTCGATTACAAGGATTAGAACATGCAATTAGTTTTAATGCCACTAATGAAAAGGTTTTTATTAGATCTTATAGGATAGTATTAAAAAAATCTGGTTGTAAAACACCTAGAATTGAACTCGATGAAATTGGTAAGTCAATTTGAAATCAATAGTTATTTTGGGACTAATTTAACTTTTAGGACCGAGAATGGACTTTACAATTAGACGTAGTAAACTCCCAACAGAAGATCTCATGAAACAAGCTTCCAAAAAACCAAAAGAATTAAAAGAAAAACCCAAGAAAAACATTTCTATAGATAAATTGGGTACGAAACATGGTCGTATTCATGTTGGAAAACAAGAAATTGCTAAAATTCAAGTGAGAAAAATGAAAGGATTGAAAAAAACCGCAGCTGATAAAGAAATGGGCCCCCCGGCGAAACGCAATCGGAATAATTAAGGAAAATTGTGCCATAATTTATTTTAAGGTATATTTTCATTAAGTTTTGTAAATACTGTTTCTTTTGTATTTTTTAGAATCAAGAATAACTAGGATTAATTATTGTAAATTAGTTTTAATTATGATTTAATTTACAATTTATTTTGTATGTCTGAATAAATAATTATTAGTGATGAGTTACAAAAAATTTATTAAAAAAAGGTCCCACATAAATTGCAACATGTCAATATAATGTGATATTGTAGTAAAACCTTTATATATTATAGCTTAATAAAAATATACAACAATCTAGCGCTAAATAACAAATAAAACTAGACTAACACTAGAATTAGAAACATTCCATTTAGCAGTGTGCCCCTTAAAACGACTAAACCTGAATGTTTCTAGGTCTAATATTAGTTCTAGTGACAGTGTTAGTTAGCATTAGATATCACTGTGTTGCAAATTTTTATTGAACTAGAACTAGAAATATTCTAGTTTTACACTATAACTAGAATTAACACAAGATCTAAAACTAGAATCATTCAGAAGTGACATTTAAACGTCAAAATGACATTTCCAGTTCAAATCCTATTTCAAAATATTAATTTATTTCTTGCTTATAATAATATATTATACAGGTGTTTCTGTAAGTCGTATCAAATTCTTGTTTATCAAAAATTTATTATTTCAGATATTTTATTGCTACAGTCTGTAATTTACAGATAAGTTTATCGAAGTTAGACAGCAACGCATTCTTCGACGTAAACTTTGTAACTTTCATATTTCTTATCCCCATTATAAATATGGAATATGCCCAATTTTATCAGGCAATTTAAACATTTTTATGCACTATAACTGAAAATGTTATAAACAGTAGGAAATTAACCGAGTTAACTAATTTTAAAACATAACCTTACTATGACGTGTAGAGTTTTTTTTGTATTTTCATAGATGGCGTTAGATTCCCCTTTTATTAGAACTTGTCAATTAAACGTCAAAATGACATTTCAGAAAGACATCTTTTGTGTAAGAACCGAATAAGAAAATAATTAAGTCATCCAAAAACAGATTTTATTTTCATTTAATCTTATTTATGTTTCTTTATAACCAAGTCAACAAAAAACATATTGATCCATATATTAATGAATCACACATTCATTTCGCATACGTTTAAATGAAACTATTTAATACACAAAACATTGAGTAGTGCCTTAAATGTGAGATTAAGAAATTCCCATAGTTACTAATTAAGGAAATTAACCAATTTTAAAACATAACTTTACATTGACATGTAGAATTTTTTTTGCATTTCCATAGATGGCGTTAGATTCTCCTTTTATTAGAACTTGTCAATTAAACGTCAAAGTCTTGAGAGACGTGCGGCTAAACCCGAATGTTTCTAGTTCTCGGTCTAGTGTTAGTTCTAGTTTTACACTAATACTGTCTCTCAAGATGTCAAAACATTTCCTTTACAAAACTACCCAATGCGTGTACTATTAAACTATGTTGCATTTTATGTGAGACAGTGCAAGTGCATAGTAGTTTCGGAACTATGATAATTGCATTCATATATTGCGAATTATATGAAATTCGCCATATAAGAAAAAAGATATAAAAGCATAATTAGATGTTAGACAACCCAAATTACAATTGAAAACCTTCTCGAATAGATGGCGCTTTGAAGTTTTAAATTTTTTAATCTTGTCAAAACTATCAAATTATTTTAATCTTATTAATAAATTATTATTAAAGATGAGTTTTTTAAAAAAGGATTACAAGAATTAGAACATGCAATTGGTTTCACTGCTACTAACGAAAAGGTTTTTAATAGATCTTATAGGATGGTATTAAAAAAATCTGGTAAAACAACTCGATGAAATTGGTAAGTCAATTTGAAATCAAGTTAGTATGGGACTAATTTAACTTTTAGGACCGAGAATAGACTTTACAATTAGAAGATCTCATGAAACAAGCTTCCAAAAAACCAGAAGAATTAAAAGAAAAACCCAAGAAAAACATTTCTGTAGATAAATTGGTTACAAATCGTAACTATGATAATTGCATTCATATATTGCGAAATTTCATAATTCGCCATAATACAAGAAAAAAGATATAAAAGATATGAAATAATTGGATGTTAGACAACCCAAATTACAATTAAGAAACTACTCGTGTAGATGGCGCTTTGAAGTTTTAAATTTTTTAAAAGTTTTAATCTTCTGTCAAAACTGTCAAATTATTTTAATCTTATTAATTATTATAATTAAAGGTTAGTTTTTTTAAAAAAAGATTTCTTAATAAATGTTTTACACCCTTATTTTTAGGGTAAATTTAGACCAACGGGTTAATAGTCCGAATATCGACCGCTCTTTATATAAACACACGGAAGAAACGGTAGTAGTGGGGTTAGTTAAACCTGTCAAAACGAAAGTGCACCTCAGCTTGTTGGTAAATAACAAGAAATTAAAGTAAAACAAACTGTAAAAAATTCCCGGAAATTTTTAAAAATAAACACAATAAAGAGAAGAGGTTAAAAAAATAAATGTGACAAAGAATTTTCGCCTCCAACTTCATCGGCCTCCCTCGCGTTGAAAAACTCGTCACAAAATTAATTTCGGAACGTTAATTTTAAACTATGGTGAGATATTTTTAAATAGATAAAAGTGACTGAAAGGATAAGGATCATTTTCATTCATGTTCTTTGATTTTGAAGAGGTTAAAGTAGGAAGAGGTGTCAATGACCCGGTTTTTGAGGATTTAGTGCAATAGGACAAAAACGGAGACGAATTCGCTGATAATTCGAGTAAAATTAGAAAACTAATGTAAGTAACCTTTTCAAATTTATATATTCATTGATTATGCTTTTGATTATACAAAAGTTTTTTTTAAACGAAACCGTTATAGATTTGAAGACCTCGATGAATAATTTGATGGAATCATTATTGCAATTGTCCCATTCTCTATTAATAACCCCCTAGTTTCCAGTTTAAACCATTTTGACGTTCGATTATTGTCTAAATTATTCATTATGAGAGTTAAACCAACTGGGTGTTTATCTACGCCTTAGAATTCAAACTTAAAAAGTCGTTTTTAGGTTTATTTACTATTTTTTATTTTTATAAGTGTCTCTAAACATCATTCAAACAGACACCTTTTACATTAACATTTAAAGTTGGTTTCTGGTAGGTTGTAATTATGCGAATTCCTTAAGCTCACATTTAAGGCACTTAATGTTTTATTTATTAAATAGTTTCATTTAAACGTATGCGAAATGAATGTGTGATTCATTAATATATGGATCAATATGTTTATTGTTGAGTTGGTTATAAAAAAACATCAATAAGATTAAATGAAAATAAAGTTTTTGATGACCTAATTATTTTCTTAATCGGTTCTTACACAAAGATGTCTTTGTGATTGTTGTAGTTTATACAGGTGAAACAAAAGTCGGGTCGCACGGTATTTTTGTTGATAAAACCAGAACGGAAGTACAGAGAAATAATATTTGGACGAAGTAGATTTCAAATTTAAGTGTTTTTTATTGAGTTCTGAATTGTCACTTTGACGTTTAATTGACAAGTTTTAATAAAAGGGGAATCTAACGCCATCTATGGAAATACAAAAAAAATTCTACATGTCAATGTAAAGTTATGTTTTAAAATTGGTTAATTTCCTTAATTAGTAATTATGCGAATTCTTTAATCTCACATTTAAGGTACTACTCAATGTTTTATTTATTAAATAGTTTCATTTAAACGTATGCGAAATGAATGTGATTCATCTTTGTTTATAGAGAATAATAATCTAACGCCATCTATGGAAATACAAAAAAAACCCTACATGTCATAGTAAGGTTATGTTTTAAAATTAGTTAACTCGGTTAATTTCCTACTATTTTTAACATTTTCAGTTATAGTGCATAAAAATGTTTAAATTGCCTGATAAAATTGGGCATATTCCATATTTATAATGGGGACAAGAAATATGAAAGTTACAAAGTTTACGTCGAAGAATGCGTTGCTGTCTAACTTCGATAAACTTATCTGTAAATTACAGACTGTAGCAATAAAATATCTGAAATAATAAATTTTTGATAAACAAGAATTTGATACGACTTACAGAAACACCTGTATAATATATTATTACAAGCAAGAAATAAATTAATATTTTGAAATAGGATTTGAACTGGAAATGTCATTTTGACGTTTAAATGTCACTTCTTAAAGAAACGTCATTACAGTAAAAATGAGAAGAATGTAAGGTTATGTTTTAAAATTAGTTAACACGGTTAAGAATCGAGTACTTGAGGTTGTAAAATCCTTTCTAGACAAACGACGAAAGCAGTTCTTTTCACTAGAAAAAGAAATATACATCATTGAATATGATGGTAGCCCTGTGGGGTATATGGAGAGCTTCAAGTACTTGGGATTTCATATCAATGGGAAACTAAGTTGGAAAGAACGAGTCAATACAATAGTTAAGGCCTGTAATTAACCAAATTAAATCCTTGGAGTCTCTATATAGAGCAATATTGACTAATTAGAAATGACATTTTGAGTACAACAAAAACGAACAAAGTTACAACCTAAAGTTAAGATCCCGAACTTTTGTGTCGCCTTGTATTTGTGGCGCACAATCTTTTATTTACAAACAGTTTCATTAAAACGTATGCGAAAAGAATCATAATGAAAGTCATTGAGACTTTAGTTGGTAAGTTTTAGTGGTGATTGCAAGAAAGGATGTTTTGTTTCGCCTTAAATATTTACGTTTAAACGTAAACTAATTATTATCGCTTAAAAATAAAGGAAGTAATTTTCTCTTAAATATATAATTCGCTCGCTATTTATTTTAGGATAATGTGTTTACTTTTCACGTTATTATAATCGATTAAATTTCGTTTATTGTTTATTTTATGACAAGTTTAGTTTGTAATAACACGCGAGCACGTGCACGATTATGTTATTTTCATTAATTTTGTAACATAAACCTGTCAAAAAAAAATTACATTGAAAATGGTTATCCCAAAATAAGACTTGTTCAGAAGCGAATTTGGCATTTGGCCCATTAGATTTCAGTTTAGTTTAGTTTTAGAAGGCGTCAACGAGCCGGGACCCTTTTGCATAATACACTTGTCGATTCTCGTTCCTCTCAAAAATAAAATCACATTTTACTTACCAGTAGTGGTCAACTAGAATCAGTTCAATCCACTCGGAATCGTTTTTGATTTTATTCTTTTTGAAAGACCCATAAAAAATGTTGCTTATTAAATACATTAGACCAACGAGAATTCCGATTACGACGTTAAAAAAACCTGGATTGATTTCGACTTTAATCGAAATCAATAAAGTCACGTGTCTTTTTGTTGTTGCACATCAAATTGGGGATTTCTTCGCAAGGTTTCAATAAAGAAAAGGTATTGAAATTAAACAATTGTGTACGTTTTTCTTTGTGTCGTATCAATTTTAGTTTAGGAATATGTAGAAGCTCTAAAAATAATATTATCGAATTTCCACGTTAACGCATTTAATATTCGAACGTCACCGGTTTGTTTCTTTAATAATTTAACAATCAATTTACGTAAATAATCAGTCCCCTTTTATATTCCATTGCTTCCAAAAATAGAACAATCGTCTAATTTATGCCTTAATAAATTATAATTAAAACTAACGTATTTGTTTTTAACTTTTTTACTTAAAACGATTCAAAATTGATGAGTTGATGTTTTTAGCCTGAAACGAGACGATTATCAATTGGGATTATGATGGAAACGATGTCGAAAACGAACGAAATAATTTATCTTTATTAAAAATAATGTGAATAGAATTAGTTTTTAAGTTAATTAATTAAAATACAAATTCAATTTTAAGTGTTTTTTATTGAGTTCTGAAATGTCACTTTGACGTTTAACTGACAGGTTGTGATAAAAAGGGAATTTAACGCCATCTATTGAATTACAAAAAAAACTTTACATGTCATAGTAAGGTTATGTTTTAAAATTAGTTAACTTGGTTAATTTCCTGCTGTTTTTAACATTTTTAAATTGCCCCATAGAATTGGACATATTCCATATTTATAATGAGTACAAAAAAGTTACAAAGTTTACTTCGAAGAATGCGTTGCAGTCGGATTAACGAAACCGCATTTCTTTTTATTATTTCAATACCAACCTTGCAGTGCGACCTCAAAGATCTGCACTGATAGATAACATTATCAAATTTCACCGTGCAACCCAATGCTCTTCACGAACCTTAATGTCTTGCTCGGTGAAAAATCAGTGTTAGTTCTAGTTTTGCACTAGAACTAACACAAGACCTAGAACTAGAAACATTCGGGTTTAGCCGCACGTCTCTCAAGACGGCTAAACCCGAATGATTCTAGTTCTAAGTCTTGTGTTAGTTCTAGTGATAGTGCTAGTGCAGTACTAGAACTAACGCTAGACCTAGAACTAAAAGTATCAGTAAAACCCGAAACTTTCTAGTTCTAGGTCTAGTGTTACTTCTAGTTTTAATTGTTATGCATCCCTAGATTGTTGTATATTTTTATTGTACTAAAAGTAGAACTAACACTAGACCTTGAACCAGATGTAGTTGTATGAAACTTCCGGTATATGCAAATGGAAAGGAGATAGGCTAAGCAGAACATCCTTTGCTAGAGTTGGCATTGTGCTAATGACTACCACATAACCAAAGAAAGCTAAATTATAATATTATTTTTTAATTTATGTATATTATATAATGTATTGTTACAAGCAAGAAATAAGTTAATATTAAAATTAATATTTAGAAATATGATTTGAAGTGGAAATGTCATTTTGACGTTTAAATGTCACTTTTTAAAGATAATTTTTTAAGATTAATTTTATAATAAAATTAATTAAAAATACAACGTAACGATAACTGAAATAATTAGGTTATCAAATTACATAATCTTCAGTATAAATTAGCTTTAATTGCGTTCTAAAAAAATCGATTTTGAGGTTATGTTCTTAAAAATTCAAAACTCTTATTTTAACGAGTTTTATCACTTTTTATGGACTTCCACTATATACTTATCTTTGTATACTTGTTAGTTCAGTTATTTTTGAAAGAATTTGAGTTTAAAGAAGTTATTTTTGAAATATTATCGTAAAAAGATTTTAAAGGTGTCAATAACCCAAGAATTGACACAATAATAAAGCGAAGTTAGCTACGAATTATATGCTAATAAGATGATACATTTTATTATCATTATTATTAATTTTGTAGTAATAATAAATTAATCAAATTTATTTATAAATTTCCCCAAATAAATTTATGTAAGATAAATCGAAAATTAATAAAATAATTAAGTTGGAATCAATGACGATAGATGGCGGTAATAATTTGTTGACTAATTATTTTCAATAAATTTTTGAAAGAAAAGTAGAAAATAGAAAGTAACACATTAACTAACTCTCCATGCAAGGTTAAACTAAGAAGTAAAGAAAATGTAAGTACCTCTTACAATTGATTTACCAGAGAGAAAGTGTTACGAGACATTGAGTTAATTAATAATGAATATTCAAAAATACAAAAAATGTAATAAAATAATAAATAAATTTTTTCTCAACGTACATTTTAACATACCAAACCTGTTTTCCATGACACCCCATTTTCAAATTATGAAAAGCAGCTTTAGTTTTCGTACATTTCTAGTTCTAGGTCTAGTGTTAGTTCTAGTTTTAATTATTATGCATCCCTAGATTGTTGTATCATCACTATCACTAGACCTAGAACCAGAATATAGTTATATGAAACTCCCGGTATATGCAAATGCAAAGGAGAGATAGGCCAAGCAAAACATCCGTTGCTAGAGTTGGCGTTGCGCTAATGACTACCACATAATCAAAGAAAGCAAAATTATAACATTATTTTTTTATTTATGTTATATAATATATTATTACAAGCAAGAAATAAGTTAATATTAAAATTAATATTTATAAATAGGATTTGAAGTGGAAATGTCATTTTGACGTTTAAATGTCACTTTTTCAAGAAACGTCAATACAGTAAAAATGAGAAGAAATTCATTATTAACGTAAATTTAATTATTAATTATTATATAAACTTTGGTAAATATCATTTAAAATTGCAAGTCCATATTATTTTACTGCTATCTAACTGTAAACTGTAGCTGGTCGTTATCTTTGTGCATAAATAGAATTAATTTACTATGTTTAACTTGGTGATATCGTCAGAGGATTCTTATTAAAAACATTTTCAGTATTCTCAAGTTGTTAACAAGATCTGTGTGTGTGCTTGTTATTATCAAGATATTTTTGCAAATTTATTGAATTTATCTTTTTAATCTAAAATAGATCTAAAACGAAGTGGATTTAGTTACAGTTCTTTAAGGTCGTCAAGGTAAGATTTCTTTTCAAATCGAATTTCACTTAAAAAGCAATTTTCTTCTAAGAAACTCTACAGCTGTAGAGTTCACTGTTCGACCATAAGACTTGGACCTGTTGAAGAAAAAAAGACAATGGTAAAATTATTCTGCCGGCAACCAACGAACCAAACCCATTTCCTTTTTCTTTCTCGGAATCCCGTTGTGCCTAACGCGACCGAGAAAGAACGAGCTAAAACTCGTCGGCGCGCCGCGTTCACGATTTCTCGAATCCCACCAACAACGAACATGCTCAGTTTTGTGGCTGTTCAGTGGCTTTCTAGGCGCGATTTCAAACGGACGTGGATTCGTTGTACTTCTAAAAACAATAATCGTTTAATAAAATCGGAAAAATAAAGAGATAAAAAGTTTTTGGTGAGAATGTTTGGTGATGTAAAGGAATTTCTTTTTAATTTTTAACAGTTTTGGGTTGAGTGATTATTTATTTATTGGGGGGATTAAACATTTATTTGGGGGAAAGTGTTAGAGGATGACTTTTAAGCAGAAATGTACGAAAACTAAAGTTGCTTTTCATAATTTGGAAATGGGGTGTCATGGAAAACAGGCTTGGTATGTTAAAATGTACGTTGAGAAAAAACTTATTATTATTTTATTACATTTTTTGTATTTTTGAATATTTATTATTAATTAATTCAATGTCTCGTAACACTTTCTCTCTAGTAAATCAGTTGTAAGAGGTACATTTTCTTTGCTTCTTAGTTAAATCTTGCGTGGAGAGTTAGTTAATGTGTTACTTTCTATTTTCTACTTTTCCTTCAAAAATTTATTGAAAATTAATCAAAAAATTATTACCGCCATCTATCGTCATTGATTCCAACTTAATTATTTTATTAATTTTCGATTTATCTTACATTAATTTATTCGGGGAAACTTATAAATAAATTTGATTAATTTATTATTATTATAAAATTAATAATAATGATAATAAAATGTATCATCTTATTGGGATATAATTCGTAGCTAATTTCGCTTTATTATTGTGTCAATTTTTGGGTTATTGACAGCTTTAAAATCTTTTTACGATAATATTTCAAAAATTGCTTCTTTAAACTCAAGTTCCTTCAAAAATGACTTAACTAACAAGGATGCAAAGATAAGTATATAGTGGAATTCCATAAAAAGTGATAAAAGTCGTTAAAATATGTGATTTGAATTTTTAAGAACATAACCTCAAAATCGATTTTTTTAGAACGTAATTAAATCTTCAGTGTAAATTAACTGAAGATTATGTAATTTGATTCTTTATTTGATAACCTAATTATTTCAGTTATCGTTACATTGTATTTTTAGTTAATTTTATTATAAAATTAATAAAATCATCTTTTTGACATATATTTCGTAGTTAACTTCACTTTGTTATTGTGTCACTTTTGGGTTATTGACAGCTTTAAAATCTTTTTGCGATAATATTTCAAAAATTACTCAAATTCCTTCAAAAACAACTTAACTAACAAGAATGCAAAGATAAGTATACAGTGAAAATCAATAAGAAGTGATAAAACTCGTTGAGAAACTCGTTAACATTAGACTTTAGAATTTTTAAGAACATAACCTCAAAATAGATTTTTTAGAACGTAATTGAAGCTAATTTACACTGAAGATTATGTAATTTGATTCTTTGTTTGATAACCTAATTATTTCCGTTATCGTTACATTGTATTTTTCCTTTATAAAAAAACAATTTATATTGAAATATTTGCAACTTGGGACTACGATAATTTATAATCAATGTTTGTTGATTAAAAAAATGTGTTAATAACAAAGAACCGCATTACAAAGTTGATAATCGTAATCGCCAGATGTTCAATAAATTTTGAAAGCAACTTTGAGAATTGGTTAAATTGTCAACCTTATGTAAGTTTTTAAAAGATGTGATAAAAAGAAACTCGTTTTAACTTAGATGACGAATAAAACGAATACAAAGTACGTTTTTTTTTGTAGAAATCGACTTTAAATTAAAAATATTTACTGTTTAGTCATACGTTTTAAATTGATTATAATCGCACGACCTTCAAAAATTTCCTTTAAAAAGTAGTAAGATTCATCCTCAACACGAATAATCATTTTGCAATTAATTTTGAAGTTATTAAAATAACTTCCTTATACTCCTTTTTATATTTCTTGTGACTAAAATTGAAAATCCATTTATTTACCATCGAATATACATCAAAACTCATCCGAATATAAATCGTTTATTATTTCGACGCCATCGGCGAAGAAGAAAAAAGTCAAGGATCAACAACATCGAAGGGAATCGATGGATAGATATAAATACATTTTCGGATTGATTTACATAACGCATCTATAAATATAATTTTTGATGTGTTATGACGTCTTTTGAGTTTTGTAGGAATCGTCTTTTAATAATAAATCGCTTTTTAATACTTTGGATCTATTTCTAAATTGTTTTTAACATTTCAAAAATTGTTTAATCAAACTTTCTAAACGATATTGCAAAAGTTTTTGCAACGTATTCAAAGACCATTGTTCTCAAACACACCTTCACCTTAACGCAATGTTGCGGCCTTTATCCAATTCGTATCTTGTATTAACTGTTTTTAACTTTTCATAAAGGAAAAATAGAGATGAAACTATTCTAGAAATTTCAGGATATTTGAGGTTATGTGGAGATGTAAAATGCAATTTCTTTACATCTGTTGGTTATTAATCATGGTTTATGATTACCAGCCAGGATTTAAATGCCTTGATGGTATTAATAGCAATGGCGTCATCAAAATTATCTGCTACTTGGGTTGTTTCTGCGTAACACTTGGGGCGTCAAATTTGAAAGGAGAAGCGTTCCAAATATAATTTGGTGATTCGCGGAGTTTTCCTTCAAAAATTATCTCATATTTTTCTAAAATAGCGATGTTGATTCATTCTTTTAATTGATTCATCGTTATTTTTTTTAATAGTTTCGATATTAGAAGAACATTTTCCAGTACTAAAACTAACACCAGACCTAGAACTAAAATCATTCGTGTTTAGCTGGGTTTAGCCGTCTTTAGAGATGTGCGTCTAAACCTGAATGTTTCTAGTTCTAGGTTTAATGTTAGTTTTAGTGACAGTAGCGTTAGTTAGCATAAGATATCACTATGTTGCATATTTTTATTGCACTAAAACTAGAACTAACTATAGTTAATATGTCACTTTATTTTAAATGTCATTAAGACATATCCAACTTCATTGTAATCTTTGAAATGTCAAATAAGCTTTTTCAATTTCATTTTTATCATTAACAAACAAATAATTACGTTTTTAAAAATTAATCGCTTTCGGATATTAAATGGCCCTTTTAGCATATTTAAATGGAGATTCCATTAATTAAGTGAGTAGCCAAAATATAACTAAGCAATGCAAACGTCATTTTCAAAATTCAAACGTCAAACTGACATAACCTCAATATTTATTACTTTAATTTATTAATAAGATTTAATTTATAATTCAGGTTTTTTTGCTTTTTATTTTTATTTGTTGTATTTCAAAACGTGAATCTTTATGGTTTTGAAAATAACTCAACACCTGGGATTATTAGCCGATTTAAAATAAACATGCCGAAGGTTTTAAATTATTTCTAGATTCAAGGACCAATTTGACCTGCACTGATCGTTTAAAAATTAACCTAGTTTCTCATTTTTTATTTTAGACGTTTTCTTAGCAGAACTAATATCTTATAATCTTACGGTTAAAACTCGTTGCCAATTTGGCTTCAGATTCAACTTATTGTTAGTTATTTGTTTTAAGTTTTTAATATAATGCTTTTATGTGCTTCTAGTTTTAGGAACTTAATTTTAAACGTCATAACTTTTCCATAAAAAACTATCAATGAAAAAAGAATTATGAATAAAATTCGAAACTAAAAAAAGAAACTGTTAAAACCTTCATAACGAATTGTTCTAGTTAAAGTGCAACTTAATGATCATCATATTTTGTAGAATTGGCTTTAATTAATTTCATCCTCAATTTTCAGTATAGCGACAATTTTCCACTTTATTATGCTAAATTACACCATTACGAAACCATTCTAAACGACTCGTTCTAACCAAATGTTTTTGTTTCAGGCCTAAGAACTCCTCATCAGAAGGTTTAGCGGATTCTGCGAAAATTCGTTGTCCGGCGCCGATTTCCCGGCTTCGGGTTGAAAAAATCGAGGGCGGTTTGATGGTGGCCGGCGTCGTCGTGGCCGCAAATTGTCAAATAATCCTTCCGATATTCGGTTTTCTGTTCCTTTTAGTAGGATGCGTACTCACAGGTAATTTTATAACATTTCTACAAACATTTTTTGCGGTTATCGTTGAATCAGTCGAAAAATATGCGTGTTTACGTTTGGATACCGCGTGGAAAAATTGTCGAAAATATCTCTGGACGTTTTGGACGCGATGAAAAACCGCTCAAGTACGTATCTATATTTATCAAGACGCCAGACGACACTTAGAACTCGAGAAACATTGGTGTTAGTTAAAACAGTCCGCATGGGATAAATAACTTTGGTTAAAACGTGGATGGATTGTTATGAAATAAACTTTAGAATCTTACAATTAGATAATAAACCGGAAACGTTTCACATATTTTAAGACACATATAAATAGACATTCTCCACGCACCACAAACTCCTTCAGCAGGTAATAAATACTCTCCTTCTTCGCTATGTATAACGTAACATATTCCCGGGTTTCTGGCTTATTTCAATTCAACTTCCTGAAATCGTCATTCAAATTAATACATTACATAAATTACCAACTTTGCACCACGACCTCAAAGATCTATTGTACACCGTTAGATAACATTATCAAATTTCACCGTGCAATCCAATGCTTTTATCGAACCTCATTCCAGGAGAACTGATCCACAGTATTCGAAGTCTCTTTTCAGCCCATGAAAAGCCCATGATATACCAATTGCTCTGACCCCACAAACACTTTAGCGCTGCTCTCTCGTGCTACCCCATCTGCAAATTAAAGAAACTCTGTTATCACAACTCAGTGTGTTTAAAGTTTTTTTACAGTCATTACCCAGGAGTGACATTACGGAGCAGTTTTGAGCATATTCCTTAAATCTGTAAATGGCAATTCTAGGTGTTGTGCTTATCGCGCCAAAGATTGCCAATTCAGCTACTCGTTGAATTCGTGAAAGTTTACTGATAACTGAAATTCTTTTAAAAGAACATTAATAAAATCTCGAATTCTTTACAACATTTTTATCGCCATCTATTGATTTTAATTCTAACCTAAATTTCGTCATGAAGTTAGTAATCCCTATTATGAAATGAATTAATTTTTTGATAGTTTTACATAAATTTATTTATAATAAGAGATAAATTTAATTAATTATTACAATATATTAATTACAATTTTTTTTGTATATTTAAAAATAAATTAGAATAATAAAAATTATATATTAGCTAACTTCACTTTAATTTCGGTTAATTGACATTTAGTAATTGACAGTTTTTCAATCGTCGAATTTGTGCTTCGGTGAGGAATAAATTGGTGATAAATTAGAGTCGAGTTCTCACTTTTTTTTTGTATAACCGGTTATAAAATTGAGTAATCAACAAATTGTATAAATTAATTTTTGGTTGTATCAATATTAGACAAGAATAATTTTGGCCATCTAGCGTCAATTTTATTTATTTCAATTGTCAATACAAATTCTTGTCAATGTCAGATATTTTTTTAATATTTAGGTTATACAATTTTAATTTTGATTTATATGTCCATTTTTATTTTGCAGCTGCATCGTACAGAGGACCAGGAGAAGGCGAAGAACCGGATCATTACGCGGCACGAATCGCTTTCACCGGGAATTCGAGGATCTTGGGGCCCGCTTGTATCGTGGTCGGGTTCCTTATGACAGCCGCTGGAGTCGGATTGTGTGTGCTTACGAGGAGGGTTCGAAAACGTGAACAGACAATTGGTTTTCATTGTCCGTTACACGGAGATTTTTATCCGCTTAGTCCCGTTACGAGTTCAAAAACTCTTGGTAAGTAATATTTTATAGTTTTATATTTTTATAAAACTTAGTGGATGGGAATAGAAAGCGATTATAAGATTAGAAAATAATTAATCAAAAAAAAATAATAAGTTGTTGAGGACAAAGAAATTTCTTAACAAAGGATTTTTGTCATTGATGACGAATTATTTGAGGATGAGAATGGCTTTTGTCGCGGTTGCGGTTTATCACCTTTGTGGTATTTCTTATTGTTCTGATTGCGTACGATTAAATATAATTATTAAAACGTGTTTTATTCATTTTCGAAGGAAATAATTCTCTAAATAATCAATACAACGGCACAGGATGATACCCGGCAACAAAACTCATTATAACTTTAACTGTCACGATTTCCCAAACAATTTCAAGGATGAAAATAGTTCTCATTTTCATTCCTTAGTCACCTTTTCGCGGTCTTTATTAACGTTAATAGACTTTAATTTTGTAAAACTTAAAAATGAACGTATAACTGACCTCGCCAACCGCAATTAAAACCGTTAATACAGTTTAACAAACTCGAAACGACAAAAACTGTTCGTTGAACTTTCACTGTGTTGTTAAAAAATAGTTACTGAATTGATTTTGACTTCTATATAAATTGATTTTCTGTATTAAATTTCCTATTTAAGATAAATTAGTTTGCCGTTTTCCATGGAGGGTTATTTCTCGTTCAATTTAGAGAAACCCCTCGAGACATGATGTCAAAGAGTGGTTCACGTGCTGCAAGGAAAAACGGGAGCAACCTTGTCAAGTGGCACGTGCACGTTCAAATTAATCGTCTTCTAGGTTTCTACAATCAACGGCGTAGAGATTTTCCGTTGAGGAAGAGACGTGACGGGGAAGTAAAAGACTTTGTTTTAAATCTCCCGGAAATTGGATTTCTTTTTATTTTCTAAATTGTTTATTTAGCCGATTTAGGTTGGAATGATGTAAAAGAAAGTGAGCCAATAATACAACATTCCTGAACAAAACACTATAATTTTTTTTTACTGTTTCACCACAAATACCTTGGCACCGACTTCAAACAACATCTCGATTGATTTTATAAACAATTTCGATTGTTCTGGTTCCATTTCGAAAATTGATCTGATAAACCGCCAAAAACTATGTAATAATACAATTTTTAATCAACAAATAAATTAGCCATGTGTAAAAGTCATTTAAATTTATCACAAGGTTTGTTTTCACTTGGCTGGTTGAATTGGTTGAAGTGCGATCATTTAGAATCTTGTCAACAGTTGGCATTTAGTGAAGTGAGTTAATTTTTTTCAACTCAAAATAAATAATTATGATTACATTTATATTTAACGATATAAATGATGAATTGTTTAAGGTAATGGATACCTTTTCAATAAAGAAACCATCTCACAAACGTATTTTTAACGGCACAAACATAAAATAATACGAACCCATAAACCATACTCGACAATAAACATTTAAAATTCATTGCCTATTGAAACTACGAAATCGCCTATAGATTGAGGATAATAAACTTAACGTTTATTCTTTATATGAAGCTCCTCGTATTGAAAATTATTCTTTTAATAAACGATTAAATATGTATGTATGTAGTTTTATGTGGGGGTAAATTCCTTCATAGCAGTTGGGCCCCAGCGGGCCCACCATTTACAGTTACAGGATCCCTACCATTTACAGTTAATTCAATTAAAACTGGAACTAATACTAGACTTAAAACTAGAAACATTCGGGTTTAGCCGCACGTCTTTCAAGACGGCTAAACCCGAATGATTCTAGTTCTAGATCTTATGTTAGTCCTAGAGATAGTGCTAGTGTAAAACTAGAACTAACACTAGACCGAGAACTAGAAACATTCGGGTTTAGCCGCACGTCTCTCAAGATGGCTAAATCCGAATGATCATTAACTTGCACTTTAACTAGAATAATTCGTTATGAAGGTTTTAAAATTGTTTTTAGTTTCGAATTTCATTCATAATTCTTTTTTCATTGATAGTTTAATTTTAGTTTCATCCTAAAAATAACTAAAAGTAAAAAAAATCAATGAAATCTTTTTATGGAAAAGCTACAAAAAAAAGTTGTGACGTAAAAAGTTAACTACAAGCACATAAAAGCATTACATTAAAAACTTAGAACAAATAACTAAGTTGAATCTGAAGCCAAATTGGCAACGAGTTTTAACCGTAAGATTATAAGATATTAGTTCTGCTAAAAAAACGTCTAAAATAAAAAATGAGAAACTAGGTTAATTTTTAAACGATCAGTGCAGGTCAAATTGGTCCTTGATTCTAGAAATAATTTAAAACCTTCGGCATGGTTATTTTAAATCGGATAATAATCTCAGGTGTTGAGTTATTTTCAAAACCACAAAGGTTCACGTTTTGAAATACAACAAATAAAAATAAAAAAGCAAAAAAAACCTGAATTATAAATTAAATCTTATTAATAAATTAAAGTAATAAATATTGAGGTTATGTCAGTTTGACGTTGAAAATGACGTTTGCATTGCTTAGTTATATTTTGGTTACTCACTTAATTAATGGAATCTCAATTTAAATATGCTAAAAGGGGCATTTAATATCTGAAAGCGATTAATTTTTAAAAACGTTGAAATTATTTGTTTGTTAATGATAAAAATGAAATTGAAAAAGGTTATGTGACATTTCAAAGATTACAATGAAGTTGGATATGTCTCAATGACATTTAAAATAAAGTGACATATTAACTATGTCATATACATACAGGGTGTCCCACCTAAGTTGCCTCGGTCCATAGCCGAATTATGATTGAGTTTTTCAAAAAATGTTCCAGATAAAAGTTGAATCGAATCATATTGTACATATTTTAAAATTAGTTTCAGTAATGGCGGACTTCCACTTCTACCGGAAATGGATATCAACTTTGTTATTTTAAATGGAACAGCCTGTATATTATTGCATTTTTGGATTCTTTGTGAAATTTCAATGGTACTTTGTTAAGGATACCTTAGGTCTAACTGGTATCGTTTTTGAATTATATGACGATTTTAGAAAAAAATGACATTTGCAGCGTCTTATAAATTTGGCAATATTGCCGAAACTGTGAAAGCTAGAAAGATTTGGTTTTCTGTTTTGGATTAACAATAAAAGAACACACGTTTGCTAATAGAAAATTATGCATTTATATTACGGAATTCTTAAGTAGGGATCTGTAATTTTCGAACTTTTTAATCATGGATAACTTATTTTTTTTAAATGGAACAATATACCAATTTTTGCATAACTGGATGTAAAATTTAATTTCCTTTCAGTTTTATACAGGTATCATGGTGTCTATCTTCAACGGTTTTGAAGATATTCCCGATTTTTCAGTTTTTTACGATAGATATGTATTGCGAAGTAGGCTTAGGACTGGTAAAATGGAAGGTGGTCGACGCTTTGCAATACTATTAAAAATTGAAGTAGGCTTGGAAAACAAACTAGGTAAACTGTCATTACTGTTCCACGCATTAGAACTGTCATTAGTGTTCTACGCATTAGAACTGGTTTTCAAAGTATTATTTGTTAACATAATAATTAAAAATGTCACATACGCGGAAAGAATTAGTCGATATGGTTTTCGTTCTCGGCGAATGTAACAAGAACGCTTTGTTAGCGTCAAGACTTTACGCACAACAATATCTGGAAAGAAACTGGAAAGATTTACAAATACTGGATCCGTAAAACGTACTAAGCGCAACCGTAATAACTCCGTACTTACGGATGAAAACCAGTTGCACGTATTGTTAGCTGTGCAAGAAAATGCAGAATCTAGTGTGCGTGAAATAAGTAGGAGGACAAACATCAGTAAATCTTCGGTACACAGGATTTTAAGAAAACATAATTATCATCCGTATCGAATCCAGTTGCACCAAGAAATTACTGAAGGCGATTTCGAAAGCAGGCTGTTATTCTGTCAGTGGGCAATTGAAAGAACTAATCTTGATGCGAATTTTTTCGGACAGGTGATGTTTTCGGATGAAGCTACCGTTCACAAAAATGGGTTTGTGAATCGTCACAATTGTCATTATTATAATACAACAAACCCCCATCGATTCCTTGCAACGCATAGCCAGTACAGATGGTCAGTGAACGTTGGGCAGGTGTCATTGGAACGCATATCATAGGCCCTTTCTTTCATAATCAACGTTTGACGGGTAGGATTTATTTAGAATTTTTAGAAAATAGTTTGGGCGTTCTGTTGGAAAATATTCCACTAGCTATTCGTTAGTAGATGTGGTTCCAACACGATATGGTGCTCCACCGCACAATACCGCCCAAGTACGTCGGTATTTGGATATGTCCTTTCCGGACCGCTGTTAGATGGCCTCCGAGATCGCCAGATCTTACCACTTGCGATTTCTTTTTATGGGGTTTCATTAAAAACAAGGTTTATGAGACATCACCAACTACTCCTGACGATATGCCTCAACGCATTGTAAGAGCTTTTCAAGAAATCGCACCAGAAATTCTCAGAAATGTGCAAAACTCCTTACAAAAACGATTTCTATTATGTAGTGAACAAAACGGACAACATTTTGAACATTTGATGCAATAGTGTTTTTTTATTTGTGTTTTGTTTCCAGTGGTCTTGTTGTGTTTTGTTGGCCACTTTTTAAGCATGCCAGTAATATTTCTGCCAGTCCCAAGCCTGGTAAAATGCGAGGGGAAGGTGGCCGGCGCTGCGAAATAAGTATCTATCGTTAAAAACTGAAAAATCGGGAATATCTCCAAAACCGTTGAAGATAGACACCATGATAACTGTATAAAACTAAAAGGAAATTAAATTTTACATCCAGTTATGCAAAAACTGGTATATTGTTCCATTTAAAAAAATTAAGTTATCCATGATTAAAAAGTTCGAAAATTACAGATCCCTACTTAAGAACTCCGTAATATAAATGCATAATTTTCTATTAGCAAACGTGTGCTCTTTTATTGTTAATCCAAAACAGAAAACCAAATCTTTCTAGCTTTCACAGTTTCGGCAATATTGCCAAATTTATAAGATGCTGCAAATGTCATTTTTTTCGAAAATCGTCATATAATTCAAAAACGATACCAGTTAGACCTAAGGTATCCTTAACAAAGTACCATTGAAATTTCACGAGGAATCCAAAAATGCAATAATATACAGGATGTTCCATTTAAAATAACAAAGTTGATATCCATTTCCGGTAGAAGCGGAAGTCCGCCATTACTGAAACTAATTTTAAAATATGTACAATATGATTCGATTCAACTTTTATTTGAAACATTTTTTGAAAAACTCAATCATAATTCGGCTGTGAACCGAGGCAACTTAGGTGGGACACCTGTATACATTCGGGTTTAGCCGTGCGTCTTCAGTATGTTTCTAGTTCTAGGTCTAGTGTTAGTTCTAGTTTTAGTGTAATAAAAGTATGCAACATAGTGCTACCTAACTAGTGCTATCTACCACTGTCACTAGAACAAACATTAGAACTAGAACTAGAAATATTCGTGTTTAGCCGCACGTCTTTCAAGACGGCTAAACCCGAATGATTCTAGTTCTAGGTCTTGTGTTAGTTCTAGTGATAGTGCTAGTGTAAAACTAGAACCGCCAGCATAGCTTGTCTGCTGTCAGTGCAGATTACAACGTTCCTTAAGATTAAACATTAAAATTTTCTATTTTAAACTTTCATTTATGTTTTGTTACAGCAACATTAGAGAATGGTACAAGAAACACATTACTTTGTTGGTCAAGAAAACGTGGTCCAGGTGCTATAGCAGTTGGTCCACCACAGTGCCCTCACAGTCAAGTATCGAGTACTAGAAGTTCGCTACAAAGTTCACCTCACAGTCAGTGTCCTACTCCATTACCTTTTCTTGTTAATTCCGGATCAGTTAGGTAAGTTTCCTTGATTTTATTTTAATTTTTTTTGTGTTTCTGTAAAATTACACATAAATACAAAAAACTGATTTATTTTAAATCCCGTTAACTTGTCGTAATCTCCTAAAATCTCTTTTTTCTTTGATCCAATTTAAACCTATTGGAAAATTACCGGGAAGTCTTACACGTTCCGAACAAAACAATAAATAAAAAAGTTGGAATATTTTGAAGGAAATTTTTCCTCTAAAACACGTTATTTTTTTGGGATTGTTATGAAACGTGTTGTATTTTTGGATATCGATTTATTTTTTTATCCGCATTTTTGCGGCAAACCACTTTTGTGTATTACGAAAAGTAACGATACACGACAAAGACAAACTGACCATCTTAACAATGTTTTTAGTACTAATAATAATAATGGAAAAAAGAAATAATAATAAACAGATCCACCCCAAAACGTTAAGTAGTCGACGTAAATGGATTGGGTACTAAAAATAGTATTTTAAACGAAAATTTATTTCTTTAAGAAATTTTACATAATATGTTTATGAATAAAGATTTAAATGTAAATAAACGATAAGTTAAAGCAGTAATCACTAATAATAAGAAAAATACGGGAAGTTGCATTTTAATCACTAAATTAATGTAGAATCTTCGAATAGAACTCGTTCCTGTCATGCAAATTACTTAAGATTGGGTCTTGTTTGGAAAATCTGTTCGAAAAAAAGACGTTATAACCTCAAATTTATTTAATTAATCCTTTTATCGTTAGTGAGGGATGAAAAATGATCTTAAATTGAGGAAAAAAGGAAGAGGTTTATCGATTTAGTCCACGTCATCCAGAAAACGATTTGTTAGAGTTCCTCTGGAGGTGGAAGCTTGAAAAACGGAAAAAGTAAGCGAGAAAAGTGTTCCGAATTTATACTCTTTCTGGCAACGGTCTTGAGAAAACTCGTCTAAAATATGCTCTCGGTTTTTGGGTTGACGTCGAAGATTCAAGACTTTTTTGAACTAGGACAAGAACATAACGGTAATAAATTTCGTCGGACCACAAAATAAAAAGGCTTCTAAAAACAGAATTGGGACAACAATAATTGTATTTTTAATAAGATTAATCACGATAATATAAAACGCACCGGATATAAAATCAAATACACATCCGGTGAATAACGACCTAATCCTGGTGTACCTTCCTTTGTACATCAAAACGGAATGAATATTACATGAGGAGACCGCTTCAGCTAATTTAAATGCTGCAATTAAAATGTCTACTTCTATAAAAGAAATAAAAAAGAAATACAGTGAAGAGAGCTGGTCTTTACTGTATTTTCTTGCTCTATTTAACACTGTCATTAGAACTAACACTAAACCTAGAATTAGAAACATTCGGGTTTAGCCGAATGTCTTTAAGACGGCTAAACCCGAATGTGTCTAGTTCTAGGTCTAGTGTTAGTTCTAATGACAGTGCTAAGTAGAGCAAATTAGCATTAGAGAGCGCTAGATTGTTGTTTATTGCTGTTGAACTTAAACTAGAACTAACACTAGACCTAGAACTAGAAAGATTCGGGTTTAGCCGTGCGTCTTTTAAAACGGCTAAACCCGAATGATTCTAGTTCTAGGTCTATAGTTAGTTCTAGTTTTAGTTCAATAACAATACACAACTTAGCGCTATCTAGTGCTAACTAGCGCTACTTAGAACTGTCATTAGAACTAACTCCAGATCTAAAACTAGAATTATTCGGGTTTAGCCACACGTCTCTAAAGACGGCTAAACCCGAACGATTCTAGTTCTAGGTCTAGAGTTAGTTCTAGTTTCAGTTCAATAACAATACACAACCTCGCACTATCTCGCGCTACTTAGAACTGTCACTAGAACTGTTACTAGCACTAACTCTAGATCTAAAACTAGAATCATTCGGGTTTAGCCATACGTCTCTAAAGAGGGCTAAATCCGAATGACTCTAGTTTTAGATCTGGAGTTAGTTTTAGTGACAGTTCTAAGTAGAAACTTTCTAGTTCTAGGTCTAGTGTTAGTTCTAGTTTTACTTGTTATTCAGCACTACATCGTTGATTATTTTTATAGCACTAGACCTAGAACTGGAATCATTTCGAATTTATAATTTGCCAAACCCGAAAATTGGGTATTTGAAGAAAAATGATTTCAAAGATTTCAAACTAAACTTGTTTATTCTGAAACTACACAAAGTGGAATCATAAATTAACAAAGATTTACATAGAACAAGGGCCGTAGGTTTATTTATTAAACACCGTAGCCGTTTTAAGACCCAATAACGCAAACTATCAATCTTAAAAAGAAGCAACAAAGCTTTTTCTTGCACCATTCATCGTGCATCAAATTCCGAGTTTATTTATTTAACACCAAATTTCGCTGAAAACAGTTAAAGCCGACATAAAATTGTCTACAAGTTAACACAAATATAACTCGAAAGTTTCATCGATATTTTTTTTATGGAAATGGAACGGATACGGAGGCGAAAACCGAAGAAGCTATTTGACGTAAAGGGCCCTCTTTTACGTTTTACGATCGAAAGGACGCACTGCAGTAATCTAAAAATGCTCGAAAAATGCGAACGATAAGGACGACCTTGGTAAAAGAGAAAAATTCTTATTTTCCAACAAGAGAAATAACAGAAAAATCAATGACAAGAGGAGGTTTAATGATATAATACAATTTAAAACCGTTAAAATTACAATTAAACGAGATTTTCGCGTGTAAACATCGTCGTAAACCGTTTAAAACGTCCGCATAACGATAATTACATCTTGCAAAATCTCGTAATCGATCCGGTAACTCGTCTTCTTGATGAGGATTGAATTTTAAGTATCTCCGCAGTCGTGTTTAGAATTAGTCATGTTTTAAAGTCGTTTTAACAAGAAAACAATAAATTAAAAGTCGATTTTCACCCAGTTAGAGAACCCCGTTTTTCAAGTTAAAGGTTATCACCACTCAAGATCTTTGTTTAGTTGCATCCTATGGTATGGATTTAAAATTCAATGTTACAAGGTGCATGTTTCTTAACCATTTGTAGTATTCTCCAATAAGATACACTGTTGCGTGTTTGCAAGCTTTAGATTTATTTGTTGAAAATAAATAAATTATTTCTACAATCACAAGTGACATTGACAATTAAAATGTCAAAAATTTAGTGCGTTTTTGTTTTATGCTAATAGAGGGCGGAACGTGTATTAATAATTTTTTTTTAATTTTAAAGAATTAAATTTTATTATAATTTCTTTAATAAATATTAAATTAATTAAGTCATATAAATTAAATTATTAATTTTAATTCATTTATTTGAACCGATACAAAAATATCTAAAAAAATATCTTAGTTAAATTAGGTTGGTATTACTTGACAGTTATAACCTATAATAAATTTAAATTAACCTTAAAAATGTGTTAATAATTAAATTATTTTAATATTTTTAATTATTTTTTTACAGTGGTTTAGTTCCAACTGTAGCTCAACTATCACCAGATCAACCTTTTGGTTCAATCCGTTCGTTGGCTGTTAGTAGAGAAGTTGCGAGTTTTCCAATGTCTCGGACACCAACTCCACCTCCTTCGACGTTTGAAAGGTACAAAATCATTTTTCAATTATAAATTTGAATAAATAAATAATTCAATTTTTAGTCCAAGTTTGATTCAAGTTCCGGATGAGGAAAAATTGGTATCTCCGGATAGCGAAGACTTGAATCTGCATAAAACAGTTCCCCGGAAATCCGTTTCAATAGTATTACCTTCTGAAAATAATCAAGACGTTTAGAATTAGATAAGAAATAAATTATAATTAGAGGACAATGATGATGAAAAGGACAAGACTCACTTCAGCTTAGGTGCGCGATAAAAAGATAATAAACAATTAGTTGAATGAAAGAAGAATGAGATTATAAATTAGTTTTGTTTTTTAAAACTATTGTAATTAATAGATGAGTGAATGTACTTTTTAATAACCTTTTAATATTTAATTTTAAAAATCTCCCTGTATTGTTCCAATCTCTGTACAAATTTGTTTCGATTTTAATGTAATTTTATTTATAATCTAATTTGTAAAAGTGTGGTTGTGATTTTATAATATTTTTGTTTCGTACGTTGTCTACAAAGACTGATTTAATTCGATTTTCGTTGGCTGTATCTACTCAAAACCCTACTATCTAGCTCCATATCTAGATATTAAAACGATTTAAACATACATTTAATTAGTTTAGGTAGGTATTTAGTTTTTTAATGATTTTTTAGAAACCCCACAATTAATTAAGTTAATAATTAAAAATTATGGTCCTATTAATAGTAAATTTATAGAAAAAGACATTTCATTATAAAAAGTAATACAATCTCATCATATCTAATATATTATTTATCATTAATCGAATTATGAAAGCAATTATTTTGTTAAGTTTATTTATATCTTAGTTTTTTTATCTTACTAATATTAGTTATTACAAACATTTTATCATAAACTAATAAAAAAAGCTCAGTTTATCAAAAAAGAAAAAAAAATACTTTATACCTTGATATTGTTAGTGTGTGTACATATTATTGTAGGATTTGGGCATAAAAAAGTGATATCTACGAGTTAAGTTTAGCATTAAATGAGGCTAAAATATAGCTGTAGGACGTAAATAAACTTATTATTTCTTTTTTTAGCAAAAAAAACATTCAAAACGTTATGTAGCTTTAAGTGAATTTAAAAAAGAACACGCTGTATGTAAGAAGTATAAAATATATTGCTCAGATTTTAATTGATAAAAGAACTTTTTTTCTGTTCTTTGTTAATATCCATTTTATAATTAAAGGGTTTTAAAGTGTTTTACAAAGAAAGCTCAGAATTACCAATTGATATTCATGAGAGATGTTCTATTTACAAATTCTCATTATTCGCAATGTTTTTGATTAAGAATTTTTGTAATAGGAACACTCTAAAGCACTGAAATAGAAAATCTTAATGTTAGTGTTACAAGTTTATTTATAATCCATTTTATGCTAATAATAAATGGATTAAAAATTAATTTTTTTAATAATCCTCTTGTTATCCTTGTTTAATTTATTTTATAGTAGTTTTTAATTTTTTACGGTTGGTACTAACAACTACCGTCTATATTCGGGTTTAACCCGACACCACCCGATGGTGCTGTCAGTCTCTCCCACTTCCCGTAGCTATAGTGACATTTTTTTGTGTTACAACATGTATACAAACGTAAAATGTAACAAATAAGTTGAATGTAAGTTGAAGAACAATTTTCGTAACGAGCATGTACCCTCCCGAGGGTGCCGTTCGTACGTAATACGCCACGGTGTAAGTTAAAATAATAAGCGATTCCGGCGGTCCTCACGGCCATGTTCCGAAGCTCCACTCATTCGTACACAACTGACATGGCGGGCCTTAAACAGTGCGAATTTATCCCTTGCAATAATTTAATCAACAATTTTTCTTTTACAAAATCGCTTTATTTAACGCTATAATTCGATTTACCATTAAATTTTTAATGAAATCGCGAAATTTTGTATTGTTCATCTTTTCGTTTAGTGGATTATGTGTATGTGTGTGTGGTTAAGTTAAAATGGCATTTAACTTTTTGGTATGTAAAATTGAGCTTTTTTCGGATTTTACGGCAAATATTACACCTAAATTTAAGTTATTATTCATATTTGGTTACATTAAGTTTTGTCTTAAAAATAACCCTACATAAATTCCAACCTCACTTTTCAATTATCTATTCAATTGTAGCATTTTCACGATATATCTTAATTAATTATTCTAACACGAAAAATTGTGGTTAATCACTTTTTTGAATCTAATTTTGATCGTTTTAGTCGTTTTGGTTCACCTTTTTCGTTACGTTATACAGGTGTTCCAAAATTGATGACTTTATATTTTATTAACAACAAAGTCGAATTTATTAATTGATTTAAGGTGTTTTATAAAGAATTTTGATAGATTTTAGTACTCTGTAGATATAGACAGTAATAAATAATTTCCGAGTGGATATTAAATTTATGTATAAAGGTGTTCCTAAATCCCTATACCTCGTAGTTATCTTTTATACTCTATTTTTTAATTCGGAGGAATGTTTTCAAATTAAAGCGCCAAAAAAAGGATTGCTATTGGTCAGTTTTAAGCAAAAACTACACTAAGAAAATTCGAGGTGTTGCTATTTACCACTGCCACTAGAATTAACACTAGACTGAGAACTAGAAACATTCGGATTTAGCCGCACGTCTCTCAAAACGGCTAAAACCCGAATGATTCTAGTTCTAGGTCTTGTGTTAGTTCTAGTGATAGTGTAAAACTAGAATTAACACTAGAGGAGACATCTAGCACTGGAGACACGCCAGAATTAGCCAGATCAAGATACTGACCAAGGCAGATACAAGCTAGAAGCTTAAAAAGGATAAATCTAATCAAAATCGAAAAGGTGAAGCTATAAACAAAGCAGAACTTTAATAAATCAAAAAGAAGAGGAAAAGGAAACGTTTAATATACAAAATACAAACAGTTCTTGTGTGTTTTTTTCATTCAGCTAAGAATCCATTATGTCAAATTTCCTGGAATAAGTTAAAGACAAAGGAACCCAAATTAATTTATAAGGAAGGACGCTGGAGACATGCCAGAATTAGCCAGATTAAGATACTAACCAAGACAGATACAAGCTAAAAACTTAAAAAAAGAATAAATCTAATCAAAGTCGAAAAGGTGAAGCTATAAACAAAACAAAACTTTAATGAATCAAAAAGAAGAGGAAAAGGAAACGTTTAATATACAAAATACAAACATGTGTTTTCATTTATACAATTTTTATTCTTAATAAAATAATAATTTAAAATTACTCAATAATTTGACGTTTATTAAAAGTGAGGTTATGTTTAAAATTAAATTTTTTGAGGTTATAATATGATATTTTGATGAAATAATTTAATTTTTCTTTTTAAAGTTAATATTCCATTTAAATGATGGATGAATTGACATCCGGTGTCGATCCAGACGATCTGATGGAACTGGACGACGCGGAAGGTTCCGATTTAGAAGAAGATGACGAGGACGTCATCGAAGATGCGTTACCGTCGCCTCTTCAATTGCCATCGTCGGGGCCCGCATCGACCGCTACATCAGCCGCGTCTTCGCCGCCTACAAACGACGACAATCCGCCGGTATTCAATTTTAGCGGGAAACCTTTAAATATTAAAAGAGGTCGAGGACGACCAAGAAGGGAGGGTGGAAAACCTGCACCAAAGAAGCAGAATTTAACGAATAGGAAGAAATGGAAGCCTCAACTTGGTTATTTAAGGGGTAATTTAAAAAGTAATTTATTTTTTGGTTGTTTTAATGGTTTAATTTTAGTTACACCATCACCAGGTGAAGAAACATCAACTTATGATCCTGAAACAGGATCGTTAATTTTAAGTGATCGGGAGAGACCTTGTCCTATAATAGAAGAACTTCCTTATGCACCGGAACAATGGTAAATTCATCAATATATTTTTATTTTTTTGTTTTAATCATGCAATTTTAGGCCTGGAAAAGTTTGTGCATTCTGTAATTTAGGCGAACGTAGCCAATTGGGACAAGGTGAATTGTTACGGTTAATTTGTTCGGAAGGATTTACCCCTCAAAGAATAATACTCGACACCCAAGATTCCGCCCAAGTCGTCGAACAAATTCCCGAACGTGAATTAGGTGATAAAAGTCCGCGAGGTGGTCCGGTTACATGTCGACGACAAAAAAGTTTTAATAAATGCCGACATCCTTCCATGACCAGTGAATACGTTGACGAACTTACTATCATTGGTTATGTTGAACAACCAGATGTTACAACACTATTTGAAACGACCGGGCATTTTTATGTTCACCGTAGTTGTGCTCTTTGGTCCAATGGCGTTAGTAGAGCAGGTAAATAATATTCATTTTGATGTAAATTTTACATACAGGATGTCCATTACATACAGGTGTCTCAGCGAGACCGTTCATTAGACATTTCTGGGGTTTTGGCAAAAATTAAAATTTGAGAACTCAGATTTAAGTATTACCAATTGCGTTCTTTTCGACTAAAATATTCTCAAATTTCTAGCACTTCCGCTTATACCGGAAGTCGCCACCTACTTTATTTTTTTAAATGAACATCCTGTATATTTTTACATATTTGGATTTGTCTGTTTTCAAGGTTTAGGAATACCTTTACTTTTTGCAATTTGATTCGGCCGTTCTTGAGTTATTCGAATTTTTCTAGAAAAATCAGCATCAAACAACGTAAATCAGACTTTGACGTTTGTCAATAAGTCATTAAACATTTGTTTTCCATGGCATACTAGGTTAAATATTGATATATGTGTGCATTTTCCAAAAAACCCTAATTATTTCCCAAACTATTATTGTTAGGTATAGGACATATGGGATATAAAAGATGTAAAATGAGACGCTGAAGACGACTAAGTAATAAAATATGAGGGTTGCCATTTAGAAAAATCAAGTTCTGGTACTTCCAAATTTCGAAAAGTTAATGTACCATAGTAAAGTAACCAAACGATGTAGATGTAGACATCATGTTACTTAATCATGTTCTGAATCCTAAATTGATATCCCAAAAATCGATTTTTTGAGCAAATGTCTGCTAAATATACAGGGTGTATCTAAATTGATACGAAAGATTTTAAGGGGTGATTTTTCAACGAAAATTATGGGAGGTCTCATATAACTTTTTGGTTAAAACCACTTCTCCTCCAAGTTACAGCCCTCTAAAATTAAGGGAAAAAAAATGTTTAATAAATAATCTTTATTAATCTTTAATAAATCCACTATGGAGGAATTTGGAAGGATGAAATTTGGCAGATAACTATTACTAATAAAACCCAACCCAACTCACCCCTATAATACTTTGCATCAGAACTTTTTAATGCGTCCACATTTNTCCTGTCTGGGACGCACCTTCTGTTCCGATTGGACAGAAGCCCTGGCACCCCGCAGAGCTTATTTCTGTTTCTCTTTAATTTATAATTCCATTAAATCGCTCTTAAAAAATTAGGAAGCCCTAATTTTGAAAAACTAATAACGGAATCCGACAACCGACATTATTTGACAAATTTTGGTAAAAACCGCGTTTTAATCCGCCAGGTCGTTTTCGAAATAACCACGATTTTCCGCGAAACTATATGGAATATCGAAAAAATAGAATATGCCCCACATTAAGAACCCATCGGTTTACCACCAGTTCAAATTTGAAATTTTTTCATCAAATAGTTTTGGAGAAAAAAAATCGCAAAGTAGATAAAGTTGCTGGCACTCTCAAAAATCGGGTAGTTTTTTACAATTAACTCGTGATAAAAGAAAAACCGCGGACCCGAAAATTTTCAAATTAACATGTAATAGGCAGAAATGTTCACTGATTGCAATAAACCTTACCGCAATTTTTTCCATCGAGCGGTTACGAAGATATCGATCACTAAAGTGAGGAGCCTTGACTTTTTGCACGGATAGTAAGTAATAAAATATGAGGGTTGCCATTTAAAAAAATTAAGTTCTGGTACTTCCAAATTTCGAAAAGTTAATGTACCATAGTAAAGTAACCAAACGATGTAGATGTAGACATCATGTTACTTAATCATGTTCTGAATCCTAAATTGATATCCCAAAAATCGATTTTTTGAGCAAATGTCTGCTAAATATACAGGGTGTATCTAAATTGATACGAAAGATTTTAAGGGGTGATTTTTCAACGAAAATTATGGGAGGTTTCATATAACTTTTTGGTTAAAACCACTTCTCCTCCAAGTCATAGCCCTCTAACATTAAGGGAAAAAAAAATGTTTAATAAATAATCTTTATTAATCTTTAATAAATCCACTATGGAGGAATTTGGAAGGAAGAAATTTGGCAGATAACTATTACTAATAAATCCCAACCCAACCCACCCCTATAATACTTTGCATCAGAACTTTTTAATGCGTCCACATTTTTTTTATTTAGAAACTTAATTTAAATAGAAGCATTCAATACGCAACTTTTTTGTCTCTTAACATTTTCTTCTAAAATCGTTAGTTTGTCCATAAAAAATACTTAAACTTATTTGACATAAATTCAGAGATTGGTAATTACTTGTTTGAAAATATCAAGTAGGCAGGTGTCATAATATTTAATTGGTTATTTCTTTCCATCTCAATTTTAAACGAAAAGAAACACATGGCGTGTAGTGGTACAAACAAAGCTTTTTGTATAAATTAACAAGGTAACAAAGAGAAGAAGAAATAAATAATAATTAGAACCAATGATGAACAAGATATGTTTTTTAAAAATATGTTTAATGACGTGTCTGACTCCTGAAGATGATTGAATGTAGCAATCGAAACCGGTAGAGCCGAAAATTAAAAAACCATCCATCTATAAATACACATAGTTTTATTTCAATTATATTAGGTGTCATAATGACAAATATTTTCATTGTTGTGATTTTGTCCGTATTATTTTCGCAAACTAAAACAATTATTGCTTAAGTAATAACGCAATGGCAAGCTACACAAATGCCGAAATGGCAGACATGCATTTTGTGTATGGTCGTGCTAATGGAAATGGGCTAGAAGCTCGATAATTCAGCTTTACGCTAAATTATATCCAGAACGTACACTACCTAATCAACGTCTTCGAGAAGATGGACATTTTTCAAGAAGAATTGTCGATTGCGGACGTTCACGAGAAGTACGTAATGTAGCACTAGAGGAAGAAGTTCTTAATTTAATTGAAAACTCTCCCGAAATCAGTACAAGAAAAATTGTTCAACAATTAAACGTAAGCCGTTCCAGCGTGTTTAGGATTTTAAAGAACATTTTGTGTCCTTATCATCCACAACGTGATCAAGCGCTCTTACCGCGAGATTTTCTACCTCGGTTAATTTTTTGTCAATGGATTCTTCAAATGGTTACACAAACCTCACAGTTTTTATGTCGTATTTTGTTTACTGATGAGGCGAATTTTTCAAAAATCAAAAATTTTCATAATAATCACATATGGGCTGAAGAAAATCCTCATAAAATTGTTGAATCCAATTTTCAATACCAATTTTCATTAAATGTGTGGCTTGGTGTCATTGACAATTATTTTATTGGACCATATTTTCTTCCAATGAGATTAAATGGAGACGCATACTGTAATTTCTTCAAAGAGGAGTTGCCCCTGCTTCTTGATGATGTTTCGATAGAAATCAGACGACAATTATGGTACATGCATGATGGAGCCAGCGCATTTTAGTATTAACGCTCGTCGCTACTTAGACGAAGTTTATACAAATTGTTGGATAACTTCTGTTGAAAATATCAATGATTTACGGAATCTAATTCTACGGATTTTGTTAATGTTGTTATTATTTTGTTAATTGTTATTGTTAGTGTCTGTGTATTATTATTATTTTTTTTATTAAATTAACAATTTTAGGGGAAACTGCTCTTAATATTTAAAAATTTGTCATTATGACATCAACCTCATAATTTTTACATAAATAATAACCATACTGTGAATTTGTGTCAAATAGGTTTGAGTACTATTTTATTTTTTTATGGACAAACTAACAATTTTAGGGGAAAATGTTAAGAGACAAAAAAGTTGCATATTGAATCTCTCTATTTCAATTAAATAAGTTATAAAAATCGTCAAAAAGTGTCACCTTATTAGTAATAGTTATTTGAAAAATTTCATCCTTCCAAATTCCTCCATAGCGAATTTATTAAAGAAAAACAATTTTTTCCCCCTAATAAGAGGGCTGTAACTTGGAGGAGAAGTGGTTTTGACCAAAAAGTTGTATGAAAGACCCCCTTAATTTTCCCTGAAAAATCACCCTTTAAAATCTTTCGCATCAATTTAGATACACTCTGTATATAGAATTATGGTACTTCCAAATTCCGAAAAGTTAACGTGCCATAGTAAAACAGCTCGGCTGCAAAACATACTTCATCATGTTGCTTAATCATGTTTTGAATCATAAATTGATATCCCAAAAATCGAGTGTTTTCTGATTTTTTGAACAAAACATGTCTGCTAGAGCAGAACTTTTTAGAAAAAATCGAATAACTCGAGAAGGGCCGAATCAAACTGGAAAAAGTAAAGTTATTCATAAACCTTGAAAATAGAGAAATACAAATATGTAAAAATATATAGGGTGTTCCATTTAAAAAAATAATGTAGTTGGCGATTTCCGGTATAACCGGAAGTGCTAAAAATCTGAAAATATTTTAGTCTAACAATAAGAGAGCGCAATTGATTATACTAAATATAAATTTTTGAACCCCATAAACGTCTAATAAACGGTCTTGCTGAGACAGCTGTACAGGGTGTATCTGAATGACTGCAACAAACTTCAAGGGGTGATTTTTTAGTGAATTTTAAGGGTACTTTGATATATGAACCATGGGCGACTTCGGCTCCCCTAAGGAGCTACACCCCTCCAAAAATAGCGGAAAATTTTGGTTTAATTTCTTTTTCTCAAAAACCATAAACGCTAGGAAAATGAAATTTGGGGAATATGTTTAACTCATAATAGGGCACGTTTTGACCCTATTTGTACTTTCAATCTACCCTTCTAAACTACTAAACGTAACAACCCGCATTCATTTTATGCCTAGATTTTTTTTATGAAGATTATAAATACATTGGAAAAATTTCAGTTAGATAGATAAAACTATTCTAAAACTTTTTTGTCTCTCTGATATTCTTCTAAAAATTAATAATTTCTGAGAAAAAAAATAATTAAGCGAACACTAACTGTTAAGCTGTAGGGTTGTTAATCGAAAGTTGGAATGAATTTTTAATGAAAAAATCTAAGTAGGCTTTGCAATCTTTGTCAGAAATATTTTTGACGTTTAAATATCAGTGGTTTTCTTACTTTATTATTGTTTTATTTAAAATTTTGAAACGTCGAGTGAACGAGCGTAAATGCGATAGAACTTTATTCAAAAATTAATTTGAAAAACAATAATAATAGTAAGAAAAACTGACATTTAAACGTCAAAAATATTTCTGACAAAGATTGCAAAGCCTACTAAGATTTTTTCATTCAAAATTCATTACAACTTTTGACCGACAACCCCGTTGTTTACGGGCAGTGTTTGCTTAAATATTTTTTTTCTCAAAAATTAATCGTTTTTGGAAAAATTTTAGAGAGACAAAAAAGTTTTAGGATACTTTCATCTATCTATGTAAAATTTTTCTAATGTATTTATCATCTGCATAAAAAAATTTTCGCAAAAATGCAAAGGGGTTGGTTACGTTTAGTAGTTTAGAAGGGTAGGTTGAAAATACAAATAGGGTCAAAACATGCTCTATTATGAGTTAAACATATTCCCCAAATTTCATTTTCCTAGCGTTTATGGTTTTTGAAAAAAAAAAAAAATTAAACCAAAATTTTCCGCCATTTTTGAAGGGGTGTAGCTCTTCAGGGGAGCCGAAGTCGCCCATGGTTCATATATCAAAGTACCCTTAAAATTCACTAAAGAATCACCCCTTGAAGTTTGTTGCAGTCATTCAGATACACCCTGTATATCGATATTTAACCTAGTGTGCCATGGAAAACAATCTTTCTCAATGAGTTCTTGTCAAAGTCTCACTTGTTTATGTCACTTGATGCATGTGAGCTAATAATTATCTGTTAGGTCCCTTAATATTAGTGTTAAAAAGAGTTAAAATCGATAACAATAACCAAAATAATATTTACACAAATCAAGGAATTCTTAATTTATTTTTTATACATGAAAAGCGTGACAAAGTTCGTAGTATGATTCCTAGATCTTCTTTGGCAGCTCGAATTGAGGCATTGGGACTTGGCTCGAAATAACCTCGTGTATTATCTACTACATTTTTTGTTCAGTGTAACACGTGATTAATTCTTGCAAAATGCAAAAAATTTGCTTCTATTCTTCTAAATTTACCTTTTGTCATCGGAGGTAAATATGGATAGTTTTCATTAAACAATCTGTAAGTTCTACTAAGAACTTTGTCGCACTTTCCGTGCATAAAAACAATTAAGGATTTCTTCATTTGTATAAACATTAAGCTAAGTTTCCACATGCAGGGATTACTGGCGCCGGTTCATTTGCATGTGGAAATAGCAGAAAACCACTGGCGCCAATAAATTAGTGCCTGTAATCATAGCGCCAATAAAGTTGACGCTACTTCTACTTTTTGACGTCAGTAACAGAATAAAGAGTACATCTAACTTGTCATTTACATTCCCATTTTCATGAGCGAGGTATCAAATGAAAAGGTTTAATGAATACTATGATTCATGCTAGAAAAAAATCTCTATCTAATAACGTGAAGAAAAACATACCGAGCAATTTGAAAATCAAAAGTTGATAATCGCTTGAAATTGAAGATAGCGTTGGAAAAAGTTTATTTGTAGCATGAATCATAGTATTCATCAAACCAAGGACAGTAGAATCTAACAGGACTGCTACATCCATTGTATCTTTGTAGGCCTGTACGGGTTGGTTGCCTGCACTCTAGATATTTATTTAGACTTTTGAAGTTCATATGAATACGTCTACGATGTAACCTCTAAAAATACACAGCAAACGCATAGAACATCATAACAGCTGATTAGGCATGGCATATGGTGTGACGTAGAGTGCTTGCGCGTTGTCACAACAATAGATGTAGCAGTCCTGTTAGATTCTAGCGTCCTTGCAAAAAACCATTTCATTTGATACCTCGCTCATAAAAAAAAGAAAGTAAATGACAGAGTTACAGCTTGTGGCGTTCTTGTTTGACAACCTGTATATACAGGTGTCTTTTCTCTGCTAAAATTACACCCAAAATGGATGTATTGTACATCAATGGATTCAGAAAAGGAATTTGTATTCAATGACGTGAAGCAAAATATGTGGAGTAATTTAAAAAATAAAAACGATTATTAGTTTTTATTTTTTAAATTGAAGCTTAAAATTGAAGATGGAAAAAATTTATTTGTAGTATTCATCAAACCATTTCATTTGATACCTCGCTTATGAAAATCCGAATGTAAATGTTACAGTTGGGGCGTTTTTTATCTGACACCCTGTATATTGTGTTACAAGGATGTAGAAGAATCTTCAGAAGCCAAATTTCAAAATATTTTTCATAATATTTCAAATATTTTGGCCAGAACCCCATAAATGGTCTCGCTGAGACACCTGTATACAGGGTGATTCATAAGTAATGGGCCAAATTGTAAATGTACGTTCAGGAGGCCAAAATAATAATATTTTCATTAACAATAATGGGTCTTAGTCTGCTCCTTACTGAGATACAGGATGTTAAAGCGAAAAAAATAAAATAGATTTTTGTTAATAGATCAGCTACTTTTCTACATAATGACTCATAGTTGACTTATAGTTTTTGTAAGGGTAAACAATAATGTGTGAGAGGATTTGAGTTAACTCGTAGATGTCGCCACATGCGCCATATGAATTATGAAACGTCAATGAGCTTTTACGTTTAATGAATAGTTTAAAACATTTTATTGTTAAGTAAACTGATTCATTCTTGTCCTAACATAAATCAAAATGCCGAGACATAATCACTTTTCAAACGAAGAAATGAGAGACATGTTATGCGTTTACGCACAAGAACGTTTTTCTGGGCAAGCAGCATCCAGAAAATATCGTGAAATGTACCCTTACAGAAGGCAGCCAAACCGGAAGATATTTCAAAATATTTATAATCGATTGGGTGAAACAGGTTCATTTCGTCCAAAATATCATACAGGACGTCCTAAGATTATCACTCCGCAGCAAGAAGATGAAATTTTGGTAAGAATTGCGCAAAATTCTGAAATAAGCACTCGTCGATTGTCTGCAGCAACTGGAATAAGCCAACCATCCGTGACTAGAATTTTACACAAGGAAAATTTATATCCCTATCATTTTATACCTGTGCAAAATTTACTTCCAACAGATTATCGAATCAGAGTTCAATTTTGTCAGTGGCTAAAAGGAAAATTGAATAATAATCCAACATTCCTAAATAACATTCTTTTCACGGATGAAGCAACCTTTACCAGACGCGGAGTTTTTAATTGGCGAAATAGTCATGCCTGGGAAACCGAAAACCCTCGTTTAAAAAAAGATAGACATTTCCAGCACGAGTTTAAAATAAATGTGTGGTGCGGTGTAATAGGCAATACATTACTGGGCCCAGTTGAATTACCTCCTAATTTAAATGGAGAGTCATATTTAATTTTTTTAAATAATGACTTAGTCGACCTCTTGGGAGATCTTCCATTACAACTAAGAAGAAATATGTGGTTCATGCAAGACGGTGCTCCTCCACATTTTTCACGTGCTGTGCGCGAACATCTGAATGAAACATTCCCTCACCGTTGGATTGGACGTGGTAGTGAATTTCAGTGGCCACCTCGCAGTCCCGATTTTAATCCACTTGATTTTTATGTGTGGGGTTACATGAAATCAATGGTCTATGCTGAACCTACTATAAATACACGAGACGAGTTATGGAATAGAATTCAAGATGCAGCCAATTCAATACGAAATAATCCTGCTACATTTTTTAAAGTCAGACAATCCTTAACCAAACGGTTAAATGCGTGTATAAATGCTGGTGGTGGTCATGTTGAAAACCTTTTGCAGTAGCTCATAATTAAGCTTAAATTTAATTTAACTTCGCACAACATTAACATGTAGGTTTTGATAACAGTTGTCGTAAGTGGTCTTAGTTCAAGTCTGTTCTAATGTTGTATTTCGTTTTATTAACTGGCGTACAATAAATTGTTTTATTACGTAATTTTTTTATGGTTTCAGTTTAATATTGTTATCAATTATCAATTACGGTTAGGTAAATGTCAACATTCCATGCCATGCTTGTGTCTTAACAGATTAATGCTACGTCGACCACCGTGAAATGTAGTGTAGTGAATTAGTAAAATTCAAATATCTCGAAAATCGTTAATATTTTCAAGATCAAAGAAGTATAGCTTTTTTCTACAGAAATGATGGGGCTATCCAAATTAAACAAGTATGTTGTAAAATAATGAGCGATAAAAAATTTGTAGCTGATTTCATCTAATTCATATGGCGCATGTGGCGACATCTACGAGTTAACTCAAATCCTCTCACACATTATTGTTTACCCTTACAAAAACTATAAGTCAACTATGAGTCATTATGTAGAAAAGTAGCTGATCTATTAACAAAAATCTATTTTATTTTTTTCGCTTTAACATCCTGTATCTCAGTAAGGAGCAGACTAAGACCCATTATTGTTAATGAAAATATTATTATTTTGGCCCCCTGAACGTACATTTACAATTTGGCCCATTACTTATGAATCACCCTGTATAATAAGCTTATAACATGAATTCCTACAATTATTTATTTTGAGGTTAGATATGGATATTAATAAATATTTTTTTACAGAAAATACCGCTTTGGTTAATGTTGATCAAGCGGTACTACTCAGTGCTTCCAAAAAGTGTTCACACTGTACCCATTTTGGGGCGAGCGTTTCGTGCAAAAAAGATGGTTGTATTAAATTATATCATTTTCCTTGTACGACCGCTTCCCAAGCGTTTCAAGATTTATCTTCATTGCTTGTATTCTGTATAAATCATATTACGCAAGTTTCTTTATTTTGTGAAGGTAAATTTAAAGTTTTATTAATCTCTGTAAAATGTTTTTTTATTTAATTTTTTTTCAGCTTCTGTGTGTTACACATGCAAAATGCTTGGCGATGTAGCAAATTTAATGTATTGTTCAATGTGTGGCGAACATTACCATGGTACCTGTGTGGGTCTATCCCAAGTACCCGGTGAGATAAAACGTTTGTTTCTTATTTTATTTTTCTTATATTATTTTAAAATTTTTTAACCAAACTCGTCAATTTCATATTAAGTTAACATATTTTAAATGAAAATTTTAGGTGTTCGAGCCGGTTGGCAATGTCGTAAATGCAAGGTTTGCCAAGTGTGTAGAATGGTGGGTGATGAGAGTAAATTAATGGCCTGCGAAACATGCGATAAGGTGTATCACGCAATGTGCCAAAGGCCGGTTGTTACTTCCATACCAAAATATGGATGGAAATGTCGCGTAAGATTCCTAATAATAATACATATTATTAGGAACCTTTAATAAATTTAATTTTTTAATAGTGTTGTCGTGTTTGCGGTGATTGCGGTTCACGAACTCCCGGGGCCGGCCTTTCTTCTCGATGGCACGCCCATTACACCGTTTGCGATTCGTGTTATCAACAAAGAAATAAAGGGTGTTCGTGTCCGTTATGTGGAAGAGCTTATAGGGCTCATGCTCATAGAGAAATGGTGCAATGTGTTTTTTGCAGGAAGTAAGTAATCAATTGAAATGGTCGTTTCAAAAATTACACTTAAGTCACTAAAACGCAATTTTACAGGGGAGACAAAAAATTAGATAATTTAAATAAAATGGATAAATCGCTAAACTATTTTAAATTGATGTGACAAAAAGAGAATAGTTTCTTTGCCAACCATGTTTTTGAAACAAATTTTGGTAATCCTGACTTACTTTCTTACCAATTAGGTGCAACAAATGAAACAAAGTCAATAGAATATAAGAAAACTTTTATTAATGATCTACAATAATCTTCTCCCCTCTTCTACAATATCTGTTGTTGGCCATGGCAAGATTTCTTGATAAAATGGCTTATACTCGTCAAGAATGCTAGACTGAACTTGTCGAATATTTTCTATTTTCTTTGGGTTTGTGTTCCACACTCATTTGGAAACGCCTTTTTTGTTGGTGGTAATGCAATGACGTAATTCCATTTATTTCTTAATAAACTAAACGTGTGATAGATTAAACCATCAATAAACTGATGTGGTACAACTATTCCTCTTTTATTTTGATTATATTTTAAGGACATGAATGTGTTCTTCCCAAACGGTTCATTGAACAAGCAGTTTCTGTTATAATGAAGGGACCACCACCTACTGAAATTATAAATCTATGTCTGAATGATGAATACCTTAAAATTTGGGCAAGTATTAGATATGTAGATATGTAGTAGATCATATTTTTTTATTTTCCTTTTTGTGACACCAAAGTGCAGGTCGTTTGGTAAAAAAGAGTGGCCTCAAACTGGAAAGTAATGCTTAATTTTACAAAAATGTTGGTTATCTGTTAATGCCATTAAAAATCTTATGACAGTATAGTTTTTTTTTTGTCCGGTGCAGTTATCAGAGAACAAACATAATTCCTGTATATTTCCTTCAAGTTTTGCATAAAATCCAAAGTAAGTGCTGAAACGTCATCTCGAGTTTCACATACTTTTCGTATTTCTGATATCTTGTTGTGGAACTTCTTAGCTCTCATATAACTCTTCATATGTAATACAAATATTAACTTGCAGTCTACCAAAAATTGGTATTTTACGTTTAGGTTTGGACATTTGGACTTAAATAGCAAAAACATTGTTTTTATATCTAATCTTGCATCAAGATATTGAATATTTTGCCCAGAATAATGCGTTTGCTTTTTTGGAAAAGACAAAATGTGGTCGTGGATTTTTTTAGCACCTTCGAAGGCGTATTTGCCTTTGGATGCTTACTACGCATATCACGTGGTGTAAGGGACTGTGATTGTAAGATACTTAAGTGTCTCACCCGTCCTTGACTTATACCATAAATGGAAACAAATGCCTTTTTGCATACAACTTGAAACTGAGTCTTCCTTTCGATGAAGTTCTTTCATTTTAGCAAATTCTATAACATTTCTCTTATAAGTACCAGGATTTTTTTGTCTCTTCTTTCATTGCTCAGGATTATCACTCAGCCATGTTAATCTCATATTTGTGAATATATACAGGGTGATTTATAACATACGGAGGAGACTAAATGGGTAGGTACTTGAGGTCAAACTGAAGAGATTTTCTTAATAATGTTTTGTTAAAATCTTAATAGTTACATAGATATCGCATGTGATTTTTTTAAATAAGTTAGCGTCATCTTTTGAGAACCGCTGATATTCACTAAAGAACAATTAAAATACTTGTCAACGCCATCCTCATTTTTGAAGGAGCTGTCAAAGTAGACAATTTAATTGTTTAGTTTTAATACGTAATTTATGAAAAGAAATAATAGATGTTAATTTATGAAACGGATAATAATAATGTTTTAAATGCAAAATTACAAAATCTCTAAAACAAGAAAATAACATAATAATAATCTCTTTATAACATATGTTCAAAGTGTTGTCCTTGCATTTCGACGCACAACTGCGCACGACGAATCCAATTTAACGATAATCGTGGAAATCGTGGACGTATGTCCTCTGTAGCGGCAGTGATGCGATGTCGTAGTTCGTCGATTGTATTAACCTCGGTGGCATATACTCTATCCTTCATGAATCCCCATAAAAAAAAGTCCAATGGGTTAAGATCGGGACTACGTGGTGGCCATGGAATAGGTCCACCTCGACCAATCCATTTTTGCCGAAAAGCATTATCGAGGAAATCTCGTACATTACGACTAAAATGTGCAGGACAACCGTCGTGCATAAACCACATCTCACGTCGCATAAGTAGCGGAATATCTTCCAGGAGTACTGGCAGATTTTCTTGTAAAAACTGTAAATAAGAAGTTCCATTAAGAGTTCCTGGTAATTCGAAAGGTCCTATTAACGTATTGTTCACAATTCCCGCCCATAGATTCACTCTGAATCGTTGTTGAAAAGAGCCTTGACGAATAACGTGTGGATTTTCGTCCGACCACACATGGGAATTGTGAACATTTAGAACACCATTTCTGGTAAAACAGCATTCATCCGTTACCAGTATACTGTCCGCAAAATCTGCTTCTCTGTTGGTACGATTTAGTAGCCACTCGCAAAATTGCAACCGCAAAGGATAGTCAGCGGGAGTCAGTCCTTGCACTTTTTGAAAATGATAGGGGTGTAAACCGTTACTTTTCAACGTACGCCAAACAAAATTCTGGGATACCTCGAGTTGGTGAGAAATTTGACGAGTACTCGTGCTTCGATCCGCTTCCACAATTTCTAGAATTTCTTCTTCCACATTCACTCCATGTCTGTTTAGTCTACCGCCACCAAGACCTTTCTTAGGTTGCAAATTTCCTGTCTCTCTTCCCCGCTGGATTAACCGAAGAAAAGTGTTTTCAGAAGGGATCTGTCGATTTGGATATCGTTCTAAATACAGACGTCTTGCGTGTGCAGCGTTTTCTCCAGCAGCTCCATAAATAATAAGCATATCTACGTATTCTTCGTTACTGTACATTACCATTGTATTTTTTGATTAGTAAAAATTCTAATTTTGACGTTAAATGACATTGATTATTAAAATTAAATGACATGTCCGTTGCTAGGTAACCAAGTCAACTGGATTGACAGCAATAAAAACATGGTATCAGCGGTTCTCAAAAAACAAACACCAGTTTTTGAGTGATTTAACAAATTTTTAAATAGCCGTAACTGCCATATTACAAAGATTTTATTATTGGTGCTAATCAGGCATTGCTTAAGTAACCCCGAAATATTCGCAGTTTGAATTTAAACGTAGTGTAATACCGTATATCGTAAGAAATGCTCTAATAACTTTAATGCTCTATATCTTTGTGATTATTACGTTGTAGTCAAAACATTATTAAGAAAATATCTTCAGATTGGCCCCTAGTACTTACTCTTTTAATATGCTTCGTATGTTATAAATCACCCTGTATGATCGACTCACAATCCCCCTCCATGCCTACTCGTATATAAAAACGTTTGGAGCAAGAACTACATAAGTCAAAGACTTATGATATTTTTGCAACGAACATTGTATCCTATGTTCTTGCGATATTTCTATTAATGATATTTCTGTTAGTTTAAATGGGATTTGTGCCTTTTAGTGTAGAGGCGTTTCGTGGTAAAAAGTGACTTATGTCGTTTTTGAAACGAACGATTCAATTCAAACGTTAATTTACATTTAAAACTTTCCCTTTATTAGGTTTGTTCATGGAACATGTGATCCAGAGGCTGATCTTACAACATATCATCAAAGAAAAGAAGCTCATCCCGAATACGATTATATTTGTCCAACTTGTAAAAACGTTACCCATCAAGGGCGTCCAATTCTTAGCAAAAGAAATAGTAAGATAATTTTAATTAATTTCAATTATAACCAATTAATAATAAAAATAATAAATAGGTATTGATGACGCTCCCGATTCACTTTCGGCGTCTCAAGAATCGTTAGCGGATGATATTTACGAATACGACGAACGTTGTATTAGTGAAGATTTTCGTCCGATGGGTTTGGGCAGAGGGAAACCGTACAGCGCGAGTAAAATCGCTAAAAAACGTCTTGGTCTGGCAACGGGAATGCCCGGACGTCCGAAAGGTGGCGGAAAAGGGATTCCTGGTAAAGCCGGTTTTATGAAACGGCAAAAAGTGCCGGAATTCGGTCGGAAACGCGGGCCAAAATCGAAAATGCGGGGTGTGTTTGGGGTACCGGGGGTGGGACTTCAACGCCCCGTTGCGGATGGCAAAAATGACGAGGAGTGTGGTATTGAGAACAAATTAATTTTGTGTTCAGCTAAAGATAAGTTTGTTTTAACGCAAGACATTTGTGTGATGTGTGGCGCGTTAGGTACGGATCAAGAGGGTTGTTTGATCGCGTGCGTACAATGTGGGCAGTGTTACCATCCATATTGCGTAAACGTTAAAGTGACTAAAGTGATTTTACAGAAAGGATGGCACTGTTTAGATTGTATTGTTTGTCAAGGTTGTGGGCAAAGGAACGATGAAGCTCGATTACTTTTATGTGATGATTGTGACATTTCATATCATATTTATTGTATGGATCCACCGTTGAATTACGTCCCTCAAGGTACGTGGAAGTGTAAATGGTGCGCTGTGTGTCAAACGTGCGGTGCTACAGATCCCGGTTTTAACAGCCACTGGATGAATAGTTACTCGGAGTGTGGTCCGTGCGCTTCTTTGACAAGTTGTGGAAGTTGTCTTGAACCATATTCAGAGGGAGATTTAATAGTTCAATGTGTGCAGTGTTCACGATGGTTGCACGGAGCTTGTGATTCGATCCGTACTGAAGCTGAAGCTGAAAAATGTTCGGAGGAAGGTTATAATTGTTTAATGTGTCGACCCAGAGACGTCGCCCCCCCTCATTTACTTCCGTTAATGACGATGGTTACAAAACCACCCACACCAACTAAAAGTCCTGAAGGAAAAAGTAACGGGTCTGGACATTATTTAGTTGACGGTGTTTATTTAAGCGAAATGGGACATTCAATGATAAAATCAATGAGTTTAGAACAACACAGTACCAGAAAAAAACGTAAAAAGTTACCCACTATTCAAGATAAAGAAGCCGGGATTATGGCCACAATTGAAAGTGTCATCGCTAGTAGTAGTAACGCCCCAGATTCCGTTGATATTAAAGATGAACCGTTAGATATGTATAAAGAAGGGATGATTTGGGGCAAAGAAGATGGTCCACCACCAGAGGGATTTACGTTATTCACAATGGAAAATGGGGTAACCGTGTTACGAAGGAAACGACAAAGAAATCTACAAAAATTGGGTATTGGTGGATTTTTAGTTCGAGTTCGTGGACTTCGCAACGGTCAAGATAACGATGATATTGATATGCTTCCTGGTCAATCCAACGATCCGTTCGCTTTACCAACTTTAGAAGGTGATAAACCAAAACGAAAACCGATTCGGAGAAAAATTAAAAGCAAATTGGCCGAAACGTTCCCGCCTTATCTTCAAGAAGCTTTCTTCGGCAAAGAACTCCTTGATACAAGCAAAGATATAGGTAGCTCAAGCGGTAGTGAAGAAGAACCAACAATTAAACCAACTACATTAAAAAGTATTCATTTATCCCAAGATGAAATCAAAGCGGTTACCGCCGTTGCAAATAAACATGATCGAGGGCCCGAATTAATGCAGCATTCTGAAATGAAAAATATTGACAAGTCCGTGTCGAAGCAATCATCGGTTTCTCAAAGAGATGATGAAGAAAGCGACGCGGACGATTTAAATTTGGCGATCCCCGGGGAATTACTCGATACGGAATTGGTTAATACAATAATGAACGAAGATGATGATGAGTTGACGAAGAATACGGATACTTTAGAAAATTTAGCTGATACTAACCTAGCTGATGATTTAGCGGATTCTTTAACTGGCGGAAGTAGTTCTAAAGATACCAAAGATGAATTCAGTGATATTCTTGGACCTCATTTCAATTTTCCGAATATTAATAGTAAAGACGTTGAAGACATTTTTAAGGTAAAAGTAAATGTTTAATTATTCATTGGAACTATTTATTATTTATAATAAAATTTTTAGGGTGTTTTAACTGATGAATCACAAGAATCCCAAGAAAGTAGCGTTTTCTCAACAAATTCCACCACCGTTTTTAATCCAGCTACACCAGCTCCACAACAGCAATCTCCAATTATTCCACATCCAATCCCAACCCCAGCAGTTCGCCCATCAACTTTATCTAATATTAACCAGAATACTTTAAATTCACCGATGAGTTTTCCACCACAATCACCATATCATTCTGAATATAGCAAGTAAGTAATATTGCGTTTTTTAATTTTGTTTTTACTTAATTTTTTTTAATTATAGTAGTCCCCAATTTAGTCCAGCATTTTCCGAACCACCAAGTCCTTGGGTGTCTGTAAATGATGGCATGGATATGGATGGAGCGTTAGCCCCATCTAATAATCAAAGATCGTCGGAAAAAATGAAAGCTGATGAAGGTTTGGGGGGTGGAGCAACGATTTCCGCAGTTTTATACGCGAATACAAACCACCCCGAATGGAAATCTGAATATCCCGCTTGGAGTGATCGTTACAAACAAATTATAAAGAAATGGCGTACATTAACCAACGAGCAAAAAGCGCCGTTTTTACAACAGGCGAAGGATAACAGGTCTGCTTTAAGAATGAAGAAACAACAACAGGTAAATTTGATAATTGTGTCAAAAAATTGGGTTAAATTAATTTTGAATTCGAATTTTTATTTGAGTATTTATTTCATTGTATTCTGAGTTGTTTTTTCCATTGGATATAATTAATAAGTTATAGAAAAAATTGTTGCAAATGTCAAAATTTCTATTTTTATAAGTTGGGTTGGTAATGCTTATTGATGGAGTAAATATCTTTACTCAGTATGTCTTATGAGTTAATTCTAAACATTTTTTGTTTAAAAAATAATTCTCCATCATGCGCAATTAATGAGTTATAACCGAAAATGATCAAAAATATCAGAATTTGTTTTTATTTTTGGGTTGGGTTGGTACTACTCATAGATGGATTAAAATAACTTATTGGATATATTTTATGGATTAATTCTAAATCTTTTTTGTATGAAAGGTTGTTTTCCATCAGATATAATTAATGAGTTATGAAAGAAAATTGATGAAAACGTCAAAATTTCTATTTTTAAAAGTTGGGTTGGTAATGCTGATTTATGGAGTAAATATCTTTAGTCAGTATGTCTTTTGAGTCAATTCTAAACATTTTTTGTTTAAAAGATAATTCTCCATTTTGCACAATTAATAAGTTATAACCGAAAATGATCAAAAATATCAAAATTTGTTTTTATTTATGAGTTGGGTTGGTACTACTGATCGATGGAATAAAATAACTTATTGGATATGTTTTATGGATTCATTTTAAATATTTTTAGTATGAAAAGTTGGTTTCCATCAGATATAATTAATGCGTTATAGAAGAAAATTGATGAAAACGTCAAAATTTCTATTTTTCTTAAGTTGGGTTGGTAATGCTGATTGATGGAATAAATATTTTTATTCAATACGTCTTATGAGTTAATTCTAAACATTTTTTGTTTAAAAAATAATTATCCATCATGCACTATTAATGAGTTATAACCGAAAATGATCAAAAACATCAAAATTTGGTTTTATTTTAGGGTTGGGTTGGTACTACTGATTGATGGATTAAAATAACTTATTAGATATATTTTATGGATTAATTCTAAATCTTTTTTGTATGAAAAGTTGTTTTCCATCACATATAATTAATGAGTTATAAAAGAAAATAGATGCAAATGATGTCAAAATACTCAAATAAAAAAATCGTTAATAAAAAAACATTTTGAATGAATCAGAATTACGTTTTTGTTGATGAATTGAATAAGATTTCCGACAAAAATTAATTCTGATGATAATTTTCGTGGGGTGTTTAAAAAGAAAAGAATCGTGATAGGTGGTGAATCGGTTTTGTCACTAACCCATCTACAATTTTTTATGTTGGAATCGACTTAAAACGAATCAAAAAAAAAAGTACGACTTAAAAAGTTAAAAAAAAAAAAATTGATCGTGTTGTTGCTATTATAATGATTTATCTTCCTCTCCCGCCCCCACCGCCTTCGAAATATTTGTCCCGTTTGTGTGTCGTTAGTGTGTCATGCTCCGTGTGTACCGCCCGCAGATCAACAAGGACCCCTCGAGCTCTTCCCCCGGTGCCACAACAGCGAAGGCCGCCGCGAACCCGACGCAGGCTGCCCCCGCCGTCGTTGTCACCCAGTCACCAGCTGTTGTCGAGGTGTGCACCGCAACCGCCGTCGCAATAACCGCAACCGTCACCACTACCACAACCACAACCACTGTTGTTGTTGTTACCACCACCCACCAACAGTATCTTCCGACCCACCATCACGCTACTACTAACAGCATTAACATTATTAACAGTATTAGCGGCTCTGTATCTATTTCCATTCCGACCGCGGCCCCCGTCGTTTGTCCGACCATTACAACAACGACATCGACGACGACCCCGGCCGCCGTCGTTCCCATTTTAAGGTCCTTATCATTGTCCCCATCGACAAATCTGATACCGTCCGTACAGACGAGACAACAATTTACTGTTCATGGGCAATTTATGGGGCCCGGGGACCGTTGTGGTCCCGCACCGAACGTTACTGTTAATCCGCATTATCAGCCGAACATTTCGGCCGCTGCTGTGGATCAACAAATTAGGGTGTTGACACCCTCGGAGATTATGAGGACGCTACCCTCGTTGTGTCAGGAGAATTACGAGCAGGGTCAGCTCTCGGTGAGGGCTCATTAATAAACAAAAATTAAATTTGTTTTTTACTTTTTTTATTATTATTATTATTTTATTATTTTTTCGTATCAATAAGTTAATGTTAAATTAAAAGCTTTAAATTTTTATTTTAATTTGGATAAATTTGTATTTATTAAATAATTTCGTTTTAAATATGCTTACGCATGAGCTGAAAAAAAAAATATGGATCATTTTAGTTTTATAAATTTTAAATATTGCATGTTGAATACATCAAAATATTTTGATCATCGAAAAATCCTTCAATTCCAATTCCATCTTTTCCATTCATTCAAAACAGATTCAGAGCTCTTCTGTAACCTTCACCATATTGTCTTGTCGATTAACAGAATAGTTCTGTCATCCTTTGGTGTTGGTTAATTTTAATAAAATTAGTGTTATTCGTTAAACTCCGATATCAAATAAAATTACGTCATTATTTACTTGATTTAATTTTTATTTGATGTCTTAGTTTATTTTTTATGTATTATTGTTGTTGAGTGTGTGCATGGCTTGTTATTATCGATTGAATCTCTTTATTTCGATTGATTTTTCGGACTCACAATTTTTCGGTTTTTGTGTTGGAAAATGGGCTGTGGTGTCTTTGTTAATTACGATCAGTTTATAATTTCTTATTTATCGAATTGAGCAAAGCGTAATTTCAAACTATTCATTATTTATTTTATTTTATTTTAAAAAATGTTTCCTTTAGGACCCCGAAAAATCGGCCCTGCATCAAAAATCTGCGCGCGAAGCCGAACAAGAACGGCAATGGAAACAACTACAAGCGTTAAGACAACAGCACCAACAACAACAACAGCAACAATTGATGCAAGATAGAGGTTAATATTTAAATATTTTAATTAATAAAATTATTTATATTATACAGGCTGATTCATATAAGAAATGAACACAGAGCTACTAAGTTGTACACCTGAGGAGTTATAGGCCTAGGAGTTTTTAAAAAGTTCAGTATCTTCATAATACATTAAGCTAGAAAAACCAAATTTGGTATATGTTATGAGTTATGAGTGTGCCAAGAGTATTAATTGGTAGCAAATTGAACTCAATTGAGGCATTTCAAAGGGTTGACTAAGTGTGGTGGCCATTTCATGCGGAATTTAATTCTAATTTTGACGACAAGGTTTTATAACCTATTTGTCAAGTTTGACGTACAATTTCACAGGCGACTACTGAATTGTCGATGATTTAAGTAACATTACGAAATACGTGTCTTTAGTTATTTACGTTTTTTATGAAAACGACAAAGTTTTTTAAAAAATAATAAGAGTCAGAAAAGTTTTAGTATTAAATTTCGCATGAAATGAAGTAGTAATGTATTAATATATACCTCAGGGGTATAACTTAGTATAGAGATAAGTTGCGTTAAATCATCTTAGTTTACATGTCCCTGCTCTGTGTCGGTTCTTATGTGAATCACCCTGTATATTAATAAAATTATACGTATACAGGGTGTTTCAAGTTTTTGTAGCAGGACTTCAACAGTCGATAGATCTTTTAAAATTAACCCTTTGTGTCCCAAGAAGTCAAACATTTTGAAACTTTGTGACAGAATCAGACAGAATTAAAACGCTATCAAAATACACTCAGTAAAGGCATTTGGAATAAAATTTTAGCAAAATATGCAATCCCCCTATTTTCGCATAGTCTAAGTGTCAAAAAAGATGCTAATTCAAAAATTCCTGGAAACCGTGTTTATTGAAATTAAGAAATAAAACTTATTTTAAATTGAAGCTTGAAGCTTTCTGTTTAAATCGATGTATAACAATCGATGGGTTGAATTAAAAAAATATTGAGAAAAAGAGTATTGAGTTAAAACTAACATTTTCGTATAACCTAAAAGTGTCAAAAAAGATGCTAATTTAAAAATTCCTGGAAGCCGTATTTATTGAAATTAAGGAATGAGACTTATTCTAAATTAAAGCTCAAAGCTTTCTCTTTAAAATGATGTATAATAATTGTTGGGTTGGATTGGAAAAATATTGAGAAAAAAAATGTTGAAACAAAACTTACATTTTCGTATAACCTAAAAGTGTCAAAAAAGATGCTAATTTAAAAATTCCTGGAAGCCGTATTTATTGAAATTAAGGAATGAGACTTATTCTAAATTAAAGCTCAAAGCTTTCTCTTTAAAATGATGTATAATAATTGTTGGGTTGGATTGGAAAAATATTGAGAAAAAAAATGTTGAAACAAAACTTACATTTTCGTATAACCTAAAAGTGTCAAAAAAGATGCTAATTTAAAAATTCTTAGAAACCATGTTTATTGAAATTAAGGAATGAGACTTATTTTAAATTTAAGCTCAATGTTTTCTTTTTAAAATGATCTGTAATAATCACACCTAATAACCATTTATCAAAGAAATACCTTCTTGAACAACAAAATTCAACAGCACCACTTTTCACTAAACTTCTAACCTCACATCTGGATGAATAAGTTTAAAGTGTACCTAAAAATCCTACAGTGCGGATTGCGACGTTTTTTATACAGATTATTTCTTGTATACACTTGTATAGTAGAAAGTACAGACAGCTCTAAATGCGCCGAATAGATAACTACAGTTTAAAATGAGTGTTTAAAATTACCGGTACTTTAAAGTACCGTCGGGACACAAAGGGTTAACACAAAAGCTTCATATAAACATAGGTCCACAAACGCTTTGTTTTGGAGGTGTTGAACACCCTGTGTTCAAATTAAATTTTCAAATTGATTTTTATTTAATATTACACGTGTATTTCAACCGATTCTTTTCACATTCGTTATTTTAACATTATTTTGGCACATATTGTTCTAACTATCTTTAACTATCCTCTAAAAACATTGGTCTGTATCGAATAATAAATAGCGGATTATCTTGAAAACGATCAACTTTAGCGCAATTTGATAAGAGTACCGTTTTGCTTAAAAAAGTACCGCGAATAAGACTTTTTATTCAAAAAGCCAAAAAGTATACTGTCAGAAAAGTTATTATTATTTTAATCCGTAAAGAATACGTTACAGAGCGGCTATAGTAAAACGGACTCCATAATCGTCATTCTCATGCCAAAAAACCTCCGTATACCAAATTTGAATAGAATCGGTTGAAATACACGTGTAATATTAAATAAAAATCAATTACAAAATTTAACTTAAACACCCTGTATCTTCAAAACAAAGCGTTTGTCGATCTATGTTTATATGAAGTTTTTGTGCTAATTTTAAGATTTATCGACTGTTAAAGTCCTGCTACAAAAACCTAAAACACCCTGTATTTATTTATTTAATTAATTTATTTAATTTTTTTTTCCTTCATTTAGGTATTGGGCGGGTTCATCGTCAATTATCGGAACCTTCTCAACCAACATTCTTATCTCCGGAGCAACAACCGATTCAACAAGAAATTGCGGGTCCACCACCTCCACCAAATTCGCGGCCTTTCACCCAAATGGGGATAAAATCTCCATCGTTTGGTCCAAACTTAACGAATTTAGTTCCCCCACGACAAGTTCCAACTCCGGCCGTGCCACAACATCCCCCTTCATCTGGACCGTTTGATTTCTTACCGACAGATGGAGCTCCGCAAGATCTTTTTACAAACATTCAAGCTCCAGCTACTCCAAAACCCGTTGTTGTACAACCGGGAACACCACAACCTCGATTACCACTCCCGGCGGATCCTTACACTCATCCACCAACAACTCCAAGACCCCCACCTCAATTTCCAGTTACAACTGGTGTTCAAGGTGTTCGGGAATCGACCGGAATTGAAATTAATCGCCAGTTGAGGGATTTGTTGCAAAGACAACAATTTAAAAAGTTAGATGAGCAATTGTTGTTGGGGAAGGGGCAACAAAGAGTTTGGCCACCCACTGATACAAGTGAAGAACAACCAGTTATCGTCCCCGTTTCGGCTGGAGACCCAACGTTTCGACATCCACTTCCACCTGGAGTTCGACCACGGCTACCAATTCCAGCTGCTGTTCGTCAACCTGGAACTATAGTTGGTATTAGAATGCAACAATCTGACCCAAGATTACAAGGATTAGATCCAAGGACGAGATTATTACTTCAACATCATCAAGTAAGAATATTATCTAGTTTATTTATTTATTAGGATTAATTTTATTATTTATTAATAGGTGCAACAACAAAGAGCAGCAACTCCTATGCCACAACAACCTCAACCCCAATTTCCGCAGACAAACCAAAGATTTCCTGCAACTAGACCCGTTGGAGTCGAACAATACGAGCAGATTCAACGGCAAGTTTTTCAACCAAGAATACCTCCAGAAGGGGTTGGGCCAAGGTTGCCTCTTAACCCGGCGTTGAATAAACAAGGATCTCCCGCTTTACCCACAACAACGACCACAACCACGGAATCATCAGATCAAGAAATTCCTGATAACGTAACGGCGGAATTGGAGAAATTAGAACAAGATGGAACGATGGCTGAGTTACAAGTTGCGGATATTTTGGGTGGGTTACCTGATGATGATGATGAATTACTGGGTAAGAAAGAAATTTTAATATTGAGTCTTAAATTTATTAATTTTTTTGAATTTTAGCTGAAATGGGAAATGATTTTAATATATTAGAATATGCCGATCCAGAATTAGATGCGTTAACTGGAGATAAAACGAATATTTTGGATTCTTTGGATTTAGAGGAGCCAGAACCGGTTAAAGATGATAAAAAAGCGGTTCCTAAACCAACGTATGTTTCATTGTTGATATTATTTCTTGAGATTTTGATGGAAATTATTTTTTTAGTGGGAAAAAACCACCAACTCAAATCCCATCATCTTCACCTTCACCTATCATAAAAACCGAATCTAAACATCCCATTAATACTTCCGTTGGGAATATCCCAACAGCAACTCCATCTTTGCAGCAAACTCAACCCCCACCACCACCCCCACAACAACAACAACAACAACCAATACAGCAAACGGTTCAACATCCACCTCAACTTCAAGGGGGGCCTTCTCAACTCACACATCAACAACAATTACATCAACAGATGTTGTTTCAAGTTTGTTTTATCCCATAAAATGTTTGATTTTTTTTAACTTTTTGTTAATTAGGTGCAACAAGCTGCTGCTCAAGGAAAACCAATGCTTCCTGGTACAAAACTCATGTCTTCTGATGGTATAATAGGTACGGTTACACAAACTAATAACATTGTGTTAAGTTTCCCAGCTGGGTATCAACAAAGACTGACCGGAAGTCAGCTTCAACAGCAATGTAAGAAACTTTACGGGTTAAATTGTCGATTAAACTATTTAAATGAAGTGCTTTTAGTGCATATGCAAAAACTTAGGCAGAACGCGTTGGCTCAAAACCCAAGAATGACGGGACCGGTAATGCATGGATGCGCTGGGATTGTTCCCCCACCTAGGATGCCCGTTGGTAATCCCCCACCCCCGCCGCCACCATATCCAGGTCCACCACCACCTTATCCAGGATCAACAACACCTCAGGTATTGATATATTTTTATATATTTTTTTTAAAGCATGATTACGATGTGGTTATGGTTTGGCTACCTTTTTTTTTAATTTTTAATTATTTCCGTAACTTTCCAATTTTTACTGATTTAATTAATTTAATTTTTTTAAAAATAATTTATTGTCATGAAATGCATACTTGCCGTTTTATTTATTTAAAAGTGGGTGAGGAGCATAATTTTTTATTTGATATCTTTATTTTTTTTTGTGTTTATACGCAAAGCGCTGAATTTTTTTTAATTGCGTCTGGACACAAAAAATGTTTAAAGTAGTACTAACATAACAGTGGTTGAGGTACGGTGTTGCTTGCATGTCGTGTGTGGTAGATGGGGTTGAGAATGGGCGGTCCCGTTCATGCTATGATGGGCCCGCATCGTCTTCCGATGGGGCTTTCAAACGGTCCACCAATGCCACCCCGGCCTCAGGGTGGTTGTGCTATGCCGCCATTGTACAACGCGGTCGTCCCGCGACGTCCCCTGCTCCTCGAGGTGAGATTTCCCTTCTACGCAGATAACCCAGGCCCCTGTGCGCCTATGGTAATTACGCCAAACGTACTGGATTGATACGTTTGTCTTTGTCTTTATTATTATTATTTTTTGTATGTCTTGCAAAGTATTTTTAGATATTACTTTAATTGCTTTTTGTTTTTGAGTCTTAAAGCAATCCAGTATGGTTCGCTCTACGATTATAACAACAATAAGTTATTGAAAGTAATTATTTGTAAATGTTGGATAGATTATTTTTATTGTTGAAGTTAGTAAAAATTAAAATCCTTTTTTCTGTTTTAATGAGCATGATTAATTTATTTTGAGTCTTCATTAGTGATTTACTCATTAATGAATCAACTCTGATTATCTTGAGCATTATTAGACTGCAACATATTTAATTTAATTTTTTTTATTTATTAATTAAACCTATCCTTGGATAAATTTTAGTGGCGGTGATGAAATATCATTTTTTATTACTAATTAGATATGCGTGCATAGAAAAATAAAGAATCCAGATAAAAAATTAAAAAACTATTTTAATCACTTGATTAAATAATTTTCAGGAGCAACCTTTATTGCTCAAAGACCTCCTTGAGCAAGAAAAACGCGAACAAGAAAAGCAGCTCCAAACCCAAGCACCACAAACACCATCGGAAGTCGTCCCTGGATCTTCCGCCCAAGCGTTACTCAGCGACCACGATTTTGAAAAATTAAAAGCTGATGTTTTTAGTTCTGGCCCGATTAGTTTTGGGAGTAATAGCGCATCTAATTCACCAGGTACCTTTAATTTTAATTAATTCGTTCCTTTTCCTTCCTTAATTTTTTATTTCTTTTTTATTTTTCTTTTCTTTTTTTGTTTTAATTTTTCCTTTAGTACCAAAAGCTGAACTTGATCAAAATAGACCAACTTACCAAAAACAAGTGTCTGCCCCGGCAGGAACAACATCCGGAAATAATCAATGGCAACAACCCCCACCAACGCCGGCTCCCGCACAATTAAAAGTACCCACTTTTAACGCCAATTTACAACCCGCCCCGCCTTTACCCCCGGAACACGTCGTTACGGAACAAGATAAACAAATACAAATGGCTTACGAGGAATGGTTGCATCACCAAAGTGGGGCGTTGAATCAGCAGCAACGCTTTTATGACGGCGAAGTACAAAAATTACGAAAACAACGAAAAGTAACTAAATTTTTGTGCTTTAATAATAATTTTTAATTAATTAATCTTTTAATTCCAGTCATTGAATAGCAAACAGAGGCAATTAAAAAAATCTGGGAATCAATTAACCGAAAATGATGCAGTTGAGCTCGAGAGGGTATCTCAGGAACAAGCTATTTTGCAAAAACACCTAGAATCGAGTAGGAAACAGGTTCGGCAGCATGCTATGCTTATGCAGGTAACTACCTAGGCACTGCTGTGTTCGTAGATCTTGCACTCACACTTAGAAATTTTAAAAACAACGTAGAATCCAACACTGTATATTATCCAATCCTGTAAAAAAAGAGAGTATGATTGCAAAGAAATCTTATCTACGGCAGTTGTCTATATCGTTTTTTAAAATTTCCATTTCACTTACTGGTCTATATGAAGGAATACCGGAACAAACAGCAAGCGAATAAACGCCCCGTGGGAGTCCCAGGTGGCCAATCCCCACTGATGTCGCCATCTCCGCTTGGCCCACCAGGTGCTTCCCCAATCCACACAGTGAACACGCCGCAATCACCCGGGTTGATGTCGCCTACAGCATCCCCAATGACCCAACACAGCTCCCCAATGCATAGCCCAGCACCTTTATTATCTCATTCACCCGGACCTGGATCAGTCAACGTTGTATTACAAAGTCCTGGAAATAATGGAGGAGCCACCATGTCCCCCATGCAACCATCACCCAGAATTGGAACACCCCATTCACAAAGCGAAGGGAGTCCTGGACCTGTGCAATCACCTTCGATGTGTTTACCACCACCAATGCCTCGAATGACTTCTCCACAACATAGAAGAATTGTTACGAGCCCTATTGGTGAGTTTTTCGAACCAATTTATTTTCAATTTTTGCATCATTTTATTTTATTTAGGTTACACCGGCGAATTAAGACCTGGTACACCACAAGTAATGGGCCAATTAAGATTTGTTCGACCACCCGTTGACGCAAATCTCCAACAAAGACGGATACAATCCCCAAGTCCGGGTTTTCAACAAAAACCCGGCGCGCCATCTCCATTAAATAGCCCTCCAGCCCAACATATGATAAATCAACAAATTCTCCAAAGACAACTACAACAACAAGTACTTTTACAACAACAACAAGGAGGTGAAAATAACGCTGAAAATGTTTTGGTGAACACGCAAAGGATATTGTTGTTAAATCAACAAAGGCAATTGGCGATGAGGCAACAAATGGTTGCACAACAGCAAGCTTCAAACCAACCTCAACCCCTCACCCCTCAGCAACATCAAATGATGGTTCAACAACAACAACATTTAGCGAAACAGCAACAACAACAAATAGCTATGCAACAAGCTCAAAATAGGATGCAACATGTGCAGCAACATGTCCAACAACATGTTCAACAACATACCCAACAACATGTCCAACAACATTCTCAACAACATGTCCAACAACACGTTCCACAACATGTTCAACCACCAAATAGTCCAATGCCTCCAAGTCCACTTTTAAATCAACCACAAATTATGTCGCCTCATTCAATGCATTCGCAACCAGCGAGTCCAATGCCTCCTCGAAGTCCGATTGTTTCTGGGAGTCCAATCCCAAGAAGCCCAGCTTTACACCATCAACCTCCAAGTAGCCCAATGCCACTCTCTCACCCTCCAAGTTCCCCAATGCCTCGTAGTCCAATGATAAACCCAATTCAATCACCAATGGGGATGAGAAGACCACCAAGTTCGGGAAGTAGCCCGATTGTCGATCGACCAACAAGCGTCGAAAACCCAGGTACACCCCGAACAGTTTATCACATGGACGATCATGGTGGGGGAAACCCAATGAACCCTGCGAATCCAATCCCTGGTCCACCACCAGGATTTGAATATTGCAAGTTAGGTCTGAAAGGGGGATCTCCAATGTGGGGTTATGGGAAAAAAATGCCCAACGATGGAAAAGAAGATAAAAACTCGAATACCAGCGGGGAAATTCCAGCCCCACCCAAATTTAAAAAAGAATCCCATGTTAATCGGGTTTCGATTTTAAAGAAAAACACATCACCCGTTAAATCTAACCTGCAAACGTTAACGGCGAATCATCGAATTAGTTTGGTTAGTTCCGATTATAGCGAGTTTGATGATAGCTCATCAACACCACCGGTGACACCCCCACCTTCATCGTCCGGAAATCCAAGGGCCATCGCAAGAAGTATCGGCAAAAAAATTCCACCTCCACCACCAGAACCACATTCGGATCAATCTCAAATATTGATGGAAGAAAGCCCTGAACCTATCTCGTTAATGGATTATGATGATGACAACGTAGTTAGCGCCGAAGTTTCATTAAGTGCGGCTGCGCAACAAGCCGATAATGATGATATCGCAGTTATCGAATCATTCAGTCAAAGTGAACTCCCCGAAACGTTTTCGAGTCCATTAGAATCCGATCAAATCCCGGATGATTTTGTTTTATTCGATATTTCCGGCGGGGTGCATTATTCAGAAAAAGAAGAGGAAGATGAAGAGGAAGTTGGGTATCACTTAAACGATAAAAACATGCAAATTGTTATACAAAGCCCAACGACGAGCGATGAAGAATTAATTTTACAAGACACCAAATGTAAAGAAACAAATTTAACGTCAGATTTAACGTTAAATTTAGTTGAAGGAATCGAAAATCAACTTTTGACTAATGATGAACACGAAGAAGCGATGGAAACTGATGCTGAAACTTTTGATAAATCCCAAATTATTTTTATCGATTCGAGTAAATCGCCGGAAGAACAAATATCGACGAAAGAAGATTTCGAGGAATTAATCGATGAGGGTTCGAGAAGCGAAAAAATAATTAAACCCGATATAATCAATTCAAAACATATTAACGAATTTCATAAATACGCAGCGAATATTTATTCACAAAAAAATAATAAACAATCGAATTCGATTAATATAAAACCAACTCAAAAAATTTCGTTAATTTCTGCACCAATAACAGCAAGTTTGGTGACGACAACCGCTAAAAACGTTAAGAAAGATGTAGGGAATCAAAAACAGAATCTAACAAATATCATTTTACAACCATCTAGAAGCAATATTATTACAGTTCCTAAATTAATGACGTCACAATTTGTAAATATCGTCCCAACGCATTATTCTGTACCTGTAATAAGCGCCAGCGCGGTTAGTAAACTTCCTAATGTAAAAGTTATTGAGAAACCAACGACTTCTTTATCGTTAACAACTCACGATTTGCCAAAAAAGATTTTTGAGGATGACTCAAAATCGTCGGACTGTGATGAGGAAAAAATTAAGTTAGATCAACAGTTTAACAGAGTTAAAGAGAGTTATGAGGAGGGTAATAAAAAGAATGAAAAGAATAATGTTAAAGATGAAGATTTGATTGATAAGGGTGAAAAGAAGCCCGAAGAAAATGACGAGAAAGAAATGAAAGAAAAAAAAGTTGTTTCGAATGTTGCGGCTGACGTGAAGACCCCAGTTACCAGTGGGTCGTCCTTGATTTTGAGAAATCCACCCGAATTAAAGATGACGGCACAGGTAATACAAGAATCCCAGGGGATCATCACATCAGGCACCATCGAACGTATGCCGTACATCTCACAAACCATCGAAGAGGTCGACAACTCAAATGAATTAGATAATAAATCGGTTGTTATATCGATACCATCTCCAACGCCGTCTCAAGAACAAATTTTAGATCACATCGCGTTACAAGAATTAGAAACGAGACGTCAAGGTGGTTGGATTGATGTTTTAGAAATGTTCGAGGGGAATTTGATTGATGATAAATACAAATTAGATAATGATATGAAGAAAAACGAAATAAACGTCGATGAAACATCGAAAAAGGAGAAAGAAATTAATAAAAACGTTAAAGAAGAAGTTAAAGAAAACCCGTCTTTAGCGGCGGTTATTGCAACGAGCCGCGCGACGACCATGCCTCAATTATCACCTTTATCACAACCCGCTGAATTAACGAATAACGTTGCGAACGTTTCGCAACAATTAAGAAGTTTGTTGTCTTCTTTAAACACAACGACAGCAACTACATCGTCTAATGTTAGTACGGTTGCGAGGAATGTTTATAATAATAACAAAGAAAGAGATAAAGTTCACGTAACAACGACTGTGGTTAATGTTGTTACAACGACTCGCCAACATTTGCAGCAGCAACAACAACAACAACCAGGTGGGGGTACAGAAAAGATTGGGGTTATTAAAAATGTTAAAGTTAACACCCCAAAAAGTAGTCCAAATAACCAAGTTACTACATCAAATAATTTGATTACATCGAATAATAAAGTCGAAATTAATACGGAGAATCATCCTAAATTAGTGCCGATTACAACAAATATAATTAATAATAATAATAACACAACAACTACGAGTAATACGCAAATAAATATTTCTACAACAATCCAAAAAACTTTAAACACAACAAATAACACAAACGTTACGAGTTCCTCAAATGTTGCAACAAGAAAAACTTCTTTGAGTTTAAACGAGATGTTGCAATCCCATCCTGCAGCAACAACACCTCAAACATCACCCGGTACAATAACAACAGCGAGCATTTTAAGTTCTTCGATGCCGTTGAAGAGTGCTTCATTCAGCCCGACTTTGGTTCAAGCTCAAACAAACGTTGTAACAACGACCACAACATCCCAAAATAATTCTTCGACAACAACACAATTTAAGCCGACCATAACAACAACGAATTTATTACACAGTCAATTGACGAAAAGTGTCGGCCCGGTCCATCGGGCGAAAAGTTTAGATGAGATGTTATTGGATAATAAGAAAAAGGAAGAATCCGTTCTGCCGATAACCGCATCGAGTTTATTGAAAGACGGACACTTTTTGGGGCAAAAAGAAAAATTTGGGAATCAAAGCGGAAATGTAAGAGGGGAGGATTCCCAAAATGTTTTGTTGAAACAATTACTACAAAATACGGGGTGCGCGAGTATTACCACGTCGTCGGCGACAGTTTCGACCACAACCGCTTCAACAACAGCCCCAAGTTTACCGATTGTACCGAATTTAGAGGCACAATTAGCACGACCCGTTCCACCGACTCCAAGTTCGTTAATTCCGTCGATTTTACAAAATGATTCGTTGATGAATCAAAATCAACATCAGGAAAGAAATATTCAAGAACGAAGTATTCAGGAGCGGAGTATTCAAGAAAGGAATGTTCAAGAAAGGAGTGTTCAAGAAAGGAGTGTTCAAGAAAGGAGTGTTCAAGAAAGGAGTATTCAAGAAAGGGGTATCCAAGAAAGGAGTATTCAAGATCGGAATTTGGAACGAAATCAGCAACAAAATTATCAACTTCAAAATCATCAACAACAACAAAATCAGTTAAATCAGAATCAATTAAATCAAAATCAAATAAATCAAAATCAATTAATGTCACAATCCCAATTCCAAAATCAATTATCTCAATCACAACAAAAACCCCAACCTCACAAACAACCATTAATGTCGAGAGAAACATCGTTTGTATCAAAACCGGTTATTCCATCAACTACATCTTCACTAACTTCATTAACCCCAGTTACTATGTCGCTGCAACAACAACAATTACATATTGATATAATGAACACAAAAAAGATTTTGGGTTTACCCCCGAGTCGCACTCCAAGTCGAGATGAGTTGTTATCGCCTCCAACTCCTCGATCAACGTGTAGTCAAGATTCAAATTTAACAACCCCGCCGTTATTGATTCCAAAAAAAGAACCATCTTTAATACCAACGACGTTACAAACATTACAAAGTCCTTTATTGACACCGCAAGAAGTGAAGAAAGAAAAAGAATTTGTGGATGAGACTTCGCAACATTCGGAAGTTTCCGATCATAGTCGTGGTGATCAAATGATTAAGGATGAGTTGATGGAGGTTGATGAAAAAATGGATAAGGAGGAATTAAAAAAGTTGAAACGGAGGATGTATCAACAAAAACGACGCATGAATCAGATAATGAATAAAGAAGGGCAGCCGAAAAAGCGTCCGAGGAAGAGTTCCAAAGTGGATGAAGATTACGATGCGTTCATCGATAGTTTGTTATCCAATTTGAGGACGCTCCCTCCGATGATTGTTTCTGAGCCCGTTTTGAATAAAAATTTTGGCGTCGTTCCTTGTTTTGGTTCCGGCGAATCATGTAAATTAGGAATGAAAGATTACGATTCCCGCGTTGGAGATTTAACGGGGAATTACGGAAACGCCATAATTCCCGGTTACGCCGATTATTACACCTCGAAACCGTACGGCGATGATGAACCATCACCAGAAAAACCACCAGCGACAACCCAAAGAGGTTTTTACGACCAAGAATTTTCATTAATTAAATTTGATTGTGATGAATATCGGAGATTAGATGCTTATTCTCGGGATGATTCACCAGATTCAATTATGAGCAGTTCTTCGCCCGAATGTACCAAATTTGAACCAATTTGTAAATTCTCCGGGTTAAAATTAATCGATGAAGATGAGGAATTCGATGAAGAAAACCGCCCTAAACGCGTTTTAAGTCCAAAAATTCCGATTGTTACTCCAATTCCGATTCGATTAAAACCATTAGCAGGATCGTATTTAAAAGATTATGGTGATATCGATAAAGAAAATATTGGCGTTGAAAAAGAATTAGTGGGGGTTAAATCGAAATTTGGCCCCCCACCTCCCCCGGCGATGCCCCTAAAAGAAAGCGGAAATGTTACGGTCACTTTAACATTAACATCATCGGCCGCCGAAGATATTATGGGTGTTTTAAGAGATTTAGCCAACATTTTACACATCCCAGCACCGACGAGTTATCAAATCGTTGAGAGGACAAGCACACCCCCCAGCCAAAAATTAGGTTTATACAGAACAAAAGGAAAAGATGGCAAAGAAGGCGCCCCGATTGATATTCAAAGTATTTTAAACGGCGCTGCTAAATTTTGTAAACATTGCGATGTCGTAATTTTAAATAACATGATTCGAAAAAAACTATCAGAAATACCTTTATTAAATAAAGAACTCCTTAAAGATACCGATAGCTTAGGCGAAGGCGATGAACTATATTTTTGCAGCACAAACTGTTACACTCAATTTGCGCTAATAAATCGATCCCCCGCTTTGTGTGAAAACAAAGCGGCCGCAATTGTCGACCATTTGTGCCAAAAAGATAAAGCAGAAGACCAACGTAAGCGGCAAATTTTAGAAAAACAACTTCAAGTTTACCAATACGAAACGTTTAACAACAAAAAATCGCTTCTTGATAAAATGGATTTAGATTTACACATAAAAAAAGACGATTTCTTGGATGATTATAATAACACGTTTAAATCGAGATTGGACGAGTTTAAACCGAAAAAAGAACTTAAATACAAAAAATACACCCCTGGTTGTCTTCAACCCGCAAATAAATTCAAAAAACCTTCCGATAAAGAAACGATCGAGTTGTTATATAAAATGGGGATCACCGTTGTTCCTAATAAAGCTATTGACGAGACTCGAAAATGCATGTTTTGCCATAACGTCGGTGATGGAGTGGCTGATGGTCCAGCGAGATTATTAAATTTTGATGTCGATAAATGGGTACATTTAAATTGCGCTTTATGGTCGGACGGGGTTTATGAAACCGTTAATGGGGCTTTAATGCATTTAGAGAACGCTTTACAACAAAGTTTAGTTTCAACGTGCGTTCATTGCAATCAAACGGGTGCAACAATTCGATGTTTTAAAACGCGCTGTTTAAATAATTACCATTTACCTTGCGCTATTAAAGATAGTTGCGTTTTTTATAAAAATAAAACAACTTATTGTACGGCTCATATCCCTAAAGGCGAAAAAGATAACGAATTAACGACTTTATCGGTTTCACGGAGAGTTTATGTGAATCGCGATGAGAATCGCCAAGTAGCCGCCGTTATGCATCATTCAGATCAAAATAATTTATTGAGAGTTGGAAGTTTAATATTTTTAAGTGTCGGGCAATTATTACCGCATCAATTACATAATTTCCACACGTCGAATTATATTTACCCGATTGGTTATAAAATAGTTCGATTTTATTGGAGTATGAGACACTTAAATAAGCGGTGTAGATACGTTTGCTCGATTCACGAAACTTTGGGACGCCCGGAATTTCGAATTTTAGTGCAAGAATTAAACGAGGAAGACGTTGAATTTCGCGATATGACCGCAAAAGGGGTCTGGACGAAAGTTTTGGATTCAATTGCTATTTTGAGGAGGGAAAATAAGTGTGTGCAGATTTTTTCGAAATATATAACTGGGGAAGATTTATTTGGTTTAACCGAACCGGCTGTTGTAAGAGTTTTAGAGAGTCTTCCAGGTAAATTTTAAACAACAAATTTGATTTTTAATTAAAAAATCATTTTTAGGAATTGAAACTTTAACGGATTATAAATTTAAATACGGCCGAAATCCTTTATTGGAACTCCCTTTGGCGATTAATCCATCGGGGGCTGCTAGAACCGAGCCGAGATTACGCAACCAAATGCATTGGAAACGCGCTCACACCCAAAGAACCGGATCTTCCGCAAGACCCGTATTTCCAACAACATCAAGTGGCACAACGGGCGAGGTTGCTTGTCCTTATAGCAAACAATTCGTGCACTCGAAAAGTTCGCAATACAAAAAAATGAAACAAGAATGGAGAAATAACGTTTATTTGGCACGGTAATTATTCGATAATTAATTTTAACAACATTTTAAAGATTTTTCTTTTAGATCAAAAATACAAGGATTAGGTTTGTATGCAGCTAGAGATTTGGAGAAACACACGATGGTTATTGAGTATATCGGCGAGATTATAAGAACCGAATTAGCCGAAACACGAGAAAAGAAATATGAAGCTAAGGTTGGTATCACAACAATTTTTGATCAAAAACTTCGATATAACGATTAATTACTTTTAGTTCAATAAAAATATACAATAATCTAACGCAGAATATCAATTAAACTAACATTAGAACTAGAAACATTCTAGTGTTAGTTCTAGTTTTATTTATTATATAGCGCCAGGTTGTTCTATATTTTTATTGTACTAACTAGATGTAGAACTAGCAGTATTAATTTTAGTTTTAATTGTTATCCAGCGTCTTGAGACTAAATTTGGCTTTATTTTTGGGTTAGGTTGATACTACTGATCGATGGATTAAAATAACTTATTAGATATATTTTATGGACTAATTCTAAATCTTTTTTGTGTGAAAAGTTTTTTTCCATCAGATATAATTAATGAGTTATAGAAGAAAATTGATGAAAACGTCAAAATTTCTCTTTTTCTTAAGTTAGGTTGGTAGTGCTGATTGATGGAATAAACATCTGTAATCAATACGTCTTATGAACCAATTCTAAACATTTTTTGTTGAAAAAATAATTCTCCATCATGCACTATTAATAAGTTATAACCGAAAATGATCAAAAACATCAAAATTTGGTTTTATCTTTGGGTTGGGTTGGTACTACTGATCGATGTATTAAAATAATTTATTGGATATGTTTTATGGTTTAATTCTAAATCTTTTTTGTATGGAAAGTTTTTTTCCATCAGATATAATTAATGAGTTATAGAAGAAAATTGATGAAAACGTCAAAATTTCTCTTTTTCTTAAGTTGGGTTGGTAATGCTGATTGATGGAATAAACATCTGTAATCAATACGTCTTATGAGTTAATTCTAAACATTTTTTGTTGAAAAAATAATTCTCCATCATGCACAATTAATAAGTTATAACCGAAAATGATCAAAAACATCAAAATTTGGTTTTATCTTTGGATTGGGTTGGTACTACTGATCGATGAATTAAAATAACTTATTGGATATGTTTTATGGGTTAATTCTGAATCTTTTTTGTATGAAAAGTTTTTTTCCATCAGATATAATTAATGAGTTATAGAAGAAAATTGATGAAAACGTCAAAATTTCTCTTTTTCTTAAGTTGGGTTGGTAATTCTGATTGATGGAATAAACATTTGTAATCAATACGTCTTATGAGTTAATTCTAAACATTTTTTGTTGAAAAAATAATTCTCTATCATGCACATTTAACGAGTTATAACCGAAAATGATCAAAAACATCAAAATTTGGTTTTATCTTTGGGTTGGGTTGGTACTACTGATCGATAGATTGAAATAACTTATTGGATATGTTATATGGATTAATTCTGAATCTTTTTTGTATGAAAAGTTTTTTTCCATCAGATATAATTAATGAATTATAGAAGAAAATTGATGAAAACGTCAAAATTTCTCTTTTTCTTAAGTTAGGTTGGTAATGCTGATTGATGGAATAAACATCTGTAATCAATACGTCTTATGAGCCAATTCTAAACATTTTTTGTTGAAAAAATAATTCTGCATCATGCACAATTAATAAGTTATAACCGAAAATGATCAAAAACATTAAAATTTGGTTTTATCTTTAGGTTGGGTTGGTACTACTGATCGATGGATTGAAATAACTTATTGGATATATTTTATGGCTTAATTCTAAATCTTTTTTATATGAAAAGTTTTTTTCTAGCAGATATAATTAATGAGAGATTGTTGTATATTTTTATTGAACTAAAACGCGCTGAATAACAATTAGAATTAGAACTAACACTAGATCTAGAACTAGAAACATTCGGGTTTAGCCGAACGTCTCTTAAGACGGCTAAACCCGAATGTTTCTAGTTCTAGGTCTAGTGTTAGTTTTAATGACAGTGCTAAGTAGAGCAAGTTAGCATTAGATAGCACTAAATTGTTGTATATTGTTATTGAACAAAAACTAGTTCGAGCTTTTTAGTCTTTTATGTCGTACTGTCCTGAATATTTCGGCAAAGTAGGGGATCCTACATTTCCTGTCTGTGGTGTTTAAAAAGCCATTTTAAGATTCATTTTAGCATAATTTTATTATTTTCCCATTTTGACATTGACAATTAATATTAATTCATTTGTTTCGATATTTTTTAACTTAATTTAAAGTTTAATTATTTATAAACTATCAATATTTTGATTTTATTGTTTTAAAAAGACTATTTAAAACATTAATAAATTATTTTTAATTTTAAATTTCCCGCCAAATTATCTGACATCACTTAATTTAAATTCTTTTAGGTTAATTTATAATTCTCATTCAAAAATTACTCCTCAATAATTACATAAAACATAATTAATTTAATAATAACAAATATAATTATTAATTAATTTAATTTTACCCCAAAATTGATTTATAAACATTTGTTATTATTAAGTTGGTATTAATAAAATTGACAGTTTATAAACATCAAAGTCAACCTAAAAAATTTAACAAGTTTTTTTAAGTGAGTTTTAACGTTTTAAAGTGAATCCAAAGAATAAATATTAACATTCATGTAACGTCCTAATCCGATTATACGGCCACATTGAATCCCCTTTACAATTCCCCTGAACAAAGCGTGTAATTCAATACAAACATTTTTTTGTAGAATCGAGGAATTTATATGTTTCGTTTGGATGAAGAACGCGTTGTTGACGCAACTCTTTGCGGCGGATTAGCCCGTTATATAAATCATTCTTGTAACCCAAATTGTGTGGCGGAAATTGTTGAGGTCGATCGAGATTTGAGAATAATTATTTTTGCAAAACGAAGAATACAAAGAGGAGAAGAGGTACAATCAATTATTTATTTATTTTCATTAATTTATTTGCATATACTTTTTCCTTTTTTTTAGTTGGCATATGATTACAAATTTGATATAGAGGACGATCAGCACAAGATATCTTGTATGTGCGGTGCTCCAAATTGTCGCAAATGGATGAATTAAGAAGCGCGAGTGACTCGGGATATTTTCGTACAAAAAAAACTACAATATAATTATAGGTAACCCCCAAGATTTTTATACAATAACTAACACCGACAAAAATAACACACAAATCACTAAAAAAGTAATAATAATAATAAAAATAACAATAAAGTTTTTGCAGACTGTCACAGTGCCATTCTTAATAACCTAAAAAAGTAATTAATTAATTAAAATATTAATTAAAACAGTTTTTGTATTAAACATTCCAATAGAAATAACTTTATACATAAAAGAATTAGGGAATAAGTTGTATAGAAATACGAAAAAATTATAAATAAACTATAAATACGAGTGTTTCTAAGTGTGTAAAAAATTTATCATAAGATTTTAAGTTTCAATCAAATGCCGCTAATTGTGGAAATTGATATAGTATTAGGGACCAATTAATAATTAATTAATGTAATTGAAAAAGTTAAACGTTTCAATGTACACCTAAAATGTAAATAATTAATTTATTACGTCGCACATTGTAATTTAATTTTATTTTCTTTATATTACATATGATTTACTAGTGATGTATATCTATACATATATATATTAATTTTTATTGTTATTTTCATAATTATTTGCAGATTACATTTATATCATAATTCCTATAACACGCTCACATGAGACAACACCAATGTTAGATAGCTAACATAGCCTTGTAATACGCCTTAAAATGCGAACCGTTATGATTCGCGTTATTATTTTTTATTATTATTATTATTAAAATTTTCCTTGTATGTAGTTATTATGTAAATAGTAGATCAAAAAAAAAAGGAGAAAATTGAGAGAAGAAATGTCGTTGTGCAATATTTAAGTAAAATATAAATAATAATATAGTGACACGCCTAGGAAAAAAATGCCTAGGATATTTCAAATGATATAAATATATGGTAATATTCTGAAATTGTAATTTGTTAAATAAACATTTTTATTCCTACATTTTTCTATCGATTTAAAATTTAAATAATTTTTTTATGATTTCAGTGACTAATGAAAGGGTCAAAACAAACAAGTGTTGAAACGACGAAGTTTAAAAATAAAATTAAAGCTGTAAAAAAGAACCTAAATTATCCTAAGATCCTGACAAGTATCTGCAAATCGTCCTAAGATCCGAAAATCTACAACAATCCCGCTGTCCAGTTCAAAATAACCTCCAGATGAGTATACCACTCAAACTAATTAATTTATTTTCTTTTATTCTTATCGTTTTTATTTAATTTTTTTTAAAACTTTAATTAATTGTATTTGTTTATACAGTGAATTTCACTTAAGATGTAATATATACTACTTTGTCCCACATAAAATGCAACATGTCAATAATACATGTGTGAAGACGCATGGTGTGGCTAAACCCGATTCTTGGAGCACCCCCCATTGAAGGCAGAACTATTAACCTCAAAACAGAAGTTAAATACCTAGGGGTAGTACTAGACAGTTAATTAAACTGGAACTCCCACATCGACAGGGTGTGGAAAAAGCCCATTATGGCTCTCCAGACCTGCCACAGGCTCCTTGGAAGGAATTGGGGTCTTAAACCATGAATGGCTCATTGGGCCTATATAGCAATAATCAGACCCATAGTCGCCTATGCCTCAGTGGTTTCGTGGCAAAAACAAATCATATTCATTAAGCTATGTTACATTTTATGTGAGACAGTGCAAGTGCACGATATAGCCTTGTATATAGATTTTATAATCTTGTATAATAATCTATAAACAAAGATAATAGGAAGTTTTCAACAAAAAAAATTACGTTATGTGTTTGCTATTTTTCACTAGATGGCGCATTACTAATGTTTTGGACGTATTTTAAAAGTTAAGAGAAAGGATGGATTAGAAACGAAAACGCATAATGAGTTGATTAAATTGGATGGGTGTTGTCGTAAATAATTTGAAATGGAATGGAATTTTACCAATTTTATTTAAAAGTAAGTCATTTTTAATAATAACTGGTTGATACGAGATGGCACTGCATTAAATTCGTTGAAACATTTTTGAATACGATAACTCATACTTTATATATTCAACAAAACAAAGATTAATTTCTATTTATATCTTGAAAAAATGTTACTCCTTAATTTAGAAATATTTATATATTTTTTTAATATCGTTTTCAATTTTTAGGTTAGGTTGGGTTTCAAACGTCAAAAATTTTTTTAACATAACCTATTACAAATTTAAAACTGTCACATTTAACATTAAACTTAAAAATTGCTCAAAAAAGACTCCAATTTTCATTTCTAACTTAAACGAAGATTTAATACAAATATTTTTGGATTGTTTTAGCAGCTTGAACATCAATTGGAAAAATATGCTTTATTCACTTATATTCAAAATGTTGCTAATTAAGTCCAAATTTGATTAAGTTGAGTTGAGATCATCGCGTGCTATTCGAAGTAAGCTGTTAATTGAATTATGGTGCAAATTCAGCGCTAATTTATTCGTTGAATATGAAACATGATTAAATGGAGAACATGTTATCACCTTCTAGAAATTGATTCTGAAAAGATATAGAGTGCTCAAAGATAGAATCTAACTTAAGTTATTTTAATTCATCGATCAGTATCTGGATCAGTAGTACCAACCCAACCCAAAAATAAAACCAAATTTTGATCATTTTCTCGGTTACACTAGAACTAGACAGTTTTGGGTTTAGTAGTACATCTCTTAACTTACTTTTTAAACAAAAAGCGTTTATATTTACTCCATCAATCAGGATAACCAACCCAACTTAAGAAAAATAGACATCTTGACGTTTTCATCAATTTTCTTTTATAAGTTATTAATTATATCTGATGGAAAACAACTTTTCATACAAAAAAGATTTAGAATTAACGCATAAAACATATCTAATAAGTTATTTTATTCCATCTATCAGTAGTAACAACCCAATCCCAAAATAAAACCAAATTTTGATGTTTTTGATCATTTTCGGTTATGACTTGTTAATTGTGCATGATGGAGAATTATTTTTTCAATAAAAAATGTTTAGAATTGGCTCATAAAACATATTGATTACAGATGTTTATTGCATCAATCAGCATTACCAACCTAACTTAAGAAAAAGAGAAATTTTAACGTTTTCATCAATTTTCTTCTATAACTCATTAATTATATCTGATGGAAAAAAGCTTTTTATATAAAAAAGACTTAGAATTAATCCATAAAATATATCCAATAAGTTATTTCAATCCATCGATCAGTAGTACCAACCCAACCCAAAGATAAAACCAAATTTTGATGTTTTTGATCATTTTCGGTTATAACTCGTTAAATGTGCATGATGAAGAATTATTTTTTCAACAAAAAATGTTTAGAATATATCATAAGACGTATTGATTACAAATGTTTATTCCATCAATCAGAATTACCAACCCAACTTAAGAAAAAGAGAAATTTTGACGTTTTCATCAATTTTCTTCTATAACTCATTAATTATATCTGATGGAAAAAAACTTTTCGTACAAAAAAGATTCAGAATTAACCCATGAAACATATCCAATAAGTAATTTTAATCCATCGATCAGTAGTACCAACCCAACCAAAGATAAAACCAAAATTGATGTTTTTGATCATTTTCGGTTATAACTTATTAATTGTGCATGATGGAGAATTATTTTTTCAACAAAAAATGTTTAGAATTGACTCATAAGACGTATTGATTACAGATGTTTATTCCATCAATCAGCATTACCAACCTAACTTAAGCAAAATAGAAATTTTGACGTTTTTATCGATTTTCTTTTATAGCTCATTAATTATATCTGATGGAAAATAACTTTTCATATAAAAAGATTTAAAATTAGTCCAGAAAATATATATAGTAAGTTATTTTAATCCATCGATCAGTAGTATCAACCCAACCCAAAAATAAAGTCAAATTTAGATGTGTCTGAAGACGCACGGCTAGTTCGACTTTTGATTCAATAAAACTATACCACAGTCTAGTGCTGAATAATAACTCAAACTAGAGCTAACAGACCTAGAACTAGAAACGTTCGGGTTTAGCCGTTTTAAGAGACGTTCGGCTAAACCCGAATGTTTCTAGTTCTAGGTCTAGTATTAGTTCAATACAAATATACAACAACCTGGCCCTATATATAGCAAATAAAATTAGAACTAACTAGTTTCGAAACTTTCTAGTTCTAGCTCTAGTGTTAGTTCTAATGACAGCGCTAAGTAGAGCAAGTTAGCATTAGATAACGCTAGATAGTTGTATATTAATATTAAACTAAAGCTAAAACTAACACTAAGGTAGGTCTAGTGTTAGTTCTAGTTTTAATTCAACTAATACAAGACCTAGTAACATTTGGATTTAGCCGTACATCTCTTAAAATGGTTAAACCCGAATGAAATTAATCTCACCATGAAGATAAAAAATTTATTCCAAAAAAAGCTGCATTCATTTCTAGAAAAATTACAAATCCTAAACAAATTTAAACATTTCACAATAAATAAATACAATTAACAACTCAATATAAAAGTAAAAAATAAAGCTGAGATTTTTGAAATTTGTGTTAGAGAAAAAGAATGAAATCTTGTAAAAATTCTAAGTAGAACTATCTCCAAAACTAAAACTAGGTATATGAACAACACCGTTAGTTTTTTTTTGAACACTATCTAAAACAGAATTCCCATATTTAACAGTAGTGGACATCGCCCCAATCATTCGATTCATTAACCCGGTTGTTGGTGAAAATCTTCTTTCGTTAATTTTATTATTATTACCAGATTTAATTTTTAAAAATTTCGCTAAAGCTTTGTTAAAATTGTCTGGGTTTTCTTGATGCGGAAAATGCCCGGTACTCTCAATAATTTTCACAAAAAATTTATCACAATAATCGGTTGATTTAACAACCCCCTCCAAATTAACGTGTTGATCCTTATTCCCCGTTACCAATAAAGTAGGAACTTTTAATAAATTTGATTTTTCGTTAATTCGAACAAACGGAAGGTTCCTAAAATAATTTAAAGGTCCAGACCAATCTTCTTTGCGTGAAAATGCGTATTTATAAGCTTCAATAAATTCTTGGTGGCGATTATCCTTTTCTTGTAGATGTAAATGATAATCACTAATGATTCTTAAATCTTCTTTCATCGAATCAAGTTCGGGTAATGAGGGAAGTTGAGCGAAATTGATCCAATTTTTGTTCATAATTTTGTTTAGAGGGAGGTTATTCCAGTAAACGTTTGGATGTGGGCACGATATTGAAACGAATTTCTCAACTAAATCGGGCTTTTCGTACGATAAGAACCATCCGATTAATCCACCGATATCGTGGCCGATTATTGTGCATTTATTTATATTTAAAACTGATAAAAATTGGGATAATTCAGTTAATAAAACATCAATTTTATAACTTCCCCTCCAAATTGGTTTATCTGAATCACCAAAACCTTTTAAATCAATTGCAATGACACGAAAATATTCCGATAAAAAATGAATTTGATGTCTCCAGCTTATCCAGCAATCAGGGAAACCGTGTAAAAGAATTATTGGGTGGTTTTGTTTTAAACCAGCTTCAACATAATGGATTTTAACTTTCTAAAAATAATTTTTTTCGAATTAAAATTATTTTATTAAATTTCCTTACCTTTAATTTAACGTATTTGTGTTGACCAAAAGTGTTATCTACAAGCCACATCGGTGCTGTATCTCTATTGCGAATGTTAAAGAAATTATTTGGGTTCCAAATGTATGTAAAAAATCGTTTTAAAATTATCCAAACGCCGACGATTATTGCGAAAAAATACGCACAAAAATGTTCCCATCTCGACACGTGAATAATATTAGACATTTTCTGAATTATTGACGATATTTTCTGTTTCTCTATACGAAAAAACTAACCGGATTGGATTTTACGTACGAATGAGACGAGAGACTACGTTATAAGGTCATCGCTAAGATAACGAAACCGGACGATAACGAAATCAATTTTTATTTTTATAGAGAGAATTTTTAAACAATAATAAAAACGACAATTAATGTTTTTGATTAAAAATAATTCTCTTTTTATTTTCCAGAGTTATCGTCAAAGTCATGTCTATTAAAATGTTAACGTTAAAAGATGAAGTGGATCCTCATCTCCATCAAATATGACGGCGCGGAGAAGTTGTTAGGTTCGCATTCGGGGCTATGTAGAAGGAGGAACTCCGGGTATTCGAGGAGAATCAGAGACCCAGGGGTCCCCGTTGACAACCCCCTATAACGAGGACTTCCTGGAGAGCACTCCAGAGTCGTCGCCTCTCGACTCCTCATGAAGAGTCCACTCGAAACGTTCCGATCATTTGTTTGGCGAATAGCAACGACGAGCTTTGACTTCTGCACGTTCCACATCAACTTTCTATTTTTTTAATTTTTCTTCAATTTTAACCTCTATTTAATATAAAAATAACTATAAACAAAAATTATTTATTTAAATTAATAATTTTGTTTTTAGTTATTACAGTAAAACCTTAATTAACGCATCTCGTTAGACTGGACGTTATTAGAACGGTGTATCTAGTACTAGGTCCAGTATTAGTTCTAGTTTTAATTGTTTTGTTATTCAATGCTATATTGTTGTATGTTTTTATTAAACGAAAACTAGAAGCAACACTAGACCTAGAACTAGAAAGCTTCGCATTTAGCCGTGCTAAAACTAACAAAAAAAGTGTTAATTTTAGTTTTAATTGTTATCCAGCGTCTTGAGACTAAATTTGCCTTTACTTTTGGGTTGGGTTGATACTACTGATCGATGGATTAAAATAACTTATTAGATATATTTTATGGACTAATTTCAAATCTTTTTTGTGTGAAAAGTCGTTTTTTATCAGATATAATTAATGAGTTATAGAAGAAATTTGATGAAAACGTCAAAATTTCTCTTTTTCTTAAGTTAGGTTGGTAATGCTGATTGATGGAATAAACATCTGTAATCAATACGTCTTATGAGTCAATTCTAAACATTTTTTGTTGAAAAAATAATTCTCCATCATACACAATTAATAAGTTATAACCGAAAATGATCAAAAACATCAAAATTTGGTTTTATCTTTAAATTGGGTTGGTGTTACTGATTGATGGATTAAAATAACTTATTGGATAAGTTTTATGGGTTCATTCTAAATCCTTTTTGTATGGAAAGTTTTTTTTCCATCAGATATAATTAATGAGTTATCGAAGAAAATTGATGAAAACGTCAAAATTTCTCTTTTTCTTAAGTTGGGTTGGTACTAGTGATCGATGGAATAAAATAACTTATTGGATATGTTTTATGGGTTAATTCTATATCTTTTTTGTATAAAAAGTTGTTTTCCATCAGATATAATTAATGAGTTATAAAAGAAAATTAATGAAAACGTCAAAATTTCTATTTTTTCTTAAGTTGGGTTGGCAATCCTGATTGATGGAGTAAATATCTGTATTCAATATGTCTTATGAGTTCATTTTAAACATTTTTTGTTTAAAAAATAATTCTCCATCATGCACAATTAATAAATTATAACCGAAAATGATCACAATCATCAAAATTTGGTTTTATTTTAGGGTTGGGTTGGTACTACTGATCGATGGAATAAAATAACTTATTGGTTATGTTTTATGAGTTAATTTTAAATCTTTTTTGTATGAAAAGTTGTTCTCCATCAGATATAATTAATGAGTTATAAAAGAAAATTAATGAAAACGTCAAAATTTCTATTTTTTCTTAAGTTGGGTTGGCAATCCTGGTTGATGGAGTAAATATCTGTATTCAATACGTCTTATGGGTTCATTTTAAACATTTTTTGTCGAAAAAATAATTCTCCACCATGCACAATTAATAAGTTATAACCGAAAATGATCAAAAACATCAAAATTTGGTTTTATTTTGAAATTGGGTTGGTACTACTGATCGATGGAATAAAATAACTTATTGGTTATGTTTTATGAGTTAATTCAAAATCTTTTTTGTATGTAAAGTTGTTTTCCATCAAATATAATTAATGAGTTATAAAAGAAAATTGATGAAAACGTCAAAATTTCTATTTTTCTTAAGTTGGGTTGGCAATCCTGATTGATGGAGTAAATATCTGTATTCAATATGTCTTATGAGTTCATTTTAAACATTTTTTGTTTAACAAATAATTCTCCATCATACACAATTAACAAGTTATAACCAAAAATGATCAAAAACGTCAAAATTTGGTTTTATTTTGGGGTTGGGTTGGTACTACTGATCGATGGAATAAAATAACTTATTGGATATGTTTTATGGGTTAATTCTAAATCTTTTTTGTATGAATAGTTGTTTTCCATCAAATATAATTAATGAGTTATAAAAGAAAATTGATGCAAACGTCAAAATTTCTATTTTTCTAAAGTTGGGTTGGTAATGCTGATTGATGGAGTAAATATAAACGCTTTTTCTTTAAAAAGTAAGTTGAGACATGTACTGCTAAACCCAAAACTTTCTAGTTCTAGGTCTAGTGTTAGTTCCACTTTTAGTTCAATAAAAATATATAACAATCACTGAATAACAATTAAAATAGCTCTACCTTTCATGATTTATATGCGTCGTATAGACAACTCGGGGAATACCCCGAATTTATCTATGAACATGGAATACAACAACTTGAGGAATAACCCAAATTGGATTTTAACGAGGTCCTTTATATCAAGGTACTGTATAAACAAAAATTATTTGTTAAAAGTAAAATTTTTGAGTATTTTAAAGCATTTTTTAAGCACTTTTGAGTATTTTAAGCTTTGTTCGTTTGGTATTGTGAGAGTTTGAGATGGCCGCAAGCCATAGATGTGTCCCCATTGGCTAATAAAGCCGAGGGGAGACACCCCAAAAAGGGCTTAGGGGAACCCTACGTTATAGGAAATTCATTCCGCACAGTTACACCCCTCTTCTACTCTTAACTTTACAATCATAAACGGTCAATAAGTTGATTTGACTATTTTAAAAAGCCATTTTAAGATTTATTTTATGTATTTACCCACCAAACTATTTGACATTGACAATTAACATTAGTTCATTTGATATGATGGTTTTTAAGCTAATTTAAAGTTTAATCACTTATAAACTGTCAATTTCTTTATTTTATTGTTTTAAAAAGACTGTTTAAAAGTTATTCCAACATAAAATTAGTTGTTTTCAAATTAAAATTTTAAATTTCCCGCCAAATTATTTGACAAATTTTTTTAGATTAATTTAAATTTCTCATTCAAAAATAACTCCTCAATAATTTCATAACATGTAATTAATTTAATAATAACAAATAAAATTATTAATTAATTTAATTTCACGCCAAAATTGATTGATAAACATTTTTTATTCTTATGTTGGTATCAACAAAAATTGACAGTTTATAAACTTCAAAATTAACCTAAAACGTTTAATAAGTTTTTTTTAAGTAAGTTTTAATGTTTCAAAGTGAATCCAAAGAATAAATATTAACATTTATGTAACGACCTAATCCCATTATACGGTCACATTGAATCTCGGCCCCTTTACAATACCCCCCGAACAAAACGCGTAACACGACGCTCTAACAGAGTCTCCCTCCTCTATCGCCGAAATACAAAATACGGTCTCCGTTCCCCCTCGTAGCCATTGTACAATGTCTCACTCACTTCGGGAATAATAATAAATCCTGGGGTTCGCTACCCTGGACCCCCTCGATATGCGACAATTACCGGTCGTTTCGGTGGCGAGAAGGCAAGGGGGGACGTGAACGCCCCCCTCGGGTTCAATTTTGCGTACATGTCATCGGTATACGTGACCCGACTGTATGTTCGAGGGGGCGTCGCGACGCCTCCGACTGAAAATTGTTTTATAACCGTCGAGGGGATTTCCCTCGTTGCGTGTAGATTTTGGGTCCCCCTTTTTTCGAAGTGAAACAGTTTGCATATTGATGAAAATTTTTTTTCAAAAATTCAAAAAAAAAACAAATTTAACTTTTAATTCATTTAATGAGTGTTTTTAAGGTTGGATTTCTTGGTAAATTGGGACGTAAACGGCAGTTAAAAGGTTGGGATCCGATCACAATTGCTCGGGCGACGTTGGGTTGTCTAAATATTGTGCTAAGTAGCCGAGGATACGCGTCTGGGAGTACAATTAAGGATTCTTTCTTGGATGTTTTGCGCTGAGTCAGGTTTTGTAACGAGACGAGACCGTCTCCGAAATCGTGGGCCTTTTGTTCCGATAATTAGGGCTTATTCGGGTTTATATTTACACGATGCTGGCAGGAAACTCTTTACCACATAATCTAAAAAAATTAAACCCTCAAGGTTGTTATTGGAGACATTTTTCTTAAAAATATTAATAGCAACAAAGTTCTACTTTAAATTAAAACTATTTTATTTGAAATTTGTTCACAGATTAAGAAATGGATATGATGAATCAGCTTACCTGATGAAGTATTTATCATAGTGCAAATATGAATATCTAAAGAGTGAATAAGATCCAGAATATCCTCCAGGAATGAGACGTTAAATAACCATAATCGATTTCAATCAAATTTCAAAGTCCGGAAGACTCTTGCAAGACTTGTTGCAGTGTATAATCTAACCAGCAATTCAGATGATTTACCTTATCTTGTACTTAACATGAAGCACAACTCATTATTAGTTATTCTTGTGATGTTTGTTTAACTTAAGAAACTTTTTAGTTCTAGGTCTAGTGTTAGTTCTAGTTTTATTTATTATATAGCGCCAGGTTGTTGTATATTTTTATTGAACTAACACTAGACCTAGAACTAGAAACATTCGGGTTTAGCCGTCTTAAAAGACATTCGGCTAAACCTGAATGTTTCTAGTTCTAGGTCTAGTGTTAGTTCTAGTGACAGTGCTAAGTAGAGCTAGTTAGCAGTAGATAATGCTAGGTTATTGTGAATTGCTATTGAACTAACACTAGACCTGGAACTAGAAAATTTCAGGTTTAGCCGTCTTAAGAGACATTCGGCTAAACCTGAATGTCTCTAGTTCTACATCTGGTGTTAGTTCTGGTGACAGTGCAAAGTAGAGCTAGTTAGCAGTAGATAATGCTAGGTTATTGTGTATTGCTATTGAATTAATACTAGAACTAACACTAGACCTAGAACTAGAAATATTCTGGTTTAGCCGTGCGTCTGAAGACATGTGTTAGTTCTAGTTTTATTTGTTATACAGTTAGGTTGTTATATATTTTTATTGAACTAACACTATACCTATAACTAGAAACATTCGAGTTTTGCCGAACGTCTCTCCTGGGAGGACGCGCGCGTGGGTAGAAAATACCCGGCGCTTATTAAATGATGTGTATATTCTCCAAATGTCGATTAAATCGGGGAATCCCTTGTATACCTCTCGAGTAGAGTGTAACAGAAGTACCTATGCTCAGGCGATATTATTATACCGTTCTCGATCAGTGCTAGGGTCTGATTTATGCGAAGTGGACATTTTTTACCCGGCGCGCGTCGATACGTGACTAAATTGTTACCATTTTATTTCTGTGTTTTGTGTCTTTTATTAGTTTTTGGTGAATTGTGGTTATTATTGAACAGTTGTCGCATTATTTCAATTTTATCAGTTCGAGTTCCAGTAAGTTAAAATTATAACAAATGAAGTAACTATAAGTTATTGGCATATCAATATTGCAGTAGATAATGGATTCTCAGCCAGGGCCATCAAATATCAGTAAATGGGTGGATAGAAGGCCTTTAACTAAAAAAGATCTAGAAGAGGAAATAAGGAAAATAATGGAGGAGGAGAGTGATGACAATGAAATTCCACCAACTGAATCAGATAGTGAAGTTGACCACATTTCAGTAAGCGACCATCTTACCGACACTGACGCAGACGAACCATCAGAAGATGAAGGCAATTTTTACGAATCAAGCTCGGCAGGTACTCCATCTTCTCACTTTTATCTGGGGAAAGATGGTACACGTTGGTCCAAACAACATCCACCAATAAATGTAAGGACTAGAGCCCATAATTTAGTGACCCATCTACCGGGACCGAAAGGAAAAGCAAAGGATGCAACTACTCCTTTTGAAGGTTGGAATTGTATGATTTCTGATAATATGATAAACCATATTGTTAGATATACCAACATATACATAGATTTGTCGCGAGGAAAATTTGTTAGGGAGAGAGATGCCGCTCCTACAGACCAACGAGAGATGAAAGCACTTTTCGGTTTGCTGTACTACGCTGGGGTACTGAAGTCTGGGAGACTCAATACAATGGAATTGTGGGAAAAAGATGGATCTGGTGTGTGACATATTTCCAGCCGTCATGTCTCGAAAACGCTTTTTATTTTTACTCACTTCTTTACGTTTTGATGACATACGTGATAGGCACACCAGACGACAAAGTGACAAACTGTCTCCCATACGTGAACTCTCTGAATTATTTAAAAACAACATTCAAAGCTCCTATGTTATTAGTGAGTATGCCACAATAGACGAAAAATTGGAACCTTTTAGGGGAAGATGCTCGTTTAGGCAGTACATAAAGAGTAAGCCAGCAAGATATGGCATAAAAATTTTTCTTTTGACTGACAGTCTATGATACGAACAACTTTGAACGACGTTTAGCTTTAATTCAACTTTAACAGCTTGTATTTTAACTTTCCTCCGTAGATGATAGATGGAATTTAAGAAAGAGGTATTCATTTTTAAATAAACTAATCTGCGTTACTTTATAATAGAGAAAATTGTTCTAGGTTAATGAAAATCAACAGCTTCTTAGAAGAATCTAAATTTATCTTCAGGCCACCTCATTGATTCCTTCCTATTCATCATCAACAATCAACAATGCATGTTTTAATGATGATGCGACAATCTCGTAAGTACTCCGTTATCTATAACTACTTAATTTTTTTCTTTTATCTACATATAATAAGACATAAAAAAAATTCTAATAATGGAAAAAAATATCTATCTCAAGGTTATACAGATATTTCTTTGTAATTTTTTCTTTGTTGATAAATCAAAATGATCTAAAAAAAATTCTTGGCGTCAGTTACCACTTTTTCTTGGTCAACGTGTCATTATCCGGTTAAAACTGCTGCTTCTGCCGTTGCGTCTTCGTTGTCTTGTCCCATCCTTTCTGGTGCCCCACCCAGGTGCCAACCAGGTCCCTATTATCCCGAAATAACCGAGATACGATCTTGTTTTCTTCTGTTTGCCACCAATAACGCGACACCTCTCTTCGAAGGATGAGGGCCCCCGGTGGAAACGTATAGATTGAAATCTTCGGATTCCGGTCAATTAAGCGCACGTTAAGAGCACCTCTCCATCCGATTTACCTAATTTTAAGACAACTGGAATTAAGTAACGAACGTCGCGTCGATGAGATAACAGAAAGTTTTTTTCCTTTTTTATCTTTTTATAAAGTCCATCAAGAAATTAAAACATTGTCGTTATATTAAAGACGATTTCGTTGATGATGGTGATGATGATGTGTTGTCGAATATTGAATTACGTCTACACTAAGGGAAGAGGGTCATTATACGATCGTTTCGGAAGTCCTGCCACATCAGGATTAGATTGCTCGTGACAGATTTGTGTTTCGGTCGACGACGCCAACGGGGAAACGCCCCGCGTCGCCGTTTGCATAATATTCGAACCAGCCCCATTGACTGATCGCAAAAGGACCCCTCGACGTCTCCCTCGACCTTTTTTTTTATTTACCACCCTCCAACGTGTAGAAAAGGGGGAACGCCATTTTGTCCAATATACATAAGGGAGTTAGGAATGGATGTAAAATATATTTTTGTAATCAAGAAACTTTTATTCATTGATATTTAGATACATTATAAGTTCATCAAAAAGTATTTTATTATTTGGTTGATGGTAGTCTAAATTTGGTTATTCATCAAAGTTGTGGAAAAGTGGACACTATCCACTATAGTATGGTAAAATATATACTTTGTGTACCCTCTTATTGTTAGTTTAATAAGATATCAAAAGTATTTCAAGGTATGCGTATGAAGTTATTGATTATTTACATCATTTTTATCCATAACAATCAACTTTTCTCATATTTTAAAGTCTTGGAAACATCCATTTTAATGGTATTAACCTAAGTTGCCATTATCAAATAATATCAAGTTGTTTCCAATCGATTTGTGTCATTTTGAGAATCACCAACAAGCTTTTTCTATTTCTTGGTACCTTTGTAACACTCAAAAATCATCAAAATCAATTTTTTCATCCACGTCAAGTATCTTAGGGATGTATTTATTTAATTAGAACCATTTTGATTCACACCATTTAGGTTTTCCAACATTCTAAAGTCCTTGATTTTGTCTGGAAAACATTCCAATTAATGTTACTAAGTTTTATTGCCTTTGTTCAACAATATTAAGGCGTTTCAAATTAATTTCTACAATTTTGACCCATACCAATAAGCTTTTTCTGTGTCTTGGTACCTTTGTAACACTCAAAAATCATCAAAATCAATTTTTTCATCCACGTCAAGTATCTTAGGGATGTATTTATTTAATTAGAACCATTTTGATTCACACCATTTAGGTTTTTCAACATTCTAAAGTCCTTGATTTTGTCTGGAAAACATTCCCATTAATGTTACTAAGTTTTATTACCTTTGTTAAGCAATATTAAGGCGTTTCGAATCAATTTCTACAATTTTGACCCATACCAATAAGCTTTTTCTGTGTCTTGGTATCTTTGTAACACTCAAAAATCATCAAAATCAATTTTTTCATCCACGTCAAGTATCTTAGGGATGTATTTAATTAATTCGAACCATTTTGATTCACACCAATTAGGTTCTCCAACATTCTAAAGTTCTTGATTTTGTCTGGAAAACATTCCAATTAATGTTACTAAGTTTTATTGCCTTTGTTCAACAATATTAAAGCGTTTCGAATTAATTTATACAATTTTGACCCATATCAATAAGCTTTTTCTGTTTCTTGGAATCTCTGAAACACTTTCAAAAATCATCAAAATCATTTTTTTCAGTTTTTTCATCCACGTCAAGTATCCTAGAGATGTATTTAATTAATTAGAACCATTTTGATTCACACCACTCAAGTTTTTCCATATTCCAAAATCTTTGAATTTTCTGGAAAGCATCCTCACTAATGTTAGTAACTTCTGTTACATATATCGAGTATTATAAAGGTGTTTCCAATAAATTAATACCATTTTGACACACACCAAGATCGATATTATTGATGAAATGAGGCATTAAGTTTTTTAGTAGATATTTTCTAGCAGCGTGAAACATAGCCTTCATGTTTTGCGTTTTTGGATTTGCTTCTACATCATTTTCATTACAATATAATAGATGTTATATAAATTTTAACAGAAAATCTTAAAAGTTTCAAATTTCAAATACATATTGTAGTATAACAGTGGCGTTCCACCTGGGTGTTACCGCTGTTAGGATTAATATTTCACCGAGACCCTATTGACAATGCATATTACCGAGCACAAAGGTGCCAAAACGGGCTTACAACCGCGTGACAATAGGTTTTTAAAAGGATACACACGTTTCGTTCCGCGATGAGTAAGAGGACACCGGCGGGAGGTGGTGGCGGACGGCGTCCGGACGCTATCTCTGCGGAATCCGTCCGGATTCACTCTCTAGATCCTTTGTGCGTCGCGTCGTCCTGAAGATGTCTACCCGCGATAACGAAACGTCGGCCCTCGTAATCTGTCCCATAACGTGTCCGTGAAAATTAAAAACCCACTTCAATCTTTTTTTCTGTTATTTTTGCTTCTGTGTTATCGAACTGTGGATGACTATTTACGTTCCTTTTTAAAAGGGATTATTTTTAGCGGCTTATTTATGCTGATGCGGATTATGAAATGTGATTATAAAAAATTTTGAAACCATTTAATTTTTATTAAATGCATTACATTAAATTTATTATACAAATAAAAGTGGGATTGCAATATCTCGTTCATTTTGGTCCTTTTGAATGAAAGGAGAGAGGGAGGGTTCGTATTGTTGTCTCCCTTTGCGTTTCTACGTAATTCAGGACTTGGAATTTAATGGAAGTCGAACCGAGGAGGTGGTTTTATTAGATTTTCTGACGAAAAAAGTGGGTCTTGTGCTTTAAATTAAAGTGGCGAAAGGAGGATTTTACTTTTATTCCGGCGCATCCACCATTTTTAAATAATAAATAAACCATTTACTTATTATATAGTAAAACCTCGATATAAGTAAATAGTTTTAATTCAATGCAAAATATACAACAATCTGAATAGCAACTAAAACAAGAATTGACACTAGCATTAGAACTAACACTATACCTAGAACTAAAAACATTCGGGTTTAGCCGAACGTCTAAAAACGGCAAAACCCGAATGTTTCTAGAGTTAGGAATGGATGTAANTTAGTTCTAGTGATAGTGCAAAACTAGAACTAACACTAGACCTAGAACTAGAAACATTCGGATTTAGCCGCACGTCTCTCAAGACGGCTAAAGCAGAATGATTCTAGGTCTAGGTCTTGTATTAGTTCCAGTGATAGAGCTAGTGCAAAACTAGAACTAACACTAGACCTAGAACTAGAAACATTCGGGTTTAGCCGCGCGTCTGAAGACGCACGGCTAAACCCGAAACGCTCTAGTGCTAGGTCTAGTGTTAGTTCTAGTTTTACTTATTATTCAGCGCTAGATCGTTGTATATTTTTATTGAACTAACACTAGACCTGGAACTAGAAACATTCGGGTTTAGCCGTCTTAAGAGACGTTCGGCTAAACCCGAATGTTTCTAGTTCTAGGTCTAGTATTAGTTCTAGTAGCAATGCTAGATAGTGCTAATTGGTATTGATAGCTCTAGGTTGTTATATATTTCTATCAGACTAAAACTAGACCTAACACTAGACCTAGGACTAGAAACATTCGGATTTAGCCGCACGTCTCTCAAGACGGCTAAAGCCGAATGATTCTAGTTCTAGGTTTTGTGTTAGTTCCAGTGATAGTGCTAGTGCAAAACTAGAACTAACACTAGACCTGGAACTAGAAACATTAGATCTAGAACTAAAAACATTCGGGTTTTGCCGAACGTCTCCTAAGACGGCTGAAACCGAATGTTTCTAGTTTTAGGTCTAGTGTTAGTTCTAGTAACAGTGCTAAGTATATAGCCACCAAATGGCCATATTTCCAATAGGGTTTTTGATGTTTAACTTTTTGCAGTTTACTGTCATGGCTTCACGCTATACAGTGTGTCCCCGAATAGATGAAACGACTCGTATAAATCGTAAAAATTTTTGTACATTAAATGTCATCTTTTGAGGTTTAGCCCTGCTTGATTAAAGAGTAATTTTAAACATATTTTCAATTTTTAAAAAACAGGTGAGCCTTGACAGTGAAAGAAAAGCTCTTTTTGTGGCAGGTAAAGTACCTTTTCTGTTTACAGTACGTGAAAGTGTTACTAAGAAGTTTTGTTTAGAATGAAAAACTATGGTCATATGCAAATTTTCGGAATGATCTTCATGAAAAACAAAATTGCTTTCCTGTCAATGTTAATCTGTCAAACTGTAATTTAGTAAACTTAAAGTGTTTTTTAAATACAATGTTAGGAACAGTGTTATGGAACAGGGAAAAAACCGATAAATATGGTTATTGCTTTATTTAGTGAAAAATTTCCAAATACTGGATTTCAAAGTAGTACTTGTTGGCGTTTAATCAAAAGATTTCTTATAACAGGAAGTGCTCACTATAAGAAAAAAAAATTACGATAAAACTGTTTTGAAACTGAGTTAACTATGATTAACTGTTTTCTTTTGCGGGCAAATACACACTTAATTTTTTGTGATCATTTTAAGAACAGTTTGTGTATTTCTCCCGAACAATCTGAATCTCA